CAGTACGTACTATTAATAAGCCCGTTGCTACGGAGAGTTGCTATATAGCAACTAGCTATAAACTAAGGCTCGACTTAATATTTACGTACGCAAGAAGTAGTACGAACGCACTATATACTATACTAAGACGACAGAATTGCATAGTCTCCTCTACGAGCTAAGGCAGCTCTATTAGAGAGAGGAGATAGTTGTAAGAGCTAGAGATATATAGCTCGGGAGGCGTAGCTTGTTAGGCTTTAAGGTATAACGGCTAGTGCCGCTTATACTTAGCGCAGGATAAGAGCACGTAGAACGTATATAAACTAACGAGGTAAGAATTATTCTTAACATCTCTAGATAGGGAGTCTAGAGGCGCTTAATATATTACTATATTCCACTCCTTATAGATACTATATAATAATAAAACTTATCTATAGTAGAGGTATACTATATACCTACTACGAGAAGTATAGGCGGAAATATATCTACTACTTGTCGGAGAATAGTATATATCGACTCGAATATATAGCTAGGCAAGAGCGTATCTAAAATAATATAGAAGAATACTACGAACGTTACTCTAAGCTAATTAAGGATAGTAAATAGATTACCTTAGACTTTAACTTTCCTTATAATATTTATAAAGAAATCGCTATAAATAGAAAGACGGCTATAACTTATAAACGCGATTACGAGTTAGGTAGTATAGAGGTCTTCTTCTTTATAGAAAACTTAAAGATAGGAATCTTTAAAGAGTAGTATAGAGGTACTAAAAGACCGGCTAACGAAGGAATAGAGAAATACGACGTATAGACTATCTTCTTTATATAGTAGAAACGGAATTAGAACCCGAACTACGAATAGTTAGGTTAGCTTTAAAATCCCCGGAAGCGAAGTAGTAGGAGTATATAATCTAAGAAGAATATAATAGCTTTATTAAGAACGAGACCTAGAAAGTAGTACTAAGGCCGATATATTAAAGACCTCTTTTAGGAAGATAGGTACTAAAGTAGAAATTAGAGCTAGATAGAATAGTAGCTAGATATAAAGCCCGCTTTGTCGTACGTAGCTTTAAATAAGTTTATAGAATCGACTTCGACGAGACCTTCGCTTTAGTAGTTAAGCTACTATCTTATAAACTCTTCTTTACGATAGTAGTACGAAAAGGCTAGTACTACTACTAAATAGATATTAAGATAGCTTTCCTTAATAGAGAAGTAGATAAAGAAATCTATATAGATCTACCTAAAGGTTTCCTAGAACGTAATAGATACGTACTAAAACTCGAGAAGGCTCTATATAGTCTTAAGTAAGCTCCTCGTTAGTAGTATAAGAAACTTAAGGAGTATTTTGCTAAACTAGGATAGTAACTCTTAGAATACGACTCCTCTATCTTTATAGATCTAGATACTTAAGTAGGATTAGAAGACGGCCTATACGTAACGGTATATATCGATAATATTAATATTTTCGGTACTAATCTTAAGAAGATAAAAAACACTAAGTAAGACCTAAATACTAGGTTTAATATCTCCGACCTAGGCGAATACGTATACTATCTTAGTATATACGTTACTCGAGATAACCTAGGAGGCATTAGCCTATACTAAAAGGCCTTCGTATAGAAGCTTCTCGCGCAATTTAGTCTTAAAGACCTTCGACTAGTATTAACTCTAATAGACGTTACTCGGAAGCTAATAGTTAATAAAGGCTAATAAGCGGACCTAGCCTTTATAAGACGCTATTAGTCTATAGTAGGTTCTCTAAACTACCTTATAATAGTAGTACGACTAGATATTACCTACGCTATAGGAGTTGTCTCGAGGTATACCTCTAATCTAAATAAGAGCTATAAAGTTATAGTATATCGGATATATACGTATCTTAAAAAGTACCCTAAACTTAGACTAGAATACTCGGACGAACCTACCGACGACTATACCTTAGGAGCTAAGAATATAGTCGATCTAGATATAGAATATATTCCGGATTCTACTAAGGGAACGTCTATACCTACCGACTATCTCGACGAGATTATTAGATATATAGATAGCGACTAGGTAGAGTATTATAATACTCGCTACTTAACTACCGGTTTTATATTTATTATTGCCGGGAGCCTAATAGTATAGGCCTCGAAGCGATAGAAGAGTATAGCTATATTATTATACGAGGCCGAGTATATAGCTATAGCCGAAGTAGCTAAGGAAGCAATTTAGCTAAAGAACCTACTATAAGAATTGAAAATTCTAGGCTTTACCTAAGATAAGGTAACTCTCTATATCGATAATAACGCTACTATTAAACTATCTAAGAACCCCGAGTTTTATGCCTAAACAAAGTATATTAAACTCCGGTATTACTTCCTTAGAGAACAAGTTTAGGATAGTGCAATTTAGATTAAGCAAGTTAATACTAAGGATAACCTCGCTAATATATTTACAAAAGCACTGCCTCGTACAACCTTCGAAAGCATTCTTACTCGCCTTAGACTAATAAGCAAGAAGGACGAGAGGCTTCAAATTAGAGGCTAGTGCTAAGGACAGGATATATAGTAGGCTAGTTAGTAGGAGTATTGAACAAAGGTGCCCAAGCTACCACAATCTCCGAGGCTATATCTCATTATCGGAGGTACCGACAATAGTAAGGAGTTACCGTAAGAGAGAGACAATAGCAACGGGGGTATATAGCGTACGTAGTTTGTCGACAGGTAGCTCGATTAGGGGCTTCCATGTACTCTACAGTTCTCACTCTCTCTACTTTTCAACTGTGTGCCGGCTCGCAGATTTCTGCCAGGACTCTGAAGAAATGCGGCACACTGGGGACTCGAGCTGCGCTACATCGTATGGCTGCCACGAGTTCACATTCGGTTCGCAGCGTGGCTGCATGCTGTGGCTTCGGAGACGCCGTGACTAAGTCTCTGCTATTGGCTCTCACGTACCAGCAGGCGCGCTGTGCCTCGTGGCTACTCTGCAGCAGGAGATGAGCGCCGAAGCGATGTCTGCGCTCGTGATGGACATTCGACAACGTGGCATGCCCAAACGGTGCAGAGCGTCGCATGTCAGGAAGAATCGAGACGTGATGTGATCCTTGTCGGAGGTAGGGCTGAAATTGCCTGCTCGAGGATCATGGCGGGGCAGCACAGGGTGTGCTTCGTCAGCCTCTCGTGGCGGTGACATTGATTCTATTTTGACCACGCACTCATCTCCTACAACATCACCGTCACCGCTGCTATACCTACTGGTCATAACCTCTACGAGAGCCTAGGGAACATCATAGACACCGGTTGTGCAAGCGCGTTGTCCGTGGTACGAGTACGCGCCTTTTGAACCCTGCGAGAGTCTAAACGACAGCCATCCCCACAACGCTGATCGGCGCCGACGTGGGACCATCAGCCATCATCGTCGACAGACCTTGTCACAAGCAGCACCACATCTGACAACTTCGCCACAGGCAGCACTTCGTCAGCAGTCTCGTGCGCCTGCTGCTTGCTGCTCGGCACTTATCCGACCTTCCCGAAGGTGTCACTTCGAGATCCACCAGCGTCGTGACGCTTCCCTTCTCTCTTGCAAACATTGAACTGCACCAAGACATACATCATGTCCTTCTTTCCCGGCCAAGGCTACCATAACCAACAAGGTCCGCCTCCTCCACAGTACGGGTACGGCAACAATGGCTACCCGCCGCCGCAACAATATCCGCCTCAGCAATATGGAGCTCCGAGTCCCCAACCGCCGCCAAACTACGGATATGGAGCGCCTCCTCCTCCGCAGCAATATAACAACGGACCACCACCTCCCCAAGGCCATTATGGTGCGCCTCCCCCAGGAAACTATGGTGGGCCTCCACCGCCCATGCAACAGCAAGGAGGATATGGCAGACCAGTAAGTGGTTGGAGAACTCGCGCATCAGCAAGTGCGAAAGGCTGACGCTTTAGCCCCCACCTCCCCAGCAACAACAGCAGTTCGGTCACGGCGCGCCGCCTCAGATGACATTCCAATACTCCAACTGTACCGGTCGACGAAAAGCATTGCTCATCGGTATCAACTACTTTGGCCAGCGAGGTCAATTGCGAGGATGTATCAACGATGTGAAAAACCTGTCGGGATATCTAAATCAGTTTTTCAATTACAAGAGAGAGGACATGGTCATCTTGACCGACGATCAGCAGAATCCGATGAGTCAACCTACAAAGCAGAATATTCTCCGTGCGATGCATTGGTTGGTCAAGGATGCGCGACCTAATGATTCGCTGTTCTTCCACTACTCTGGGCATGGAGGTCAGACGAAAGATTTGGATGGTGATGAGGATGACGGATACGATGAGGTGATTTATCCTGTGGATTTCAGGCAGGCGGGACATATTGTGGATGACGAGATGCATCGTATCATGTGAGTGGTATCTACCTTGCACGAAGAAAGAGGGAGACACTAACAACAGCAGGGTCGCACCTCTTCAACCGGGAGTGAGATTGACTGCAATCTTCGACTCCTGTCATTCTGGCTCAGCTCTCGATCTGCCATACATTTACTCTACACAAGGTGTTCTCAAGGAACCAAACTTGGCCAAAGAAGCTGGGCAAGGTCTCCTCGGCATCGTTGGATCCTATGCCAAAGGCGACATTGGTGGTATGCTATCTACGGCAACTGGTTTCTTCAAGAAGGCGACCAAGGGCGACGATGTGTATCAGAAGAACTTGCGCACGAAGACGAGTCCCGCGGATGTCATCATGTGGAGTGGAAGCAAAGACAGTCAGACATCGTACGTTCTCATGCATTTGGACCCTACTAATATATGTGCATATGCTGACACCGATGACAGATCCGACGCAAGCATTGGCGGCCAAGCCACTGGCGCCATGTCGTGGGCCTTTGTCACGGCGCTCAAGAAGAATCCACAGCAAAGCTACGTCCAGTTATTGAACAGCATTCGTGATGAATTGGAAGGAAAGTACTCGCAAAAGCCGCAGCTGAGCTGTAGTCACCCTCTTGGTAAGTAATAACATTTCCTTATTCTACCGCTAAACCTTGAAACACTTTGCTGACGAATTGCATAGACACCAACCTGCTCTACGTCATGTAGAAATATCTTCTCACGAAGCCACGATTACGATCACGAAGACGGTTGGGATGATGCGCCAGGTCCAAGGTTGGATAGGAAAATTACTGGGAGCATCCCACTTGGGTTCGAAGGGTGAGACTACAATGCTTGATACCAGGTCAACGAACTTCGTTCTGCAATTGTTGCGCCACTTGTGGGCATGTGCTATGTTTGGCGTTTGCTGGAAAATTGCGGGCTCTGAGAATTGTGAATAAGGAGAGCAGAATCCTCAGCGTGAATCGTTGCTAGCTTTCCTCTAGATTGCGCTTGGAAGAACAGTCCTATCTCTCATCTCTTCTCTTTCAACAGTATACGCTGTTCATGCGGGTCTGTCGTTTCCACCGTATGTGGGCCTGAAGGCCTGAGAACGCGCCCTCGACGATCGACATAGAACAGATGTGGGAGAGGAAATGTGACTGTAAAATACCTTCAACACATTCCGGTCGCGAGCGCTGAGCGGAAGCAGAGCAGTGCGTGAGAACATGGTATGTGTCCCAGTTGACAAGCTCTTATGTCGATGTTATGCCACAGCGCACTGGATGATCGATCCTCGCATCCCTCCGCTGCTGCATATGGCCCGCTGTCTTCCGCTTGTCTCTTTGCCTGTCATAGCTTCGACTACTGTCCTTGTCAGAACGAGCCCGCGTGCTTACGGAGTGATGCTGCATTTTGGCATGGCTGATGAGTGATCCGAGCAAAGCTGGAGGTGCGATCGGTTCGGAATCGGCATGATCGGGGTGCGATAACGTCTTTCCGCATGGCAGCCACGGTCGTCAAAGTGCACTTCCTTCCAACTGAACTTCATCGACTTCTCACGATCTCCAGCGGGCTGGCACTATATCGATCGAAGGCGGGCAGCAAGACATTCTTGAAAACGGAGAAGATGTGCGCTTTAAGGTTGCAGACGGCAATCTTTCCCGCCAAGCGCTATCTTTAGCTCGCCTTTTGGATGAACCGGCCATTCGCGATTCCATGCTGACCGACCAGGTTCGCCAGGAACACAGCCATTTCGCGACGGGATGCTGAAACATGGTGCGTTGAGAACGACAGCGATGCTAGCAAAGCACATGGCAAGAGCCGCAGTCCTGGCCAGGAGGAAGATGGATTCGTGAAGGACTCAGGAACCTTGGCGCCATGCTGCAGGCACCTCCAAGACTAGCAATGGATCTTGTGATACACAACGATCGAGCCGGACCACGAATCTTCACACCATCTGCACACCATCTGTGCCATCTATCTCGTCAGGATGCGGGTCTCTCCATGTGTACGTATGCATCCTCCCATCTCTACAGTCCTATAGGGAATGGTCTTAAGACGCGCACGGGCAATGACGCGCATCCATCCTCTGCCGAGATCAACCGTGACTCGCTGATCCTCGCTAGGTGCGGTCGAAAAGTGCACGAAGCTTGACGAACGTCACTTAGCGTGCGCAAATACGAGCCAGCAAACCTGGGACACCGCGCGGGTTGAGGTCACTCCTGGGCTCAGAAATGAGGCGAAGGTTTCGACCGTGTTTCTCACCCTCTCTCTCCCTTCCGTAATGGCACTGCTCATCAACCACGACATTCGTTCTCCATAGGTATGCTGCTTTCGCAGCATTTCGAAACCCCCACACTCGCTTGTCCGGCAGCGCTTCTGCCACTGTACTGCTGTTAATCCTCCCGACAATCTCGCCTCCGGCGCTGGGCCTGCAATATGAAGTGGAAGTGGGCCGACCTCCCGCCAAGTTTGCTACTGGCTGTATTCTCGTATCTGGCGTTTTCCGAGGCGCTTCCGGAGCAGGAAGGAAATACTCCAAACAAGAACAAAACCGACAACACTCCATTCTTCTCTGCCGCCAATGGCACGGGCGTGGCGTATGCGAGGTCATGCCAGAGCGCATACTCCGCGTACTCATCGGGAAAGTCTTCGTGGGATGCGATCCACAATACCGTGGAGACGACAACGGTGTACTATGGAGGCACAGCGATGAGCCAGGTAACGTACTACGAAAATGCCACGACCCTTTGCGATGGCCATCCGCGGGTGTTGTACTCGCCAGCAATACCTCTGTCAACGGAGTGGCGGACGACAGTCGAGCCCACTACGGCAACCTCAGTCTATACGGACACCGTAGGAAGGGTGTACTCGGCCCCTTCGCCCTCATGTACGATACGTCCCCAGGACTGCGATCCGCTTTGGAGCGACTACAGTAAATCCGTTGCGGCAGCTGCTACTATTACGCCCGCGCCAGTGATTCAGACACCGCCGTGTATGAATCAATCTGCAGCATCATCGTGGTCGAGTGTGACGGAGAAAATATACGGATGTGGTCTGTGTACCATCTATGGCGAAGGCGTGGAGCTTGTTTACTTTCCTGAACCTACCACGGTGTCGCGAGACATGTGTGCGGAAACGCCGACTGCATCCCTGACATCGTACGGCCCTGGTGCTGTGATCACGGCATATGCTGGAAAGAGTTTTGGCGCAAACATGAGCTCAGTAGCCGGTGCAAAGAAAACCGTCGTGGCTGATGGTCACACCTTCACGACCGGGACTGCTTACATCAGTATCTCAAAAGTGTATGCAGCGAATCGATGTTCGAAGACATTTGGAGTCGTAAACGATGCGATCCTGGCCATGCCCTCCGAGTCCGTGCTCAGCTTGCGCTATTCACAAGACCACTTCCAAAGGTTGATGGAGACTGACAAGATCACGGGCTACCCAGTATCTTACGCTGACTTCAACACTCCGATACCGTGGTCAGCATGGAATGGTCAGAATCAGTGCTTGAACCAGCTGGATACCATCACCTGCGGTGTCATATACGAGACTTACTATCGGCCGCAACTTGCAATTCCACCAGAGATCACATCGCTAAGTCCAGATTTCGAAGGTTGTCAGATGTGGTACAACGGACTATGGGATCCGCCTCTGGCGCTGACCGAGGCTGTATCTGCTGAAGGGCCGACGCTTCCCGGAGGGCATAGTATACCAACGAGCACTGCCGCGCAACCAAGCCAGGCCCCGCCTACTACGCAGCCCACTGCTATTCCTAATGAGCTGCCGTCAACTTATCAAAACGAAAACGGGCCTACTTTACCCAATGCTGGTGGGCCAACAGCATCGGATGCAGGACCAAGCGGTACGGATGGCGGGAAACCAGCTCCTAGTTATGGTGATAACAATTCCGGTGGTCACAAGGGAGGGCAAGAGGGCAATGGCGAGCACGGAACGGATAATAATAATCAAAGTGGAGGGAAAGGCGGGAGTGGAGAGGAAGCCGATCACTCTGGCCATGCTGGACACGAAGGCCAAAGTCCTCGACCACGTCCCAAATATGTGCCCTCCAAGGAGCCGTGGACCAAAGATGTCAAGATCAGAGGTAAAGATTACACAGCCAAGGCCGAAGGCAACAAAGTAACGATTGGACCGATCACTTGCATTGCGGGCGGCGCACCTCAAATGCTTCCAGACGGGACGGTTTGCTCTTATGGAGAAAATGGGCTGGTCTTCACGACCAAAGAAAAAGTGGTGTTTGACGACCAGACTCCAGACACAGCAACGAGTGGCCAAACTGGCGTCCCGGATAGCCAGCCGGACACGGACTCCAGTGGCGCATCCGGACCAAGCGGCGAGACGAATTCGAATGACGGAGCGGGCTCCACTGGTACAGCGTCCAACCCTACTCGCACTGGAGATTCTGATACCGTGACCATCACCATCAATGGCGAAAAGGAAACTGCAGTGCAAGAGCAAGATGGAGGCCCAGTCGTCATAGAGCAGAGGATCACTTTGCTCCCCGGAGGTCCGCCCGTCACTTTTCCAGATGGAACTATTGTCAGCGTGCCTCAGAACGGCAGCGAGCTTGTCATTCAGACTAACAGCACACTTGGCGTCGAGCCGACGACGACGGGAGACAGTTCCGTCAGTGGTGCCATACGGAGTGGTCTCGGGTATGGTGGTCAGAGCAGTTCTGCATCTACAGCCCCTGGCTCGGGTCAACCGGCTGAGACCGGCGGAAGTGGAGGAGGCCCTTCGCAGAATGCTGCGGCCGGACTGTTCTCCTTTGAGGCTCTGAACTTCCTGGTCGTCTTGGGCACTCTCGTGGTTGTTCTTCTTGGATGAGACTAATGGCAGGATCCTGATGGGAAAAGCATTGACATATCAGACCACCGATCAGCTGCCGTCATCTTGACAACGCGACCTTTGGAGTCAGGCGGTCCATTTCCAGAAGGACAACGCGCCAGGGCGAGGCAGACGCTCGCGGCGACACTTCGTATGGAATTCTGCTGAGCGCAACGAAGAATCCATCATCAGGCCTGGCCTTGGGGAAGCAACCCGCAGAAGCTGGGCACCCGAATTCGCGCTGTTGAGCTGCACCTCATTGTGTGCGCCGCGGACCAAGACACCAGATCTACATCGCAAAAAATCGCTCAACAGACAGTCTGGGCAGTGACACTCGCCAAGAACGTCGAAGCAGCCGCGCCAACCTCCGAGAGGGGAAGGAGAAAGCAGCAAGCAACATACTCCACATGGAGAAGTAATGTAATATGTACGACATACAGATGCCATTGTACACGACATACAATCTCAACGAAAATGATCCAGCCACATCGAAGAAAGCCCGTAAAGCTGCCTTGTCCTATTCGCCCTCAGCACGTCTACTACAGTCAGAGTCGTGGTCTCAAACACTGCAATTCCGGCATGCCGATGCCCCGGGTCCGATACTGATGACCGATGTTGATGACAGGTCTCCACACTCGCGACGAAGCACCCTTGTCTGTTTCAATCCACCCCACCAACTCCATACAAGCAACTTCGCCCCAACATCGACCCCGATACCTACCGAGCGAATCTCATGCATTCCACATTTGCCCGTACATATAACGACGACGCGCCAAGAGGTTCAGCACTTTGAGAAACTTTTAGCCAGAAGGTGACGCGCGCGGCTCCAAGCAGAGGTCCACTTCCAAACGCAAGAATTGAGACGATTGCAATATGGTCTTCTTTCCGACGCTTTTCTCTCCGATGTGCCAATGTCCTTGGCATTATAACAAGCTTGTTCCTTCGGACAATCCAAGCACTTCCAAGACTGCTGTCAAAAGTTCTTCGCCACTGCCGTGACATGATGGCGGCTCTTGCGTGTTGACTTCTGAGCATTGCACGCACGCCATATTTGTGAGCAGGCTTTGCCCACTTCTTCCGATAAAGTCTAATTGCTCATGGCAAGAGCGAGACTTACAACGCGTGAATAGGATGGGCCAGCTCAAAACATTAAATGTGAGTGATCGGGGCCAACAGGTGAAGTCCTGCAAAGGCAGGCAGTTCTCGGAGGGAAAACGTGGTGGGAAGGGATCGAGGGATATATGCAAGGCATATTTTTGGAAGAAGCACGTGTACACCTGTATGTACATGCAGCACGTGCAATTAGCATTTGCCGGGCTTCTTGCACGTACCTTCCACGCCAGAAACAACTGTTGCAACCTGCACAGGATCGCGGTCACGGCAGTGGCAATTGAGCAGGATTTACAGGTTTCTTGTCCAAGACATGACAAGACGGGCGCACAAGCCCTTGGAGACTCCGGTATTGTATCGGGATGAAATCTTCCAGAAGCCTCGAACGCTCGCGCAACGACGGAGCCTCACGATGGCAAAAGACATAAGAAAAATAGATTGGGAAGGTGTCTGGGCGTGGATCCAAATGCACTCGCTACGTTGGTTTCCGAGGTGAAATTGTGGAGCGTGGAGCTCCCTCGTGCCTGTGGGCGTGGAGTATTTCGATGAGTAGCAGGGGTGAGATGGGAGTTGGCCGTGCGTGCAGCTAAGCTGGCTGGGAAGCTAGCTGGGCATTCTGTGATTGATATATGTATAGTGTGTCGAGGGCCGTGTTGGACGAAGGGCTTTCTGGGATTGTGCTGTACAGTTCTGTATACTTGCAAGCTCATTGATATTGACCAGCATCGATCACAGGGGGCATCGAAGGGAACACAGGACAGTCGTCGGAGAATTCGATTAACATTGATCAATTCGATCGATTGAAACAACAGAAGAACAAAGAAAAAGCATATAGTATCTTCAAAATGAGGCCATCATCAACGACCCTCCTCGCCCTCCTCCCAGCCCTCACCAACTCCTGCTTCACGAAACGCGACTCCTCTTCCGAAGACTGGACCTACGACTCTCCCGACCACTGGGCAGACGATAACAACAGCTACGGAACCTGTCGTAACGGGACCCACCAATCTCCCATCGACCTCACCGAGTCTACAATCTCCATCTCCACCCATCATCCAAAATTCTTTTACGCCGGAAACTGGACCGGAAATCTACACAACAACGGCCATGGTCTCAAATTTGACCTCACACATGACGAAGACGACCTAAGTTCACTACCGCAATTGACCTACACCAATGCAAACAATGAAGAAGAGACGGTGTACTTGAGCACATTGCACACACATGCCCCAGCAGAACATATCCCCAACAACGACCGCACAACAGCAGAAATGCACTTCGTTCACGTCGACTCTACTGGTACCCCACGAGTCGTCGTGGCGTTCCTGCTCGACCCTTCTTACACTCGCCGCGACGCACATTCGGATTTCTTCTCACAATTTGGAACTTTTCCAAAATCAGTCGACGATGATGAAGTCGAGAAAGAAGATTTCCAACCTGGATTGGCACTTCCGCAAGTCAATGACTTCAAGAAATTCTGGACATATAGTGGGAGCTTGACGACGCCGCCTTGTACAGAGGGGATCAGATGGTTTGTGGCGGCGCAGACGATGGTGCTGGGGGATGAGCAATTGCAGGATCTGTTGAGCGTTAGCAAATTTTCTGCCAGGCCGACAAGGCATGTTTGGTTGCATGATGTTGGATTATGAGGATGTTGTTGGATTGTGAGCATGATGTTGCGATAACAGGTGGAAGGTGTTTGGAGAGCGTTGGAAGGTTGTTGGTTGTTTACTGATCTTGTACAGCGGCACATTATCATGGCGAAGCATATCGAAGCATGGAAAGCGTAGCATAGTCAAGCGTATACAGCATCTTGTGGCAATGGAAGGAATTCAAAATACTGTCATCAGTAGTGGACGCTCAGCCCTTTGTTGACTTAGTTCTCCCACATTTTCATGTGTCTGCAAAGAGCCACAGCATGCGAAGGCGATCGCCTGGTCGCTGTGCGAGTGGTACAGCACATGTAACTGTTGACTGATCTTTCTTGACCCATTTCGTACGTTTGCTGGGAACTTGTGGCAAGCCTGGCATTCACAGGCATGATTGCACAGGGTATCCTCACCGCGATATCATCAATGTGTCCACGTTTGACAGCGGTATTGTTTGCCACTCCGTTGCGGCAAGAAAGCTCAGGACCTCGGACGGCGTTCTGGGCGAGTGAAGTCGAAATACAATTGTATCTCGACCCCCGGTACTCTCCGCCGCCGAGTGCAGCATGTGGAAGTCGAGGCGCACCTCGGCCATGCAGGGTGCACGTGAGGAAGAGATGGAATGGTCTCGTTTTTGCTCGGACAGTGGTCTTCTCCGCAGCGGAGGGTGTGGAAGTTCTGCCAAGGATGTACCAATCGCTACAGCCAAAGCTTCTAGCCCCGGAAAGGTATCCTCAATCGATCATTTCCGTCCGTGCTTTCCGGGGAGCTACGACTCTGCCAATCAGTGTCTGCGCTGAGAGCGGAGGAGGCGTTCATCTCCATCCCGTTGCGGTCTAGTGGAACCGTGGTTTGGCTGTGTCTGTGGTGTTGTCCATCGAATGGCTGCAAAGGCGAGCGCTGTTCAAGCCGAGGCCTTTGGGCGAACGAGAGCAGCACCACGGCCACGGCTTTGATACTAGTATCACCAGACGGTATGCCAGTCGCGTGGACCTCCGCTGCTTTCTTTGTGTCCGTCCTCGATCGCAGCATTTTCCTCACAAAGAGCGCATAGACATCTCGTGCTCGCGACGCTCCCACGCTGCTCTCTGGTAGACTTCGCACCGCAGTCATGAAGGCCTCTCTCGCTGTTGTCGCCTCCACGGCCGCTCTCGTGGCCGCGCAAGAGTACACCTCGATCAACACCATCATCGACAACGTCAAGAACATCACAAACCAGACCAACCACCTCATCGAGCTCGCCGATGCTCTCAAACCCACAGACACTCTTCTCGCAGCTCTCCCGCTGAGCGAAGCCTCCAATGGCGTGCAAGCAGCTATCAACGTCTCCATCGCCAACGCCAAAAACCTGCCCGATCCGCTCCCACCCGCCGACGGTATCAAGCTGATCCCATACATTCAACAACTCAGCAACGCCTCCGTCGACGCCATCGCAGCCTTCATCAACCAGCGCAGTTTCTTCCTGCCAAATGGCGCCGGTGAAATTGTCCTGACCTCGCTCGCGCTGCAAAATGCCACATCTTACGACTTCAACGCTGAGATCGCACGACGTAACCCAGCGAACCTGCAAGGGCCTAGCGCAGAGCTTTCGCAACCCATCTTCAATTCTTTGGCGGCTGGCGTGACGGCTTTCGAGGATAACGGGACGAAGTGCGCGGATGTTGCATCGTGTTATGCCGCTGCGGGCGTCACGATGCCAGGACAGCAGATGGAGTCTGCGGCGAGCATGAAGAAGCTGGTGAGCTATACGAGTGTGATGGCGGCTGCTGTTGCATTTGCTGCGTTGATGTAGAGATTCAGAAGTGGAGATTGGATTTGGATGATGTTTCACGGCAGGTGGGGTGGGATGATGCATGATGATGGCTCTTGCCGTCTTGAGTGCTGACAGCAGTAGCACGATATACTCTTCGTGTCAACTGCATGGCAGCTCAGTGCTTCGCAGTTCAGGCGAGCGAACAAGGAGGTCGACAGAACCGAGGGCGGGTCGTTCAGCAGGCATGAGGTAAACGGAGTATTCTTGTACAGACATTCTGTAATTACGAAAGCATGAAATGAACTATTTATTGACGAAAGGTTGAAGTACTTCTCGAGCCCAGTCTTTTCAATTTCAATGCATTCCGGATGACCCTTGGTGATGTGCTGGGAGACATGTCGAACACACGATGCAGGCTGCATGGTGTCGGGCAATGTCATCTCCAAGAGGCCGCAGGAGACGATGCAGACCGCGTAGACTCCGACCTTCATACGAGTGTCGCCATGCAGAGATGGTGTCGGCAACCGTCCAGAGCCGGCGGCATGATGGGGTTGTTCAGAATCTCGTAAGGCATGCAGAGGTTGTAAGACCATCGGGTTTCCATTCTCTGTCTGCCCTGCCACATGGCTCCAGCGAACACCTGAGCATCTCTTCCCGATCTCCATCCTCCTAGCACCGAAATGCAGGCCCTCCAGTGTAAGACAAGCAAATGTTCCATATGTTTTCACATCTTCTTCGAGATCTGGTCCACAAGCAACACCACTTTGCGCTGCAAGATCCTCTGCTCAATTCCTAGGATATCCAATTGAGCTAGAATGGTTTGCGCGCAAGAGAGCGACATGGAGCAATCTGTTTGGCAGAGGAGTCAGTTGAGCTCATGGCATGATATGAAGATGAACTCTCGTAACTTGACATAGAAGCTGGCACATAGAAAGATCTCAGAGCAAGCCAACATGATTGCGTATGCTGAATAGTAGGTGACATCGGTATCATCGATCGAATAGGCGCGTGCGCGTTTAACTGCCAATCATGCTCTCAGTTGACATTACCTATCTCACCTCACGCCAAAACACTGCATGCGGAGTAGGTCGTTGGATCAGGTGATATTGCTTTCCTTGTGACAAGGACTACGCACCCAGCGAGTCGGTGATGGAGTGCTGTAAGCTTCACTAGTGTGTAGCTATTGGACAATGGCTAGGGAGAGCTAACGGCAGACTGCAGGGCAGCTATGTCCTCTGGAGTACCACAACGTGTGGCGCATGCATGAAAGATCAGGTGTTTGTCCTAATGTAGAGTCTAGAGAAAAGGTGGTGTGCGGCGACTCACGTGCTGTAGCTGGGTTGGCGAAATCCTGGATCAAGCTAAAGGTGGCTGGCTAGCAGACGTCGACAGGACTGGCTCGTTGTGAGATCGAGCATTTCCAGACACTGGTTGTGTTGGTGATGCACTCACTCAACCACGCGGGTTATAGACCTGAGTTCAGGGAATGCCCGTGTTTCACACCTTTTCTCGAAGTCTTCACCCGCTCCTGAGGGCCTGGGCAGAGATAGAGTGCTTGCATAACATCAAAAAGTCATGCGGTATAGCAAACGCAAGAGTTCTGGGTGGAGACCTTATCGTTCGAAAGGTGTTAGATGACTCACTCACTGATCAGAGCCATAAGCCTCTGGAATCCATAGTATTTTCAGTCGTCTCACGAGCCCTTGTGACATGGTTTGCTCGTCCTGGAGTGGTCTATCGTGCTTATGACGGAGAAGGGAAAGATGTCGCAGCATCGAAGAGAAGGCATTTCTTCGCTTGCGGTGTCGGCATTCTGCTCGGAGAGAACCAAGCATCAAGTCCTGTAGTTACAACTGCCAATTCGGGCTCGGAGAAGCTTTGTGTTTGAGCATGAGCAGACACAGCGTGCAGTACCCGTGATAGCCCCTAGTTTTTCCTGCAGTTTCTTTCCGACTGCACCGGGATTCACGAATGCCTCTGTGGCCATCTTGGTATTGCCGTATTCGGGTGGTGTGAGCAATGGTTGCGCGGATCTCGTATAGCGCTCGTCCGCCTCCTCGAGCGTAGGCATCCGTGACCTGGGCAGTAGTGAGCGAGCCGGGCGAGAGGCTTATCGACTTGCAATTCTCAATGAGCTGGTCTTGGTCATTCAATGAGCTGTCGTCATCATCAGTATCGCGAGCAGTTGCCTGTGAATGCGTCTGTCCTGCCTGCGGTGACCCTTCAGAAAACCTTTCGAAATGACCAGCTTCAGGCTAAAGCTGCTCCTGAAGCCAATCCTGGGTGCTTGCTGAGTCTGCTGTACTAAGCATCTCTTGAGTAAGCGGCGTATCGCAACAACTGAAGCCGATCGTGATTCATCTTCGGTCTGTCCTCTTGTTTCGAGGATGTCTTGTTGCGCGGGACGGGGATGGATGCGTAGCCGTGTCTCTCGTCATGTCACCAGCCGAACATGGATGTCGTGCGAGGCTTGTTGATGATGGACTGTGTTGTGTGGACGTGAGGTTGCAGTCTTGTGGTTGCCCGAAATCCGTCCTCAAGCTTGCGACTCGTGCCAAGACAGCATTCATCCTCCAACTCAACTCTTCAATTCCCGTCCGACGACCCTTCTGCGATTCATTTGCCACCACATCCTGAATGTTACAACATCGTAGCCAGCAATACCAGATGGACACCTTGCAATAACAACAGCCCGGTCTTGGGGCCGCGTCAAGCTCTGTGAAGTTTAAAGGCGATGATGCTAAGTTAGGGCAGGTAGGGCTTGTCTCTGCGCTGGACGCATTGGGAAGCCCCCGGCTACGCTCGCCTACTTTACGCCACGCGCACTCACGAACTCTTTCCTAACAACCCGACCGTCTCGGAAGTGAAGAATGCTACTGCATGTGCTTCATCGGCCGATCAACGATGATGAGTGATACGGGCTCGAAGAGCGTCTCACATCCGAAAGTCCGCGTCTCACCTGCTGATTGAACTTCAACCCTAACACAATACAACTCGGCATCCTTCGGACTGCTGATGAGAGTCATCCACGTGAAGACGACCAATTCGGATCCGGAAACCTTTCCTTACGGCCTCACTAATACTCGCTAGTAACCTGGTTCTCGCGCATTCGCCACATGATGCCACTGACTTTTGGATCTTGAATCCCATTGCCAAGTCCAAGCAGGCGCCAAAACAACCAGGAGCTGTAGCCCGTGGGAGCACGTCTCCAGAGCCCGCACGAAGCAGTGGGTCTTCTACGACTGTGGCTGAAGCAATCACGACAGGACAGCGTCTGTGAGTTTGAAACTATACGTGCATTCTCCACTTTCTTTGGAGGTCTTCAGTATAATTCGGAGTTGGCCGCGACGGCCAACAGTGCCCTAACACATGCCTCCCTACTAATCATTGCCTATCAATCATCCCGTATGCGGGTCAAGCTGCCCTGTACTGCTTGCCAAGTAAGTCTTCAATTCTGCTCTAATTAGCTTGTCTGCCAACCCTCCCGGCGGCGTGCAGGACCAGGCTCGCGTGGCTTCTAGGGCCCATTCCTTTGGCGAAGAGGGTTTGCCCACTCTTCGCCGCTGCTTCCGACCGGCGACAACTCTACATACGAATGCGAAGCTGAAGTTAAGTATTGTATGCTTTCCACCTCCTCCTCTGTCGATCACTCCATCTCTACTTGTCTCCGCTGACCGGCCTTGGACACGCTCGACACCCCAAATCGCGAAACACATCAACAAGTACAACAATTGAACAGCAAGTTTGACCAAATGTCGACGTCTCTAGACATTCTGCGTCCAGCACCATCTCCGCCAACTCCCCGATCATCATGCGAATCAGATACGCGAGATCTGGAGCGTCGCGCCAACAAATTCGCAGAGATCATGACAACCAAGAACTTTGCAGACCCTGCTCTAAAACAACTTGTTGTGCCAGATTTTCGATGTCAGATTGAGCTTGCAGGAGGTCGCGTCGGCGTGGTCAACAGTCGCGACGCCTTTGTCAACCACTACAGGAAGTACAAGTCGACCTCGCTGGTAAATGTTTCGAACCTTACAGCCGAGATCGATGAAGATACTGGACTAGCAAAGGTCATGCTACTTTTGCACATCACAGATTCGCCTCAGACGTCGCCACAGGAAGCTGTTTCAGTGCAATGGTGGAAGAAAGACCAGGGCGCTTGGAGATGCTACCAGCAGACGGGCATGCGAGGGGGTTCGGGCTATGGCGCGTGCATTTGATTGCAATCTGATTAATGTTCAGCAAGGTGTTGGGGATGTCCTGGATTCGAGCTGTCTGCAATACAACGTGGAAGAGCATCGAGATGTATTTGCCATGTGCTGCACTACCTCCACTGGATGAAAGCCAGAGCCACAATAATGCTAATGCCACGACACAATATCTCTTCGCCAGTTGTGGCATCTGTCAAGCGTGATAGCTGGGCTCGCGTCGTCAAGAGGAATGCTAGCGCATGCGGCTCTATCCCATGCGACATCGACAGTGCACACGGCAGATACTCGGTACACCAAGCGAGGAGGTGATTATAAACTACCATTCTACCACTACCATGAGAGCAAGATACGGCCGCTGCATCCTGGCATCACATATTCGGTCGGCGTATAAATCATCCGCTCCACGCACAGAGCCGGCCGTTTGGTCTCACAAGCACTACTCACGCTGCTGCGTTAGTGCTGAATCATGTCAGCTTCCTCCACCGAAGGAATAGGGCAGCACAGCAGCATTGAACGTCGGTGATCTGCCGAAGAGGTTCCGATGGGAGACGTGCACACAAGCATGAGCAGACGAAGGATGCAACACGTCAAGTCCGGCTCAAGTTGAGCAATGCAGTTCACTCGTCAGCTTGCAGCACCTTGAGGCAATGAGGGGTCTTGGAAAGAAAGGGACTGTCAAGAGGACATTTCAATAGCAGCTTTGCTACTTCCTACAATCTGAGCCCGCTATCCAATCTATATCAACCCTATAATGACATAAGATATGCTCGCTCAATCGCCAATAAGATCTTCTGCAATGCAATACACTCTCCTTAACGTCTACTCTCATCCGCCCCTCCTCCCTAACGCGTCCCTCAAACTGCTCATCCGACTCGCCATCGTACTCCCTCCTTGCGCTCTCATATTGCTCAAAAGCGCCTCCTCCAATGCACTTTGCGTCACGCTCGTATCATCTAGATCCGAGAACGAACTACCCATGCTCGGTGAGCCTTCACTGCCGTCTTTCCGGCTTCGAGGACTCAGACTTGCGAGCTGGGCACGATGCCGTGGTGAGAGAGGATGCGCAGGGCGGAGAGCCGGCGAGGCTGAATCGTAAGATGCACGGCGGGCATTCTGTTGTGAGGGATTATCGGAGGATGAGGGAGCGGAGGAGAGTTGAGAGGGTTGCCGGGTCATCTTCGATGGAGTCGGGCCTGGGGCGACAGATGAGGAATGAGTTGAGGATTGAGAGGATTCTGGATTTGTGTTTGACCGGGCTGGTGGCTCTCTGGGAGGTCTTGAGCGAGGATTCGAGGAGGCTGCAGGAGTGGTTGTGGTGGACGTTGCAGCGGGTTGCGCTGGTCTGCGTTTTGGAGAACCAATTCGCAGTGTTGCTGCTGGGTCCGGCTTTGATGCCGCGGCGAAGGGTAAGTACCCTCCATTCGAACTTGCATCGTCATCATCATCGTCGTCATCATCTCTATCGTCGTCGCCTTCAGATGCGAGGTCCGCGAGTGTCGACTTCGCTTTCTTTCCTGGTGGCGGGCGCCGGAACGCTTGGCTGCGTGCAAGTGCAGAAGGCGGCTCGTCTCCTGAATCAGAGTCCGAACGCCCTTCGTGCTCCAAAGCATCTTCGTAGTGCTCGTGCTTGGATGAGGCAACGATATCAGCAGCCGCTGCTGCCACAGGAGCTTTTCTTGTTGAACCGCTAGACCCTCTCAGGCCTCGTGATCGTGGTTGCTGTTGTCGGGATCCCGTGACTTTGCTTTGTGTCACTGTCGCCGAGGACGGCGTTCTGGAAATTGGAGGCACTCCGGACTTTGGTTCATCTATGACGGGCGAGGCTGGTACTTCTGAGGATAACGGAAATGATGGACTGCCTCGACGGACTGCGGTGGTAGTCGATCCGGATTGCAACTTTGATTCTAGAATCAGGGTCAGCTTCGCTGCAGGATACACGCTTCGGTCGTGATGAATCGTACCTCGACTCGCAGTCCTCTCCATCTTCACGCCACCTGACGAACTTGCCGTTCCACTTCCAGCTCCTCCCTCTCCAGCTCCACCGCCGCCCACCCTGGTCATTTGCCGCCTCATTCTCTCCATGTGCCGCTCCGACAGCCAAGCCGCTTGCATGAGCAGAAAGTTTAGCTCGACATCAAAATCTTGACTCAAACCCTCCCAATCTAGATCTCCAGAGTGTGATTTCGAGATCAGCTTCCATAGTTGTCGGTCCTTGGCGGCGGTCCAGTTTGTAGGTGCAGGATCGCGAAACTCTCCCCTATTGAATGGAAGTCTGATGAACACAGTGTAGTTTGGCACAGGCACTGATGGGTCTTGAAAAAGCCCGGCCGGTGAACCTGGTCTTGATGATATTCTTGATGGTTTGATTGATGCGTCAGGCACTGGAGTTGCGTTTGACGATCCTCGATTGCGAACGTGACTCGGCATCGCTGCCGCCGACGAAGATGGAGACATGGCTGTTTGTCAGCTAACTGCGGACATGGTAAGTGTGATGGATTGTCGATGTTGTGTTGAGCATCGATGAGTGGAGGTGAGCAGCTGCCAAGAGTATCGTCACGTGGGTCGTGTAGGATGATGAGAATAGGTTCTCGGAAAAAGTCTAAGAAAAGTGTCTGCGATGGCGTTTCAAACATGTAGTTTTGTTTTGCTCACTATGGAGAACGGCGGAGTCAGCAGACAGTTCCATGACTGCCAAATCTGCTCAACAATGCCTGGAGTATCATTTCGTCCATCCCACCACATGCGCCCAACCAAAAATGCCGAAACTCTCTAGATAGTGGTCTCGTATGCGATAGGAGCAACGTTCTCTGGCTTGTTGTCCTTGGCGCTGACAGTGCGGGCCTCACGTGGCTGAGCTGGCTGTCTCTTGAGGTGGACGTGCTCGCCAGTCTCCTTAGCTTGCCTCTGCTTTGCGGCGTTGGTCTTGACACGGGCCAAGAACTCGTCACGCGAACGCGAGTGTCGGACGTGCTCAACGCGAACGTTGATGCGCTTCTCGATGTAGCGGTTGCCGACCTGGCGGTAGAGGATGACACCAACAGCGGACTTGGTGACGTTGTAGACGACACCAGTCTTACCGTGGTAGACCTTGTATGGCTATTGAAATGCGGGCGTTAGCCTCTCACCGCAAGGAGGCGCTTGTAGCGTGTGTCTGGAGAGCCAGAGCACAGAGACTACTAAGCTGAGAAAGTGTGTATCCATTTATCCACCTACCATGCCCTTTTGAACGGCACCGTTGGCCACAACATCAACGATATCTCCGACGCGGTACTGCTTGAGGTAGGTCGAGAGAGGGATCATACCCTTCTTCTTGAAGTCGCGCGAGAAGGCTGTGATCGCAATGTGTTAGTACCTGTCGCCGGCGCATTGTGCGGTCTGCTCGTGATCGCAATGTCGCACATACCATAGCGAGTGCCAGCGCGGAGACCTGCAGCGTGACCCATGTTGACGGTGGTGTGGGAGGTAGATGGGCGGGTTCGAGATTGTTCGCTGGGTGTGATCGAGGTCAACTTCTTCCACGCTCTTGCCAAACGATGGAATTCGCGATGTGGCCCCACTAAAATTCCGGCCCGCTGGCTCCGAATGGGGGAAGGCGTGCCAAGACTCTGCCGGCTCGCACTTGAGGATTTGCTCTTCACTGCAGCTTTGGACTTCTCTGATCCGACAAGCACGAGTTGCCCGCACGACAATCACCATGGCCCCGTACGTTACTCGATACCTCGTACACAGCGAAGAAGATGCAGGGTGTCTGGAAGTGGTGCACGTGGAAATGCGACGCCGGCGAATGGTCCTCAATTGCTCGCGTGCGGTCTCAAATCGGTGAAGACGCAACATGCACTCGGCCACTGGCAAGACGCATTGAAAGAGAGGAGCATGTGGTGGAAGAGGATCTGGCGTCGCATATATCACAAGCGCAGCAGCAACAGAACCTGCATCTTCATGACTGGTACAATTCGACTTGCAGAGGGACACAGACTGACATTCTCCCAGACGCTCGTACTCCAAGACCTACAAGGTCCCACGTCGTCCCTTCGAGGCCGCTCGTCTGTGCGTATAGCCCATGATCAATGAGCCAGCTTCATGCTGCGCTGTATATCTGGTGTCTAATAATGGCTGCACAGTGACTCCGAATTGAAGATCGTCGGAGAATACGGTCTGCGCAACAAGCGTGAGGTGTGGCGTGTCCAGCTCACCCTCTCCAAGATTCGTCGTGCTGCCCGGTAAATACATCTCCTGTCATGTCCTGGCATATCATTTACTGACCATTCTACAGTCAGCTTCTTACCCTCGACGAGAAGGACCCAAAGCGTCTCTTCGAAGGAAATGCCCTCATTCGTCGTCTGGTTCGTGTCGGTGTGCTCGATGAGTCCCGCATGAAGCTCGATTACGTCTTGGCCCTCAAGGTTGAGGATTTCTTGGAGCGTCGTCTTCAGACTTGCGTCTACAAGCTTGGTCTCGCCAAGTCCATCCACCACGCTCGTGTCCTGATCCGTCAGCGTCACATCCGGTATGCACATATCCTTTTCTGCCCACCTGACACCACTCACTGACCTCTCGTACAGTGTCGGCAAGCAGATTGTGAACGTCCCATCATTCATCGTCCGTCTCGACTCCCAGAAGCACATTGACTTCTCGCTCACCTCGCCATTCGGTGGTGGCCGCCCAGGACGTGTCAGGAGAAAGAAGGCCAAGGCTGCTGAGAGCAAGGGCGACGAGGACGCCGGCGAGGAGGAGGAGGAGTAAACTACTCGCTCACCACAGTCGGGTCACCAAAATTTCACGATACCAATGGGAATGCATGGGCAAGGACGGCGTTCATACAGTGCTGGGGCTAAAGCACGCGCGGCACTCAGATACCTGCGACTGTTCCAATGAAACTGCTAAGTTCACGATTCCCGGCTTAGCTGTCCTTTCCAATCTCACCTTAGCTATTGATCATGACCAACGTGCGTGGCATTGTATTCGAACAGGCATCGGAGAATGCCGCGATCTGTTGAAGACTGATGACATATCCTCAATCTACCACCCCCTCTGGCAGAAATGCGACGTAGTCTACTGGTGCAGGCTCAATTCCATCGGGCTGCCCCACGACCTTCAGGACGTCACCCTTGTTCACCTGCACATTCGCGAATCGTTTCCTCGTCGCAGAATGTCCATCCAGATAGATCGAAGGTGTATGCCCTACTCTTCCGGTATATACATCATCACTCCTCCATTTCCCAACCTCCCGATCTCCGAGCGTGACAGTAAATGTGCTATTGCCCGCTGTTAGATCGAAATGCTGGACGATGAGATCGTAGCGTCCACTTTCGAACGGGACGCTAACGGATGCCGTTCCTGTTGTAGTATTCGAGGATGTGACAATAGCCTTTGTACCCGAAGCGATTTCGAATGGAGAAACGTCGTAGATTTCATACCCGTCTAGTTGCATGTCCTCGGCCTCAATTCTCCAAGGAGAATTTCCCACGCGAGAAGAAATATCTTCGATGCTGGAGAGATTGTAAATCCAGTTGTTGATCGCGTCGCGCCAGACAATGCTGTGACCTGCTTGGAATTCTTGCCGATATAAAACTTCGTTGTAGCGTTCGGCATCGATGAGGCCGTGGAGGGATTTCCATAGGGTGACAAAATTTTGGGCTGTTTCTGCGCCTGCGTAGTGCGCGTCGTAGAAATGTTGGGCGACGGACTTGCCGGATTTGAGGATATGCGTGTAGGGAACGTGATGGAACCAGAGAAGTAGGTCGTCAGGCGTTGTCGAGATGTTCTCGAAGAGCTGGGCGACTTGGGGAGGGTATTGCCCGGCGTAGCCAGTGCCGTTCGATACAGTCCTGTCCATTCCGACGCCTTCATTATCGGCGCGTGTCCATTGGCCCCAACCATTGCCGTCTTGTGATTGTGGGTTGGGACCAAAGTGTGTATAGAGGATGTCGGTCAGGGTTTGAATACCGAGATTGCCGGTGTAGTTCTCGTATGCTGGCCATGATTGCATGGACATCTCAGCGATCGTTTCGATGACTTTCTGGTTGTGACCGAATGTGAGACGGGTCCAGTCATTCAATATCTCTTCAGAGTCTAGCGTCCAGTCCCAGGCGAGGCGACCATATGCATACAGATTTGACATTGCGAGATGGCTGCCCAGCCACGTACTATTGGTACCCACGTTCACCACAGCTGCGGATCCTCCGAGGGGTCGCTTGTGGTGGTAGCCAGTCATAACATCTCGCAGCAGCGAGGTGTCGTTGTCAATTCGAAGATCGAAGTCCGTTAGCGTCTTCCAGAGCGGAGGCAAGTAAACGAGATGCATCTGCTGTCCAAGATACTCCTGCGTGACTTGCAGCTCAACTGCCATGCTTGTATTTCTCAGATTGGCGAAAAGCGGCGATACTGGCTCCCGGACCTGGAAATCGATCGGGCCATACTTGATCTGCACAACCACGTTGTCCTCGAAATGGCCGTCGAGTGGTCTGAAGTAATCAACAGCAGCATTTGCTCGGTCGGCTTTCCAGTCCGTCTGGTTGAGCTGGTCATACACAAAGGCACGAAACATCAGCACGCCTCCATGCGGTTTGAGTGCTCGTGCGAAAAGGTTGGCGCCTTCCGCCAGGGTGCGATTGTAATGGAGCGGTCCAGGCTGGCCTTCGCTGTTGGCCTTCACGAGGTAGCCGGCCATGTCTGGAATGCGGTCGTAAATCTCGGTCGTCTTGTTCGTCCACCAGTCGATTACTTGCTCGTCTAGGGGATCATATGTATCGATATCTGTCAAATTTGCTGGGGATGCAAAATATAGCGATAGCCCTAGCTGGACGCCGTAAGGGCGGAACACATCTGCAATGCGGCCCAAGCCATCGATGTTCTCCGGTTGCAATGTGGTGAAGTTGGCGTTGACATTGTTCACGACAACCGCGTTAATGCGAATCGAGGCTAGTAATCGAGCATATTCTGCTGCTCGTGTAAGATTTGCTTTGATCTTGCCGTTTTCGAAGAATATGGAGTTGCCAGCAAAGCCACGCTCAATGATTCCGTGAGTACCGGATGCGTCCACTACGAATCAAGACACAGTCAGCGCGTGTCCACATGTCAAGGTGTCAATCTGCAATGTCGATGAATACGTACTGTTGTCCCATTCGTTGGTCCATCTGATTGGCGCTGCAGGATTCGTAAGGTACTCGACATTCGAGAAGTTGCCCTGCGCTAGCATTGACAAGTATTCGAATGTGCCGTAGAGCGTTCCTCGCTCGTTGTGTCCGACGATCTTGACTTCGTCATCCTTGATGCTCAGCCAGAAGCCGTCTTCAATCAGATCGCTCTCAACTCGCGAATCTGGATATGCGGCGTTGTAGGTCTCAACAGTGGCAATGGTCACAGCCGGTTGTGAATCATCATCGCAGATCCTAGCATGGTGTCCAAAGATATGTGACAGTCCTTGTTGCAGCTCCTTTCCGGCAGTTTCAATAGGTCCGCCATGAGTCGCATTTAGCACGACAATCGAAGACGGAAGAGCAGGATGGTCGATATGTCTCGGTAGCGGGGCGTATCGAAGCCAAGCTTGCAACCCGGTTTCCGCCTGGACTAAGCTCGCGAGAAAGAAAAGAAGTAAATGAAGCATTTTGAAGCATGTGAACTTTGAAAGTATGCTTACCCATCTGGTCATTTATGCCCCGTCTACTCATCTCAATGATCGTCGCCATTGGGGGTCATACTGATCAGGCATCAAGTGCATTCAGCCTATTTCAGCCTATATTGTGTTAACAGGCTCTGGAGAACGTCACGCGGGGCGCTGCTTGCGGGGAGGCGGAGGCGGGTTGCCATAACCATATTGGCGTCATTTTGGTGGTTCTACTAATGGACAGAGCGCACTCGGCTGATCTTCGATGCCATGTCGTCGTGTAGCGTAGGTGGTGTTGGGTCCAAAGGATGGGCCAGTGGCGCGTGAAGTCAGTGAAACACGAGATCGGTCTTGGCATGTCTGCCTTCCGTTCCAAGTCAGACTTCGCGACTTGGAGAAAGCACCACCGTTCGAGATGTGCTTGGATTCTCAAAAGCCATCATGAAGCACTATGCCTTCAGTCGAGAACCGCAGTGGCTCCTCAGCATACCGTCCGACATCTCTTGACTTCATCAACCTTCCAAATCCTATTCAACCTGCTCCTCCGTCGCAAAAGCACCCCTTGAATGGCACCCCCCACCTCGAAAAGGCGCGACTCGACACTGTATCGAATCAAGATCTCTTCCGGCTAGTTCTCGAGCCTTCTGGTGACAGAGCACCGAAAAGGCCCCGTCCTGTAGACAATCCTAACTTAGACCTACCAAAGTTGCCGGTGAGAAATAATGCCAAGCGTCTACGCATTCCGCCTACGCTCTCTGGGCTTCATCAGCCGCCACCTGATGCCGGTCTACTGCCTTCCATAAGTGTTGACAAGCCTCCAAGTCTTCCTTCGAAAACATTAGATTCAGAACCACATGCTGAAGCATCCGAGACTGGGCCTGCGCCTGATCGGACAGGCAGTTCAACAACAAGGTCCGCGTCGGCAACAGCGAACGAGTCGAAAAAGCAGCCTAGGAAGCTCGCGAAGCGCAACAAGTGGACGCCGGAAGAGACTGAGGACTTGTTGAAAGGGGTTGCTCGCTTCGGCGTGGGGAATTGGACCAAGATCTGGAACTGTTCAGACTATCAATTCAACAGCCGTACGGCGCTAGACTTGAAAGATCGCTTTCGGGTGTGCTTTCCAGATCATAACAAGACGTCGAAGAAGTCCAGTGCACCTATAGGTGAGGCAACATCAACTGACACGGACGAACAAGGAACCGCCTTGAAACGTTCCGCGAAAGGACCGGCACCAGAGCGAATTGATACGGCGACGCTTGAAAAGCTGGGCATTAACACACCGTTTGTCAGATCAGAACGGCGTTCTCGACATGGCTATAGCGCTACTGAAGACGAAGCCCTGCTCAGGGGTTTCAAAAAGCATGGCAAGGCGTGGACCGCCATCAAACAAGATCCAGATCTCAATCTCTCGTCACGACAAGCGACTGATTTGCGAGATCGCATGCGAACACGATTCCCTGAGGAATATGCCAAAGCAGGGCTGGCGCCTCGAGTGAAAAAGCAGAGCGGCGACTCGAATGGTCACACATCTGCTTATAACGATGAGACTACGAAACAACAGGCCGAGAATCATAACGCTGTCGGTAGCAAGAATAGCGCGCAACAACCTGGTACGCTTCTCCCCAAAATGATCGATATTAGGAAACCACAGCAGCAAGCGCTCTTCAGCCTCGACGACGTATACCTAGGAAGGCTCAGCGAAGATGAGGATGACGACGATGGGCCAATTACACTCGACCGCGGCATCTTGGATTGGGCGACAGATACTGCTCGACCGGTGCCCGCTGAACGGTTGCGCGCACCTGATCCCAACACTTCTTTACTACCGAAGCCTATACACGCGAGGCATACCCAGGAGCTTCCAATGTCACAGGCTTCTCAGAATAACAATGCTACATCGCTGCCATCGCTAGCGAGCTTGCTGCCCGAGAACAACTCGTCAGAGCACCTGGAGCTGCCGTCATTGACGGAATGGTGGGGTCAGAGCGATGGGCGCGGGGGAACAGCTTCATATCCAAGCTTGGAGGAGATACTCAGTCACGATCTGTAGCCACTGCGGGCGTAGAGTAATGCCATATATGTTGGATTTCAAAGTATATTGGTTGGCATTCCGGTTAGACTTTTTGACCCAAGTCGAAGGAAGTCGCGTGATATCAATCTAGCATGACACTTTTCTACTTCCCGTGCGTTGACTATACAGTGCTTTCGTAGGTCGTTCGCTCGATGTATACATCAGTGCTGCACAAGATCACCTGCTGTTCACATCTCGCCGAATTCACGATGACGGTTCTGACCTGTTAAAACTAGCTCCGGACTCGCCCGCCAAGTGCCAAAGCGCTCGAGAAGCTTTGGCACTTCATCCTCGACATTGTCTCCAGAGCACCTCACCCATCCCGCCGCACGCCTTCTCCTCTCCATTCTTCGCACGCCGCCCAGCTCGTGTGTCGAGCGGACTCGGCATACGCTCGCGCGATCAGCACGTCTGCACTGCGACACGTGCCTGGTCAGCGCTCCCATGCGGCCTCTGTCCTCCCACAAAAAGTTGTCGCCCAACGCCTCCACCTTCTGAACCACCGAGTCGCCCTTCCTCATCAAAGCCGCGCCTCCATGTCGTCAAATGCAGGCCGCCGCTGCTGAAACACCACCGACTATCACCGGACAAGCACTGCAGCAGGCAGATCGCGCTTAGGTCCGCCTTGCCTCTGCGGAGGCCTCGAGCCACCACTGAACATGAACAACCCATATCAGCAGGGAGGGCATGCGCCTAATGTGCCGCCGGCTCTCCCTATGCACGCGCAGCGCCGCGACTACAACCCCTATGCGCAGCATGCACCTCACACACCGCTGCCTCCTTACAACGGCTACCAGCACCCGCACGCATACTACCACGCGCCGCCGCGATGGCCGCAGCAGGCTTACCCGCAGCACTATATACCGCAGCAGCAGTGGATGCCACCACAGCACTACGCGCAGCGTTCGCCGATGGTGGTGAGCTCGCAACCTCATGGACAGCCGATGACCCCGGTCACACGACAGCAGCATGCCATTCCGCCCATTCCACAGGCCACCCAGTCGCCACGACCTGTTCCGCAATATGTCCATCACCAGCTGCCTGTAGCCTCTCCCTCGCCTGCACCGGCCCAAGCCCATACTCCAGCTGCCATCACAACGCCAGCTGCTGCATCCGCTGCTTCCCCAGCTGTTGTATCCAAGGCAGAGGAGCGTGTCGAGACTCCACCTCCAACAACGTCCAGAAGATCATCCATTGCTACAAACCCGTTGGCACTTTCTCCGGAGTACAGAGAGCCATTTTGGCCACAGGTAAGCACGCTCCGCCCTCCACGTATCTTATTTTGCTGACGTAATGTAAGCTCCCTTGGTACTCGGTACCTGAAGGTCACACTGCTTTCCCAGCACGTGCCACGCCTCGTCGCCGACGTCGACGGAACATTCGCAATGCTAACTCTGCTGTGGCCTTCCCACCTCTTGCAAGCGCTGTGGAGGAAGCTGCTACACCTGCCGCTGGCCAAAGCCAAGCCACCGGTGAGCCTGAGCCGGAGCAGCAATCGGAAGCCTCGACAATCGCGGCACCGTCCGAGCCAGAGACTCCAGCAACCTCTCAAGCACCTTCTGAAAGCGACTACACGAACGTCTCGACTCCTGCCACGCCCGCCCCAGCGCCCGTCCCTTCGCCGAAGCCGACGCCTACGCAACAGGCACCCCACGCTCGTCGAGACACGCGGACTGCCATAGCAATTCCGTCCATACCTGGTCTCGCCAAACCAAAAGGAGTCTCGCCACCATCGACTTCTCACAAAGAGGTGCAGTCGCAGGCAGGCGAGGAGATCACGCCAAAGACAGAAGAACAAATCACTAGCGCTGAGGAGAAGACCGCACCGGTTGAAGAGACTGTCAAGACACCAGAGGCTAAACCAGCGCCCAAGTCGTGGGCTGACCTGGTCAAGCGCAATGCTCCGAAGGCTGCAGCTCACACTCCTGGTCTTCAGAAGAGCGAAGTCATGACCAATGGCATTCCTCTTCCAAAGTCAGCTTCATTGGCTGATGCTCTGAGACAATACAGTGTCAATAGCGGGGCTCTCTTGAATTTCCTTGAACCAAGAGGTCTGGTCAACACTGGAAATATGTGCTACATGAACTCGGTGAGTTTAATCGTTTACTGACGAAGACGATATACTAATACGCGAACAGATATTGCAAGTCTTGGTTTTCTGCGTGCCTTTCTACAACTTCTTGGATCAGGTACGACAACGAACTGTGCATTCTATGAAGAGCGAGACTCCTTTGATCGACGCCATGATCATGTTCATGCGTGAGTTTAAGATTTTGGCTAGCGCGGAGTCGGCGGACATGCTGCGTTCACGCTTGAAGCAAGAACAGCTTGAGCAGTATGGCGACTCCATCACCCCGGATTATGTCTACGAAGTGATTCGGAAGTTGCCACGCTTTGCAGGTATGAGGCGCGGACATCAGCAAGATGCCGAAGAGTTCCTGGGATTCTTGCTGGAAGGACTTCACGATGAATGCGTGCAAGTCATGCAAGGACAAGCCGAGGAGCAGCCACAGCCGAACGGCGTTTCTTCGCCCGAGACCGTCTTATCTCCAGGATCTGCCGATGGTTGGCTTGAGGTTGGCCCCAAACAGAAAGCTGCCGTTACTCGCACCGCCGGCCAGCAGGATGCTCCGTCTCCGGTTACCAAAATCTTCGGCGGTCACCTACGCTCGGAGCTTCGTGTTCCAGGCCAAAAGGACTCCGTCACTTTGGAGCCGTATAAACCACTTCAGCTTGACATCGGTGCACAGCATGTAAACAACATTGTCGATGCCTTGAAGGGGCTTACCAACACCGAAGCCTTAACTGGTGATTTCGGTGGACGTGGCAATACGGCAAAGAAGCAAGTGTTCATTGACACTTTACCACCGGTGCTTGTACTGCACCTCAAGCGCTTCGAGTATAACAGCAGCTTGAATGGTACCCAGAAGATATGGAAGAAGGTTGGTTATCCGCTTGAGCTGCAGGTCCCGAAGGAGGTCTTCTCCCCTGCAAGGCGCGCTAGCTTGCAAATTTCTGGTCTGCCGAAGTACAGACTGACAAGCGTGGTTTATCATCATGGCAAATCCGCAGCAGGCGGGCACTACACCGTCGATGTTCTGCGACAGGATAGCCGGGAGTGGATCCGCATGGATGATACAATCATTCGCAGGATTCGTGGCGAGGATGTTGCCGAAGGCGGCGCTGAAGAAGATCCCAAAATTCTCGCCAAGGCCTTGGAGCAGCACAAGGCGGATCAAGATATGCAGAAGCAGAGGAACATGTACGGCGGCCTTGACGAGGCCGACAAGGAACCCGAAGAAGAGAAGCCATGGTCTGAAGTCAACGGCAATGTGAGTGGGCACAAGAAGAACTGGAGCGGCATTGCTGCTTCTGTCACCAATGGCACCGCAACGCCTACAAGTACCACGGGCAAGCGTACACCCACAGCGAAGCGAGAAGGAGTACGGGATAACAAGGTCGCATACATTCTCTTGTATGAGAGGATTCGCGATTGAGGAGGGTAAGGAAAACGGGAAATATGGTGGCATGTGCCACTGCAGATGTGCCGGTAGGTAAAGTCTGATGTTCGCACCGTTTTGGAGCAAGGCTGCGCTGGCGACGCACAGTGCACAGCTTCATCGGACATGGACTAGACTCGCAAGGGCGAAAGGGCATGCAAAAAAGTTCGGCATTAGCGATGGCGTCGGCGGACGCTTGTGTGAAACGTGTGCACGCGGAAATGTGTTTTGTTTCCGCGTGCCTCATCTTGGACTAACGACGATACGCTACGGGTGTATTTGTAGTGCACAGAACAGCAAGAGCATCGCACGAAGCTGTTATCATGATGAGAGAGGCCCCGTGGTTGGGTTGTCTTCGGCTTCAGGCTGCAGCTTGCTTCGTGTGAGCGGGTTGCAAGCGATGTGTTCAAGCTGTGTGTAGATATAGTGAGAGATCTATCAGTAAATGACATCTCTTTCATCCTTTGGGCCCCTCTTGTTGGGACTGAGCCTCGCTATCTCAGATGAAGAGCACCTTGATGGCGTCGTGAGACAATTGCCTGTCTGTGCTCTGGTTGCTGTGCTTTGAAGCACCACCACTGTCGATGCATGGCAAGACACTCGCATCCTATAGCCGGCGGATAGCATGCGAGGAGCCTGCCTAAGAGGAATTCCCCGACCCGGAACCTCAAGCTAGCTAGCCGTCTCACGTTGATCGCTCGGAGCAGTCGATGGAAAGAGCATGGTTGATCTGCGGGGCGATCCGCTTGTGCCAGACCGTACATTATAGCCAGCGAGTCTATCCCACTTCGCTCACTCCACCTCTCGCCTATGGGTACGAGTTGCTTGCAACAAACGATGTACAGCACGTGGGCTGCGGCCAAGCTGTCAATACCACCGTAGTCGGACGCAGGCTAAATAAGTGGTGCTACACTGCTACTCACCTGCCAAATGGGACGGAAGACCCGCGACACGAGGAGCTTGTGGTATGACACGAGAGGTTGGAGTCAGATAGCATAAAGGTGTCGCGAACTCCCGCCGGCGTAGATTCCGAAAATCAGACTCTCGATACGCTTGCTCCATCGGACAACATGCTTCTCTCCCATAAGACCCTACTCGGCCTACTAGCCTCTACGGCTGCCGTTATTGCGGCGCCTACATCTTTTGAGAAGCGAGCTGTTATCAACCACGATGCAGTAGTGGGATTCCCACAGACAGTGCCTAGTGGACTGACGGGACAGCTGTACTTGAAGTACAAGCCTTATTTGAAGGTCGACAATGGATGTGTGCCATTCCCAGCTGTGGATTCGAGTGGAAATACTGGGTATGCATTCAGTCATCACATCGCTGCTATGCCAGCTGCGCTTCGTGGCGGACACCAGACATTTTTGGGCCGCAGATACTGACAGATGAGCAGGGGCGGTCTCAACCCAACCGGAGGCTCTTCAGAAGGCTGCTCCTCCAGCACCGGCCAGGTCTACGCTCGTGGAGGCACGTACAACGGAAACTATGCAATCATGTATTCTTGGTACATGCCCAAGGATTCTCCATCCACTGGTCTTGGACATCGCCACGATTGGGAGAATGTGGTAGTTTGGCTCTCATCTGCATCTACTTCCGCGACCTTGAGAGGCGTCTCAGCAAGTGCGCATGGCGACTATGACGCGAACACCAGTCCAAACTTGAGTGGAAACAGCCCATTGATCAGATATTTCTCCATCTTCCCAGTGAATCATCAGCTTGGATTCACGAGTACGCAAGGTGGACAGCAGCCGCTGATCGCTTATGAGAGCTTGACTTCTGCTGCGAGAACAGCGTTGGAGAACACGGATTTCGGTAAGTGAAGCCATGGAGATGAAGCCGCAGGAAGAGACTAATTCTTGCACAGGAAGTGCGAACGTGCCTTTCAAGGACGCAAACTTCCAGAACAATTTGGCAAAAGCGGCTCTATAGATCATTGCGTAGAATGTGAAGTGGGCACGGGACCGTTTGCTAGCTGCGCGAGGCAAAGTCAAGCTGGCAGCACGCATGACAACAAACGATCTTGACACTTCTGACATTTCTTCGAACCAACTCATCTCACGTTTACACCCGTTGTTTACCTCACTGACTATACTCAACGACTTCGACCATTCCAGCGCTCCAATGCCTCTCTTTCCATCCGAGTCACAGGCCCAGCCCATCAAAGGTCGCCGCTCTAAGCGCGTCGCAACACAAACAGACACCCGAGACCACGGAGCGACTGCAGCAATCGAGCTAGTGCAGCGTGCGAATAAATTACAGACCGAACTGCGCGCTTCCGATTCGAAAGGACAAGATGAGATGCTTTGGGGCACTTCCGACCTCGACCACACGGATGAAGAAGGATTAAGATTCGCAGGCTATCGCGGTCAAACCTTCTTCGAGCAACTCGATCGCGATACCAATGGGCGGGCGATGGAGATCTGTGTCTGTAAGCACAAAGTCAGCAGTGAGGGTGAAGACGTGGAAGCCGAGGATTTGATGAGGTGTAGCGTGAGAGATGTAAGTCGAATGTTTTCTTCTTCCTGACTGATGCTTAAAGCATCGCGGGATCTGCGGCGGCTCAATTGATGTCGGCGGATAGTGTAATCCTGGCTGGTTCCACCATAGCTGCGTTGGTCTGCCGGAACATCCTCCAATGCATCTTGGGTGGATGTGTCCTGATTGTGTCTTATCTCAGAGGATGACTGGGACTGTCAATGGGCTGTGGGATCTCAGGAGAGGGGAAGATGTTACGAGGGCAAGAGAGTGGTTGAAGGAGATGAAGTTGGAGAGGAGTAGGTTTGACGCACGAGAAAAGCAGTTTCAAGTGGCGAGGGAAAGATTTTGGCGAGAGCTGCACGAGGAGGATTGAATGTTTGGCATCTGCAGACGAGGAAGTCGCAACTCTGCGGACTGCAATCTTGCTCAGCGACATGATGAGACCTTTTATCACCACCGCTGAGCGACGGTGAGGATTGACAAGAGCTAGATGAATATGCGTCTCGCGGTCACCTGGGGCACTGCAACGCCTGTACACGCGCAGTATTCGTTTACGTAAGTCGATCTTTCCCAAATGGTGCTGTCATGCTATTGATTATACTCACAGTTGGATCAATGGCTCAACCCCAGCGCTCGTGCCTTGTCTACATCAGCCCAATACCTTTCCTTGCTTCTCTCCCGCAACTTCGGCCCTATCTTCACCATCACGAACAACGAAGCGTTCCACACGAAACCGATGACGGCGACCATGATGAACGTGTTGCGATACCCAAGCGCGTTCAGCCAAGGTGTAATACTAGAACAAAGACTCAGTAAGATATTCAAGTGTTCAAATCACCAGCAACAAATGTCATTCAAGAGAGGACTCACCCATAATTCACCGCAAAACTCAACGTATTCCTGATCAAGATCAACGTCGTCACCATATCTCCACTCAATTCCCGATAACTACTGATGGCATATCCCAAACCACCAGCCACACAGAGACAATTGCTCACAGCCAGCGCGCCCTGCGAAAACACCAGTCCAAACCAGTGGATCCGATATTCAATGCCCAAGCCATACAAAAGCATACTGAAAGGAACCAATATCATACTCGCCACAAACATATAAAGAGTATCTTCAGGCTCGGAGAGACCTCCACGACGTCGTGCAAGTCGGACAGTCAAGACACGCCCCATCTTTCCGCAGTAATAGGCTCCAAGTATCGCTCCGATGACGCCTGATGAGTAGGCGGCCGCGATGGCGGTAGTGCTGAAATTGTAGTATTGGACATAAACGGTTCCTGTTGTGGCGTTCTGTACTCCAGACCAGACGAGGGCGTTGGCGCCGTACATGAGACCTGCGTAGACGATCACGGGGTAGGTGAAGCCTTTGAAAGGAGCGAGGAAGATCGATAGCATGCGGTTTGGACGCGGGGAGTCGAAGAGGCGGAGCTTTTGGAGGTAGGTCTTGCGAGGGTAGGATGTTTCGCCTGCTTCGAGGGAGGAGGTGGATGATGAGGAGATCGGTGTTGGGACTTTCTTTTCTGATTCTGGGGCATGGACGTCTGGTAATGGATTGATGGATTCGGTAAGTGGAACTGGTGTTGAGGTGATGACATGCTTGCGATCGTAGTTCGTCTCTGAATCGATGTTGAGTATGCGTAGTCTTGCTGGAACTGGGCATGGCACTCACCTTCCATCAGAAAGAAACAGTACACGAATGCAATCGCAATCCAGATCGCGGTCCACCAGAGAACCCATCTCCAGTCCTGTCCGTCGTTGATAAAGCCCGCCAACATTGGAGCGAGTTTGCCAGTCACGCTCAGTCCGAACCCATACCAAGCCAAGTACTTGGGTCTTTCATGTGCAAACCAGATGTCAGTGATGCTAATCTCGCAAAGGGCTTCCACTGGTGCCCCAAAGAAACCTTGTAACACCTTGTTCGCAAGATATGTGCTTCGCTTTGTGCACCATGGAGCGCTCGTCATGATGGCAATGGATGCCAGCATAGAGAACAAATAAGCAGGTCGCTTGCCATATTGGAGAGCCAGTGGTTGCCAGATCACGCATGCCCAGCCATATGCGAGGAACATAACGCCAGTGCCAGTGTTTAGGTCATTGAGAGTGAGTCCTGTCGCTTTCTCAATCGGTTTCACTACGGAGTATACTGAACCAGAAGGAATAGCGATCATGAGGGTGTACATGAGCACGCAAGATGTGGCCAGCATTTTGCGTTTGTACGACCAATTCCTGTACGATATCAGCACCGGCGGCTTATGACCTGATTCAGTGTCGTCAATACGTACAATGGGTCTTCAGGGTCATCAGAGGGCGTTGGGTGAAGAATGATATCTCGCTCATCGGCAGGCCCAGTTGCATGTTTTGTGGTGCCGCCGAGCTCATTATTGTGGTCGATGAGGTACACTGTACCCGGAGGCAACGTTCTATCGTTGTCCATTATGTCTTGACGCTACTGAAGCATTCAATCAGATCTGCATCAACTGCTGGCACGTAAAGCTATTGAGGTCGGTGTCAAGACGAAGGTTGGGTTCATCAACGCGTCGCAATGTCAAGCCACTGTGTATGCCTATCTGCTGCCAAAGGCGAGTCACCTGTCCGGCTCGCTGCTTGCATAGCTATGGAGACCGGTTCTTGAGGCTGGCAGCTGTTGAAGTGGTGATAAGATATAGTTCAGATAGGCCTGGCTGCGTTTGGTCCCGCGTGTGGTTCGGGCAAGCACAAAGTGGGTCGTGGAACGCTCAGCACTTTTCCATGATATGCGCTGTTCCGCCACTGAGTTCGCGAAACTGGCCGTGTCCCCCAGGCGAAAGTTCGAGTGCCATCGTGAGGAGACGCGCCGTATGGATGCAGTCGCGTGGCAGCTTCGCTCCAGAGGCGAATTGGCCGATTTGCTCTAGGAGACACTCTAACTTTGACCGGGCGAAGACATCAGATGCCCCAGTCTCCAATGGTGATCTGCGTGATGGGAGCATTGGGTGCTTAGGAGAGTCATTGTTCGAGCACTGTAGGCATAGGAAATGCCAAGTGCCTAGAAGGTGTGTGGAAGAACATCCGCCAGATGAGTAGGGCAATAAGGAGGGCTGTTGCAAGAATGCCTGAGCATTCTGGCGACATCATCCTGTGGCGTAGCCAGCAGTGGCACGACTCTCAGGGAAGATCAGTCGCATGGGTTCTCGTATGGGTGACTCGGGCGTTTGCGCCATTGTCGGTGTCGGTGGCGCGTTTCCGCCCTATGTGAGACGATGTTGCTGCGCGATGTAGAGTGAGACCTTCATCTGCCAAACGAGTGTTGTGTATCACCCAGGAGAGGTTGTCAATTCGAGAAGGATGCTCTTGCTGTGACAATGGCGGGAGGAGGGCATGATGTTCTCCGGCGAGCCCTGGCGGCGAGATGGCAAAGATCTTCCAAGGACGCGGCTTCGACCACCTCACCTCTCCGAGACACTCAAGATTCGCGATAAGTAATCGAGGACTCCTCTGCGACAAAGTGCATCCCGGAAAGCAGTGGCGCGCATACGCGTCCGCGCAAGAGTATTTGCACAGGGCCGTTGATCAGCATTTCGACAGCGAACGGTACTGCGGAAACATGGCTCTTGCGTCTTGACAGCCCCAACGGTCGCGACATCCTCCGATCATCGACGACGGAGGTGCGACGCGTCAAGGCAACTTGCTCGACATGCACATACGCGCGCAGAGACACATGCTACATTGACGGGACCATAGACCGACACAGGCAAAGACATTCGTCGACCGCCTTCTCGGCCTCCACCACCACCACGTCCCTATGCCCCTGCGCCAAGCTAAACCCTCGACCGAGATTTACGGTTCCTGACAATGCGCCAGGATCAGCACGCGGGCAGTAATTCGGGTCTCATTCATTTCCCAGTTAGTGACGAAGTCACCAGTGCCGGTCTCCCACTTGCGCTCGATGCAGCTTTGACTTCTTGGGACCGTCCATCCTGCGCCTCTGCCTCGACGCGAAGATACCCCTACAAGAAGGAGTTTCGGCGTCCCGGCGCGACTCCCACCAAGCCTAGTGCTCTTGGATTCCAACATCATCCCTCTTCCTTACCTTGTTGTTGATCGAGACCAGCGACCAAAATGGCATACTAGTCGACCGACGTTCGCTTGGTGCATTCGTAAAATAAGATTGCCCTAATCTGCCCTGGTCATTCGTTCTTCGCCTGGCTCTACTTCTGATCTTGTCTTTCCTATTGCACACTTACTACGCACACTCGTTTAAACTGTTCTTCTGGCTCCGGCCGCTTTCTGCTCGGGTTCTTGAGCAAGTTTTTCTATTGTAATCTATTTTTGAACAGGAAACAGCCGCAAATATGCTCGCAGACTGGACCTCACTTCTATTCCTCTCCTCCGCAGTCCTCGCTACTGCCAGAGGACACTCATACAATCATGCCGCTCTCCACGCCAAACGCCAGAATGCCGACCAACAAGACCAGACGGCTGCGAAAGCACGATGGGGTCAACTGCAGCAAGAGTACCTCGACAGTTTAAGAGCAAATCTGGAGCCCGAAGGCACCTGCACGTGGGATACGATGACTGTGCGAAGGGAATGGTAAGTCGGATTCCCACTGCCTGCAAAATCAGCTGCGCAGGACTCTGTGATGCATTGCCCACTTGCGGAGGGAGTAGAGTTCAGACCCTCCATCTGCCAGCCAAGGTTGTTCCATGCAAACGATCCGTGAAAGCTAATTTTGTCCTTGAACAGGGGCGACATGCCATCGGAAGCGAAGCAAGACTATTTACGGGCAATACACTGCTTGAAGGAACTTCCAGGAAAGACGGATCGCAACGAACAGACTGGAGTTCCCGGCGCGAGGTCGCGTTGGGACGATTTCACTGTAGCACATATGCGCAACGTGAACGATGTGCATCGTTCGCCGTGGCTCGCGGTGTGGCATCGTCACTTCGTCTGGAGACTGGAGAAGGCCTTGCAAGAAGAGTGCGGGTACAAGTATGGTGAGTGAATGTCATCCAACATCCGTGATGAATAAGCGTCGATGCTGATGCGTAATACAAGGTCACCCTTACTGGCATTGGTCGAAATATCTCGACCAAGATGTCAACACCTGGCCCATGTTTGACAACTCTCCAGACTCGATATCCGGTAACGGCACACAGACCGGTCCTTTGTGCGCCTGCGTCAACGAAGGCCCTCTGGCCAACTGGACCGTCACTCTTGGCCCATACCCAGGTAGCTGGGGCTGCTCTGCGAATCCACGCGACGATGGGCTGGGTTACAACCCCCGCTGTATTGATCGTACCTTCCAACCTTCCAACCTCAGGAGTAATGAGTACTCCGATGTTGTCTTTGTGATCGATAACTCCACCGACGCCGATTCTTTCGGAAGGCATGTCGAGCTGGAACAGCCCTCCGTGCACAATTATCCTCACATCTTCATGGGTGGCACGCAGATTGACGTAACGTTCTCCAGCCAGGATCCTTGGTTCTTCTTCCATCACTTCATGCTCGAGTACGTCTTCAACCTCTGGCAAAGCCGGGACTGGGATACCAGAACAACTTCCCTGCCGAACGCGGATACGTTCACCGAAAACAGAAGGCGAGATGGTTGGGCGTTGCCAGTGCCGGCGCCGACGTTAGACAGTACACTGTGGCTCCAGGAAGCGTTCGAGAACATTACGGTCCGGGAGGCCATGTGGCCCATGAAGAACCAGTATTGTTACAGATACGAGTAGAAGACTGAGATTATGCCAAAGACAGGCCGAATCAGGACCAACCCCAGATTAAACGTACCGCACGCAGGGTTGATCAGAGAAGGGCACTGATCCGGAGTTGAAAGTTGGGCGAGACTAGTCAAGATCCAGTGTCCGTCATCTTGCCAGCAAATGCAAGGAGTTATGCAGTCCAGACTTGATGTACCTTATGCTGGTCGTTACTCGCCAAGTCGAGAGGGCTCGGCGATGTATCCGGTGCCACAGCTGCGTCGCCGGCAACTAGGATGCGAGCTCATTGACTCAGGCATTGCTCAATCCAGCGCTTCGAGATCTTCAGGTTCACCCACATCACCAATCAGCTCCAAGGCCGCCTCCACATCTCCCTCAACATCTTCTGCCTCGTCGGCCAACATTTGCACGAATTGAAGCATGTCTTCTCGAAGCAAAGTCTGATAGTCGCGATTCTGGCTTTCTGAGTTCCCCGCACCCGCTCCTAATATAGTGTCTTCGTTGTTGCCAGCAGTATCCGGGGCTAAACTCAGTATGCGTATGACCTTCGTCGGTAAGACTCCTCTTCGATTTTGTGCCAATTGAAAGATGGATCGATCGCGGTGCCGCAAAGTCGTGTAGGTTGTCATAATGCAATCGTCGTATAATGACATGAAGCTGACCGGCACAGCTAATTGCGAGGATAAGCAGGAAGCCAAGGTGAAGGATGGTCTCGATGACTTGTCATCACCGGAAATAACACGGTTTTCATCGTCCAAAGAGACCACATAGACGCGATCTTGAATCTCGAACATGACTCGGCGATCACGAACTGATAGCCAGCCGCCAAGATCAAATGTCGAGCCATCCGAGTCACATTCGATCATGAAGGTATTCGCAGCGAAAGATGTTGAACCCTCGAGTGCTTTTCGCCAGTTTGAGCAGATGAAAACTCTGCCTCCTCGTGAGACACCAGCGAAGAGATCGCCATCAAACATTCCAGCACCCCATTCATCTTCTGCTAATGGAATGAACTCTCCATCGACTACGGGCGTAGGTCCCGCATTGATCGAAATCTCGCTCGTGCGGTTTTGGCGTGGATTTTGTGGAGGGAAGATACTTGCAACACCGGCAAAACTTCCTTCGCCAAGCTGAAAGTCTGGACCTCCTTCGCTGTGGTGTATGTGGAAGAAACGGTCTGTGTTGCCTCCTGCAGCGCAGAACGCTGGTTGTAAGACTCCAAGGCACCGCCCAGAGGTCTTGTCGTAAAAATGGCAGCCTTTTGTTCCCTGGGACCAGGCTACGGTGTCTAGGCATTGATGGAGATGGCCGGTTGCTCCTTCTTCGATTGTCATTTGAGTCATGACTCGCGGTTCGCCGGCAAGCATGTTGTCATAGACAAAGCCTAGACCATCGCAGGATACGACGCAGAGCATGCCATAGGAAAGCTGGAAGCCACGTGTGGTTCTCTCGTGTGGAAGAACTGTAATCCGTCTGAGTACGCCGCGCGATGCTGCACTGTCATCGATGCGCCAGACTTCGACAGCGTTGCCCTCGCGATCAAAGACAGCTGTGCCGTCCTCGTATTCCACTATGCGTGAAGTTAGTGAGCACTCTAACGGCTTCAGCACAATCCGGGACATGCTTTCATAAGCTATGGTCATCAAGGCAGGGGCAAAGTGCTGAGCTTCAGATGTTGTACTCACGATGCGCAAATGGTCGAACAACGTCGCGAAGCATGTGAAAGAGGAGTTCTCCAGTGTCCATATCAGTCACGCTCAGTCCTCCTGCTTGCGATGTGGACAGTATGATACGGCGCTTGAAGTCGGGCTTGAATCGCCATACTGGATCATTGCCCACTTGGATGATAGACTCCCTAGTCACTGGGCGACGACTAGTCCAATTTCGAGATAGGAGCGTTTGCCTTTTGCAGAGCTCTTTCCAGGTTTGCACGCCGGAATAGTACTTGGCGAAGCTCTGAGTCTGCTCGAGGAAGGTAAAGTCCCTGGCTCCATGTGGACGGGATGTCTTGGCAGTGTAGATTGCATCTTGATGATCTTGGTCGATGAACGAGTGCCAGGATCGATTGAGCCGGGTGAGAGCTGCCAGAGAAGCCGGAGGGGTGAAGTCCAGTATGCGCAGCACAACTTCGGACGGCAGTAGATGCAGAGGATCTGCCGTGTGCGCCATGATTTGGTGACTATGGATGGAGAGGTCAGCGCTGCCCAAATTTGGACGTTGAAATAGAGTCTTCAGTGATGATGTCAGCCCGTGAAGCATTTCTGGGCACGCGCGAAGTATATTTCAGTCTGCAGTGCACACTCAGCCAGGCATCCCACCTACGCACTGAGCCTTTGCCGCTGACATTCGGTTGTGAAGGCATCAGATGCTGGTTTCAATCCGGTGCATACGGTATCGAAAATGCGATGGCTACGGAGTTCTTCCACATTTATGCTGATTTGTAGAGCCTTGCCTTGGTCATGAAGGTTTCCGGAACCTTGTCCCTGCTCACTGTGACCTCCTCCACCTCCGCCTGATCCCCTCCCGCTCGCTGGCCTTATCTTGTCGCGCCCGTCGCTAACAGCGCCAGAGACCAAGACACAATGACTCCGAACGGCGAAAGGGCGACGCTGCCGATCAATACAGTGGACCTCCTCAAGCACTACGAAGAATATGGAGTCATCATCTGCAAGCCATGCGCTTTTGCGATTCAGCCTTCCGCGTTGGCGAGCCACCTGCTCAAACATCAGATATATCGGAGCGAACGCCGTCGCCTGATGGCTCAGCTGGCGCATCTCAAGCTCAAAGATCCAGCAGACGTCGTGGACCCTTCCCCATTGTCGCCGCCGATACCCGAACTGCAGGTATATAAAGGAATTCGGTGCTTGCACAAGGATTGCCAACATATTTGCGCAAGCGAGAAACGCATGTCCCAACACTGGTCCGACGTACACGGCGAACGAGAATCAAAGAATGTTGTAACACGGCCTGCCTGGCTGCAGACTTTCTTTCGCGGCAACAAGATCCGATACTTTGAAATTTCTGGGCCTGGCGGCAATAGATCGGGAAGTCTGAGCACTGTGAGCAGCCCATCGAGCAATGGACCTTCGACCTTTTCACATAGCGAGATCGACTCAAGTCCAGCCTCGACCGAGGCTCATTCCCTAGATATGGACTCTCTGCGCTATCTTTTGCATTATACAGAACACACCAGTCGCACATTACCGAGGACTGAATCCGAATCTACCAAATTTTGGAGCTCCAGCATCCCTCAGGAGGCTTTGAAGCACCCATTTCTCATGAATGGCCTGTTAGGACTCAGTGCTTTTCACCTTGCCAGGCTGACACAGGATCATGATCCAGCGCAAGCGGCCTACCACCATCAAGCCTTCGTCCGTTATCAAGCGGCCAGCCTGACGGATTTTCGGGAGCTCACACGGCGTCCAGATGTGTCAAACGCCGTAGCACTGATTGCATACTCCCGAATTTTGAGTATTCAGAGATGCACGAGAGACGTCCATGATGAGTACAAGATGAATTGGCCCACACAGTTCATGTACCTTGTGCGTGGAACTGTCGAGTGTTTGGTCTCACTTCAACCATACCTCCCGGATGGCTGCGATTTCAAATTCACACTCGAAGACTATGAGGGTCTTGCGAGATTGGACGACGAAGCTGCCATCAGCAAGGATTCCAAGAGTATCGCCAATATTCCTCCAGCTATGTTGCAAAGACTGGATCAACTTCCCGAACGAGTTGCCATGGTATCAGATCCTGCGCATACATGGGATATGGACAATGCGGAAGCATGTTGTTCAGCATGCACAGCTTTGATAGCAGCGTACGCGCGAGCATACTCTGTCAACCAATGCAGTGCCTCACTCGCCGTTGGCAGTTCAGACAAAGATGCGATTCGAGCAATTTGGAGTGGATTTGAAGCCTGGACTCGAACTGTCAGTGATCGCTACATAAACATGTTGGAACAGAATAGCGGACCTGCCCTCATTGTTCTCGCTCATTTCTGCGTGCTTGTCAAGCGTTTTGAGGAGCGGTACTGGTATATCAAAGGCATGCCAGATCGGATCATTGGTCTCATCGAGGACATGCTGGAAGATCGCTACAAGCCTTTTGTGTCCGATCTGTACCACATTCTGGACTGATGAGATCTGGCGAGGCATTCGTTTACGAATCGGTAGTGTCATCGATGCTACATCTCTGGAGCAGTCATCGGCGCCTTGACATAATGACCCACGGTTAGTGGACTGCGGTCCAGGCAAAGGAGTCGAAAAGGGGTGCTGCCTTTCGATCCACGGACGACGGAAGGAAAGAAAGTTTCTCTGTCTACATCACATACACAGTGAATGTAGCCTTCCCTCGAGACCGATCTAGCCGCGTCGCGTTTGGCTCGCAAGGTGGAAAGCAAACAAGCGTAGCAAACCGCTAATGCCTATAACGCAGAAAGTGGACGTGGAACATGCACGACAACCGCAAAGCTCTGTTCGACTCCAAGAAGAGTATCTTACCAGCCATGGACTTGGAGAACTACGAAATCGTGTTTCTGGTTGTCATGCTGAGCATGTTCGGCTTCAGTCTGTGGTTTCTGCTCACAACACCCTTCGATAATCCTCATGTCGCCGCGCATGATCACGATATTTTCGAAGAGGTGGCGTCCAAAATCGACCCAAATCACCTGATGTACAGCCCGGGCACGATCGCGTACAGGCGAAGAACGAGAATGGCGCTGGCGGAGGCGATGCGTGAGGAGACTGAGGGGCGCAATGAAGCACCAATGGACACCACAGAAGATAATGCATCGACGGGAGACGAGGAAGAAATTGAGAAGTCGCCGTACGTCACCGCCGAGGAAAGGGCGCTGGGTATTCTTTAAGTGATGTCGAGATGTCGCCAGGCACAAGCTATGTTTCGATGAGAACGAAGAAAACTACGCAGTGATCTGGCTGTTTCTGGCTGGTTTCTGCATAGCGGACCTGATCGCTGCAATCTGGGATAGTCTGCTGTGCCATCTGCATTTCTTTCGTGCAATCAAAGCCTCAACTTTGTGCTTACCTTGTGCACGCTCGTTGACTGAGTGGTGACGAGACGCCGTCACGTGACATCGCCTTCACTTCGTGTTGACGTTAAGTTAAATTACTTGGCAGGGTTCACATCCGCGTCACGCCACCAATGGCCACCATCAACATCAGCACCAATTTGCCCACTCCTCATTCTCCTTTCACCCATTGTCGCATTCGTAGCAACCATGGGCGTCGACACGGGCTACAGCGCAAATGCCTCATCTTCGATGTATCCGCACTCTGCCGGCGGTCCCTCGTATCAGTCTCCATATCCTGCTTATCCCGGTCCCGTTCAGGGAAGCTTTCACGCGCCGATAGACCTCACTGAAGAGTCAGGCGAGACTGGCAAGAAGCATGCATCTGGCAAGCGCAAGGCTGTTGGAGATCATAGCAATGCCGGCCCGCCCAAGCCCTCGCGCAAACGCAAAGCAGGCGCCGTGGAAGAGGACGAGGGATCGCCATCAAAGAAGAAGGCCGCGAAGCCCAAAGATGGCGAGAAGCGTCTCCGTGTCTTCCGAAAACGAGCACCTCAAGCCTATGCTGAGATTCGGCATCGCGCGCTAACACAACGCATGATCATAATCGATCGTGAACGAACTTCCCCGCCCGCCGATATCGACCCCACTTCGCCCGACAACCATCCTACAGAGACTGTATCACTCGCGGGAACGACAGGAAACATCTACCGAATCACAATCTCACGCGTGCCTTCCTGCGATTGCCCTCACGCAAGGAAAGGCAACCAGTGCAAGCACGTCATTTACGTCCTCCATCGCGTCCTCCGCGTACGCGAAGATCTCGAATATCAGCTCGCATTCCTATCCTCCGAACTTCGAGAAATCTTCTCCAAGGCACCTGCGCTTCCCTCCGAAGTCGCAAAGAAAAATAACGATGACGGCGAAATGGACGGAAACCGCAAGTCTCTCGAAGGCGAAGACTGCCCCGTCTGCATGGAAGAATTCGAGACAGATGGAAAAGGGAGACCCAAGCGTGGGGAAGATGTGGTATATTGCAAAGCAGCATGCGGGAACAATATACACAAAGAGTGCTTCAAGCAGTGGGCCGTAGCGAAGAAGGGGCAGGGGCATGTGACGTGTCCGTTCTGTCGGACTCCATGGCAGGATGACGAAGAGACGAGAAGTATGGATTTGAAGAGTCTTGCGAAGGCTGGACCGGTCAATGAGGAAGGCTATGTTAATGTTGCGAGGCAATTGGGACTTTCGGGTCGGAGGGATTATTCCACTTACAATGAGTTCTGGATGAGGAATAGGATGGGAGATGATTGGTAGGATGATTGTGTGGTATTGGAGTTTTGGTGATGTGGATCTGAAAGCGATACCCGATTTATTGAGATACCCCGGGGAGGAAGACTACTCTTTACGACTCTGATTTCAGGCAGCATAACTCACCTGCTCTAGTTTGCAAGCTTTTTGAGATCTGTCTCAAGAACGGCGCACGCCCGCAATTTGAGCCAGATTGTAATTCAATGAGGCAGAAACCCTCTCTCAAAATGCACGATGTTCGATATCGTCCAATCTACTGACACAGGCGCAGATAACTGGAGGTGCATCTCGAGACACTTTCTCTTTGTCTAACACAACAATAGGCTTATGTGCAGGTCGCCTTCGCAAATACTGGACGTCGTTCGCACTTTCCGCCATTTCCTTCCTTTGCGCACTTTGTGCCTGACCAGAACCTATTTTCAGTCGATATACACAATGTCTATGTTTCCTATACACCTTGAAGAGAGAGGGAGAGGGAGAGACAGTGTTTGTGCGTGCGGCCCTCAACAATGGCATTGTGCAGAACCCAGTCAACATGGCAATCGAAGAAGCCAAAACATCACGCAGATCTGCAAGCCGTCGTCTTTCCCCTCCAAAGATCCCCCAAACAGTCAAGATGGTTCGCCAACATCATTTCCTCGCTGTTCCTAGCGCAGTGATACGGAAGCAGATCAAATGGCTCGCAGGCGAGCAAGCGCGAATCGAAGGCAAAGCAAGTCCACATCAGGATGCCAGGCGCCCATCCGCCGACTATACCAAGAATGCACCTACCCCAGAAAAGGCAAAGAGACAATTCCATGCGTTGCATTTCCACGCGGTGGAGCGAGCGGACTTGCTGCTTGAACAGCATTTGCCTCACGAGGTGGTGCAGCACACTGGCTCTCTTCAAGAGGGCAAGCTAACATTCGAGCTCCCGATCGGAACACTCAACATTGAAGTCGACTCTTGCTTGAAGCGCATAAAGATGTGCCGACTTGTAAGTGAAATGTTCATCTCGCGAAATGTTGACGTACCGCCAGAACTGACAACAGCTCACAGTACCAAAGAGCTGGCGACTCATGTGCTCCAATTGATTGAGAAGCACCTCGTCTCGCCGCATGCTGAGCTTCACAAGTACGTGCAGGCACGTAGGAGCTCATTATCAGCGAGGATGTTGAAGTCCGTCGCCAGTCCGAGGGACATCTGCCGAGCTGCCAATCTGAAGCAATACGGCTGGAAGTTCCTCAAAGCGACAAGCATTCGGGCTCACAAGCTTCAGGAGCGACTTCAGCAGCGCATTGCCTCTATGCGGGAAGAGCTAGATGACCTGCCGATCGCTACATTGGCGTTGAGTGTCCCTACCAATCTGAGGCTCAAGTCGAAAGCCCGCATGATTGACTACATGTTGACGCCACGACATGCGTTCCACGGCACCAACAGCGCAATCCTCGATAGCATCGCCAAGTGGGGTCTTTTGGGTCCCGGAGACACCAACCCCATGACCGGACTCGCGATCCCAAAGAGATTGGGAAGCACATATGGACCTGGAATCTATGTGACAACTGAGGTGCATCTCGCAAACACGTACTCGAACTGGGACGAAGAAGACCTCTTATTCCTCGATCCCGCAGAACGTGCACCTGGAAAGATCCGAAAGAGGGTAGTGATATGTGCTGTCATTTTGGGTCGTGCTGCTCGAGTTACCTTGGCAGATGGTTTCCGTGAGAAGCTGAACTTGTTCCCTGATGCTCACAGTCACGTTGCAAACAACGGACAGGAATATGTCCTACCCAAGGAACAAGTTTTGCCCTTGTACATTGCTGACTTCGACTGGGTTCCCGAAAGCGTGCAGCAAAAGAAGACCTACGTCGAATATGCAGAAAGCTTGGTCTGCCCACCTGCTGAAGGCGACGTTGACAAATTGGGCCGGTGGTGGCGTCCCGATTGAGGAAGAGCAATGAGCAAAGCGATAGAAATGATAGAGAATATGTAAAAGTAAAACATGCTGGAGCAAAGAGAGTGTGGCAGTGACGCGAGGACATGTGACTAGTCTACGTCTACGTGTATAGTCGGCTTGGCGCGTCTCCATTGCCAGGATATCACTTTCCTTTGTTGACGACATCGTCAAAACAACCATCTTGACACCGAATGAGCGACTCGTCTCCCCGCGCAAGTCACTTCATCCGAATGCCCGCAGACCCAGCACAAGGGTAAATGCTCTGCACAGCCTTTGATCACTGCTTGAGCGAAGACCGCAAGCACGACTTAGCGATGGCACCGTGAGCAGATCCATCTCGCGAGGACAACGCCTCCCACTGGCGCAGCGATGCGAGATATATTGTCGACACCGATGCGTCCAGAGTGCTGAGACACGAGCAGAAAGACTCTTCAAGACATCAGCTTTGTTTACGCGTCCTGCCCTGCTGAAGCATTGCCATCTCCATCTGGGTAGTACATGGCCTGCGGTTCCCATTTAGAGACGCCCATTCGTGAGGCCGACAAGGGATCCTTACATCTTCTCCTGAGCATCATGCATATGCATAACAGAGATCACTGAAAACCCATAACAATTATGCAATCTAACCTCGGTACGCATGTCGTCAGCCCCACAACTAACGACAATATCCGTCACGAGCCATTGGCTTCTACCGGATTTACCATTCCTATGCAGCTTGTTGCTCTACAATGCCGCCGGCAATTTTAGGATTGACTCGCTGCCCATGTGGCCGGGCATTGGCCCATAATGTTCACAGTGAGCTCTGGCAAAGTGCCATAAGCTGCCACTATACCATACTGTCAACATCTTACAATCATCTCGATCTACGATTGTGCTTATAACTGACTTCATACACTACGAACAAAAGTCAACATGGCATATCCAAGGCCCTCACGGACCAGCGACTTGCCCACTGAAAATGTACGTCTCATGCGAAGGCTATTCCGAACCAGCGTGAAGCACTTCAATCGAATCACCTCACGCTTCTCATCTAAAGCACGTGGAAAGCTGACACGGCAACGACAGCAGAATGACTTACTCACATCATCCCGTGCCATCGTGGCCTCAGAACCTCAAGACGGACAACGTGCCGGCGAGAACTGGGCAATACAAGATATTCAGGTCCCGTCCACGCTCAAAGAAGGCGAAATCCTGGTCGAAATGGTAGCAAGTGGGATCTGTCACACAGATCTTGCCCTTACCGTTCCCGAAAAGGGCCAGACATTCCCTATTGTACCCGGACACGAGGGAGCCGGTTACGTGCGAGCAGTAGGCCCAGGCGTTAAGAAACCGGTCAAACCTGGTGATGCTGTACTACTGTCATTCGACTCCTGCACGCTGTGCCCTAATTGCCGAGCGCAACGTCCTGCCTACTGTGATGTTTTTGCTCCTTTGAACCTCTTTGGCGAGTCCGACGTTTTTCAGGCTAGTGGCGCCGATGCATCGAAAGGCGGCGTAGGCGGCAAGTTCTTTGGACAGTCCAGTTTCGCGAAACTAAGCGTTGTGAAAGAGACCACAGTTCTGCCTGCCAACGATCTCATCCAGAACGAGGAGGAGCTGAAACTGTTTGCGCCGCTGGGATGTGGTATCCAGACGGGCGTGGGAGCAATAACTAATCTTGCCAAGGCGAGCCCAGACGATATAGTGCTAGTCACTGGTCTCGGCGGTGTCGGGCTGAGCGCGGTTATGGTACGTACTTGCATTAATTTCGAATGACAGTAATGCATGCTAATTCTGCACTCAGGGCGCGCATATCTCTGGTTGCAGAACCATCGTTGCCGTCGACAAAGTACAATCGCGAATCGATCTGGCCAAGGAAGTTTTCGGCGCCACACATGGTTTCAACACGACAGATGTTACCGATCTTGCAGCCGCGTTGAAAGAGGCATGTGGTGGTCGAGGCGCGTCAGTTGTGGTCGAAACCACGGGAGTACCACTTCTCATTGAAGCCGCGTTCGATGCTGTTGACATCAAAGGGACGTTCGTTCAAGTCGCCGGACCCATAGATCCCAAGTACCGGATGCCTGTCGATCCCGTGAGCGTGATCTTCCGAGGAATTAAAATGCTCGGTTGTGTCGAAGGAGACAGCGTTCCTGGAGAGTTCATCCCGCAGTTGATCAAGCATTATCGCGAGGGGAAATTGCCAGTGGATAAGATGGTGGAGTTCTATCCCGCTGAGGATTTCAAGACCGCGTTACATGTAAGTTGTTTTCTCTCCTTGGACTTCTGCCCGATCACGAAGTCGACTTGTCTCTGAGCTAACATGGTTGTTGAAAGAACATGCATTCTGGCAAGACGATCAAGCCAGTGTTGACATGGTAGACCTGACGAGAACAGACGAACTGCTCGTCATCGTACTGGTGTGCGGCTGAGCACCTGCAAGAGGCTGTAAAGAGTATAGCTTCGCTTCGGCAAAGAAGTTCAAGTTCAGCTTCAGCATCCTTCGGTTGAAGGATCTCTCGACTTTCTCTCATATCGTTGACCACAACGTTCCCTTTCATTATCTTCCTCTTCGCATTGAGACTCGCCACAATGGAGCCTTCAGCTAACTACCAAATTTCCTCTCAAATCTACTCTCCTCTCGACTCCTCCAAACAAGAACACCGACTCCTCCGCTTCGTAGGAGGTAAACGCTCTCTCGCCTGGGAACTCGGCACTTTCTCCCTCCTACCAGACCGCCAACATGAACATCCTCCCATGATTGCTCTATCCTACTGCTGGGGTCGCGCAGCAGCCAACAAAGCCATCACATTAAACGGACATGAATTCCTCGTCCGGCAGAATCTCTACGATTTCTTGGTCCAAATGGCCAGCGAGAATCGACGCGATTGGTTTTTTGTCGATGCGATTTGTATTAATCAGGATGATATTCCGGAACGTTCTGTTCAGGTTACGTATATGGGACAGATTTATCGGATTGCGGAGGAGGTGATTGCTTGGATCTATTTTGAGGATACGGATGATCCGAAGGTTATGAAGCAGGGTGATATTCAGGCGCATGTGAGGGAGTGAGTAGTTCTGACTTTTCGATCTTTTGCTGAGTTCGAAGTTTTGCTGATGACTTTGATCTGTTCGCATAGATATCAGCTTCTTGAGAAGGAAAAGCAACAATCGGGTCAAGACCTTGCTCCAGAAGAACGACATCTGCTCGACAGCTTGCAACAAATGGCATGGCAGCTCGCCGCTTCGAGCTCTTACTGGTCACGCCTCTGGATCGTTCAGGAACTTCTTCTCGCTCCAAATCTTACCATTCGCTGGATTAGTCTCACGTTCCACTGGAAAGACATTATGTCTTTACGCATTCGAGATGTCGATATCCCATCCATTGAACTAGATCCTCCGACCGGTCGACCGCTCCGCCCACACCAACTCACCACAATGCGGAAAGCGGGACTCTTTACTTATGAGCATCTACCCAACAGCGCAGAGAACTCGATCATGTGCAAGCAACTCTGGCATTGGAAGGATAGTGCGGGAAACGACCTACAAAAAGGAAATTTGTTGAAATTCCATGAAGCTGTGGCGTTCTTCTCAGTTCAGCAATGTGGTGTGATGCACGATAATGTCTATGCCTTGCTAGGTATAGCCGAACGTGCGATCGAACCAGACTACGACATGCCTTTGCTGGATCTTTACACGGCTGCTCTGTACAACTATCTGCTGTCTTTATGGTCTGTTCAGAGGTCTGGGCATGACGGGAAAACTGCTATTGGGACGAGAGATTGGGACACGCTGATCGATCTTGGACTGGACTACAATAAACTTCTGGCACCGGGTGAGACGTTCTTACACGCGTTTCAGCTAGATCCATTTCATGATCTGGTGTTTCTGATGACATATGAAGTCTGTAAGCGATTCTCGGAGGACGCGGCATTGCTTGCCACGCAAGGACTTGCTGCGAATTGGCTGTTTCATACGGAGTACACGAAGCTTGAGGTTGGAGCGGCGGATGATTTGGTGAAAAGGAAGTGGTATGAATCAGAAGATCGGGCGCTGAAGAGGTTTAATAAGGATCTGATGGCGAGAGTGGAAAAGGCAAAGGAGAGACTGAACAAGCTCGAAAGGAAAGATGGTGTTTTGGAGGCTCCACATTGGAGTGCACCTATCAAGGCGCCGGCGAGTGACGGGCGGACCAAGACTTGCTCGGAGTGGGTTTCTGGGGCGAAGTCTCTTTGCGACAACGTATGGACGCGATGGAGTCAAGCCCAGTAAGCCTCATGCACCGATACGCCGTTGGTGAGAACATCGGCGTAGATGACCTCGCGAAGCTCGGCTGGCAGCTTGAACAGAGGCGAATCCTGCTGTGCGTGCATTTCCTGGCCGGACCATTTCAAGCCAGGCTTGGTGCTTTTCGTGGCCATTGCTTTTACGGGAGTTGTTTGTTGGTGATAGAAAGCAGGTGTCAGACCAACTGGAGTCGGAGGAGCAGGAGCAGTCGGCGGCAGCGGCAGGACGGGAATGGCGGGCGCTAAGAGATTGCAGGGACCAAGCTCCATATCGTGTTTCTCGAAGTCGTGCTGCAACCCGACGACAATGGGCGTGTTGCAAGGCGTGGAAGTTCCTGTAGTATGCAATGAGAGCGTGAACTCGTTTCGAAAACGCAAGTACATGTTGTAGAGTGGTAGAAACAAGCCTCACGTCGATCGGTCTCGGCGGGCATCACATGCAGTGGATTCGCGTGTCAAACGTGTCAAGATCACCGAGGGGTCTCCCAGAAATGTAGGCGACCCTGGTGGACACTCCGACTGCTGCCACTTCGCACTGGAAGTAATCCATGGACGACGGCCATGCCAACAACACACCATCATCATCGCAACGCCCCCCACTTTCCTTGATCGCCAACGCTGCTGCCTCGGCGCTGCCCGCTCCCGTTGTTCCCATTCATCATCACCACCATCACCAGTACCATCGTTCATCATCTCTCGAAGCCGGGTCCCACGAATTGCAATCATTGAGCAGTCAGCATCGCCCAGAAGCTTCATCTTCCAGACTCCTCTCCCAGGACGACGACGACTACGCCGAATATCACTCTTCCGATTCTGACGCTCACTCTCCATCGATGCCCTCGCGAAAATCCAAATCACCCAACCCACGCAGCGGGTCTCTCCGCCATAAGTCCAGCGATTCGTCCTCGCTCAACGGTAAAACCACAAACACCGACATGAACGGCGGGCAATTCCTCGAACGCCGCAAGAATGCCCATCTCGAACCCCTATCCTACGCCGACGATGACGACGACAGCGCGTCCGCCCGCGACCGATTGATGGGGCGGAGCAACTTCTCCCTCGACGATAACCCACATGAGAAAGCAGATGGATCACAAGGGGGAGAGAGCAAAGGCTTCTTCGAGCTTCCCATGCAAGACCGTCGAAATTTCCTTCTCCTCGTCCTGTTATACTTCCTGCAAGGCATTCCAATGGGTCTCGCCGGTGGCAGCATACCCTTCCTACTCAAGTCACACTTGAGCTACAGCCAAATCGGAGTCTACTCTCTCGCTTCCTATCCATACAGCTTAAAACTGCTCTGGTCACCCATTGTCGATGCCATCTGGTCCGCGCGAGTGGGAAGGAGAAAAAGTTGGATTTTGCCTATACAAACGCTCTCTGGCTTCGGCATGCTGTATCTGGGGAGTACTGCGACACAGATGATGGAAAGCGCGGGAGCAGATGGCGGGGCCGGAATTTGGGGCTTCACGGGTTGGTGGTTCAGTCTGGTGTTCATGTGCGCAACACAGGATATTGCTGTGGACGGATGGGCATTGACACTGCTATCGCAATCCAATTTGAGCTACGCGAGTACGGCGCAAACAGTTGGATTGACAGGAGGACAATTCTTGAGCTACACGGTTTTCCTGGCATTGAACTCGCCCGATTTCGCGAATAAATGGTTCCGTTCGCAGTCTCTGGACGTTGGATTGATCACACTGGACGGATACCTAACATTCTTTGGATGGTTCTATCTGCTCGTCACGTTGGGCCTTGCAGTCTTGAAGACGGAAGAACGAACAAAAGAGAATGAGAGCGTCTGGGGCGTGTACAAGACAATGGGAGGCATTATGAAGTTGAAGAACATCCAGACCTTCATCATCATTCACTTGATCGCCAAGATCGGCTTTCAGGCCAACGACGCTGTCACGAACCTCAAATTGATCGATAAGGGGTTCAGCCAAGAAGACCTGGCTCTCGTCGTTCTCATCGATTTTCCCTTTGAAATGGGACTGGGGTACTATGCCGGCAAATGGTCAGAACAATACCAGCCCGTACGTGTCTGGTGTTGGGCCTTCGTAGGGCGGCTGGTTGCAGCAGTCTTTGCGCAGTTGACTGTCATGTTTTTCCCGACCGGCGGGATGACAACTTCCTATCTGCTGGTCATTATTGTCGAGCACGTCTTTTCAACGTTCATGTCCACGGTAATGTTCGTGGCAATTTCAGCTTTCCATGCCAAGATCAGTGATCCAGCCATTGGAGGGACTTACATGACCTTATTGGCGACGTGAGTACTTCACTTCTCCTCTCTGACCAGAGTATTTGCTAACGAGTTCCTATTCTAGTGTTTCCAACCTCGGCGGGACATTCCCTCGCTTCTTCATCCTTAAAGCCGTCGATGCTTTCACTCAAGCTACTTGCATACCTTCCACTGGTAAACATCCCGGAGAACTCAAAGGCGAGCTTATTACACAGTCCTTCAGCTGCGTGGCTGAGGCAGAAAAGCATCGTTGTATAGATGGAGGCGGAGTATGCCAAATTGGGCGCGACGGGTACTATATTGTAAACATTCTGTGTGTCCTATTCGGAATCATTACGTTCTGGGGCTACATCAAGCCGCGAGCGCTTGGGTTACAGGCGTTGCCCATGAGGGCTTGGAGGTTGGCAGGATGATACGAATGCATGTAGAATTGTTACGTGTATATTAGTAGATGAGAAGATGAGAACAAGTTGTATACTACGTGACTTGGACACCTTTTTGTTCGTTTTGAGACGTACTGAGCGCTGTTCGGCGCCTCAACCTCTTGTCGACACGCGTCACAAGAAATCATGCGGTCATGGCATCTCCTGAACTTCGCCTTAGGACTATCTACAATTTTGACTTGGGCTTCGTGTCATTGGCAAGATGTTGTTCCTTTAACTGCTCGCCCGCGATGTCGAACGGCTTGCATGGCACAACACAGGCCACGAACCTCGCTGGCCTGTCTGTAGGATTAATCCACTGATGCATCGTCCCACGTTGCACGATGTGGTCCTACAAGCCAAAGAAAAATTGCGAATCAGCGCTTACCTTTATGCTTGGTTCCGAAAGAAGACAATGGACAGATCAATAGGGAAAGAGGAAGCGGCGACCTACTCCTGGGTACAGTCTCACTGTTTCACCTCCATCGAGTTTATGGTCAATCTCCCCAATGACACAGATGGAGTAATCAATCGACACGGTGCGGTGCATGAGACTGGATTGTCCTGGGGCCAAATCTACGACGGCCAGATAGGCTCCGGGAGAAGGAGGTACAATGCCTGGAGCACGATGGCTGGCGGCACCATCGACGGCCTTGTACGCCGCAACGTCGACTTCATTCCCCAAGACAGCGGGAACGGAAGCAACGGAGTAAGATCGTGTAAGACCAGATTTCTTGGAGATGAGCTCCGGGGATGTGCTGTGGTAGACGCTTTTGCCGGTGCTATCGTGCGTAGTGATGTAGCGTTTGCATGGCCTGAGCCCGGGACTGGTGGGGTTGGAGTCGTGAGGTGCCATGGCTAAAAGTGACTGTGCCGTGCGTAAGAGTATTTAGTAAGTAAACACTTACACAGCCACGGCGGGAGATTCTGCCTTGCTGCGTGCTCGAGTAAAATGTTTCCCGGAGCTTGCCGTGTGGTCTTGGTTCTAGGCTCGTGTTATGCAGGACCTGGTGACCCAGTGTGGATGGGAAGGAGACGGCTGAGGCGTGCGAATGATGTGGCCCGATTGATGCTTCGTACGGAAGAGCTGAGTGAGCGGGGGCTCTTCAGGTGGTTAAAACGGGCGGCCTAAGCTGGGGTCGTCCTGGAGCTGATCGTACAAGAGCTGCTGCTGGGCGACGAAAGGGGCATCCTTCGCATCGGTCAGTCGGAGTGATTAAGTATATAGCGATCCGAAGACAGCGCTGGGGTCGGAGTGTCGAATTGGTGGATATCGATAGCCGAGAGCAGCCGAACGGACGAGTACAAGTCGACGCGTGTGGCTTGGCGGTGGCCTGAGCCAGACAGACGAGCTTGATGAAGAGAGAGGGACAGACGAAAGGAGAGCTCGCTTGAGTCGTGTGCAAGCGTGCATTGTGGGTGCCTGCCGGGCCGCGAGCGATTTTGTGCATGCAGATGGTTAGCCAGCCGTCCATCGGCAGACCCTTCCCTGCCTGGGGCGAGCAGGGCTGTGGTGGTGGGCAGAAATAATCGTCTGAGCAGAGCAGACACGAAGGGATAAATGCGAGGCCTCCGCGGACTCCGCACGGGAGGTGTTGTTCTGATCGTCGTTCTTGACGAGGCTCCAGTGAAAAAGAGACAGCAACGCGTGTACCTTTGTGCAGCAGTCGCGAGCAGAAATTGATCCGAACGACATCCCGATCTGCGTCCAGAACGCTACCTACCCTACTGTACCCCGGTCCTCCCCCGCGATTGCAGGCGAGCGGGCGTTTTGAGGGTGTGGGAATCTGCCCATGCCACATGGGACAGTGACGCCTCGCACTCCACCCATCGCCCACCAGCATCCACTTCCAGGCGACACTCGTCTTGCGACTCTCTTCGCACCTCCGCCGACTCCCCGCAGCACACTCACTGCACCTTCACCATGCGACGAAACAGCGAGGCCGCCAGCTCTTGCCGCATTGAGCGCAAGCGCGCTCACGACCGAGAAGCACAACGCGCCAGCCGCGCGAAGACGAAACAATATATTGCCCATCTGGAGAAGACGGTCGCAGACCTGACGGAGAGCAGTGGGGACAGCCGAGCCAATTACTTGGCCCAGCATGCATCGCAACAGTCCCAAGAAATCGACAAGCTGCAAAGTCTCGTCCACAAAATCCGAACCCTCGTGCAAGATGCCTCCAAGTCAGACGACGGTTCGCCCACCGCTGGCGGTGTCAAGGGCGAAGGCAGCACCACCACCAACGCGACCGATGGCTTCCCAACAGACGCCTTCTCCGCTCTCAATTGGGACACAGCGAGCGAGGACCAGTGGATGATGGAGGTCGTGAAGCCCACAGAGATGGAAGTGCCGCGCCAACCACAACCGGCCATGCCAATGCGTCAGATCACGCAGACTTCGCGGAATCTCGTTGTGCTGGGGATCAATCTATTCTGCGAGAACAACGACGATACGACCTACTTCCAGCGCTTGAATGAGTTGATCGAGAAGATCGAGAAGACACCCGACACCCTCTCGACGCTAGAGGAAGACATGGACATTCTGATCCGGGCCATGGTATCGGGCTGGGATGCAGCCGAACGCGTGCACCATCTCGACATCGTCTGGCGCTTCCTCCGCGCCTTCGATGAGGGTCTGTGGTATCGTGCACCGCCCGTCGAACGCTTCGCACATTTCTGGAACATGCGCTCCACCATGCTTCACAAGATAAATCCCAAGAACCAGCCACGACGCAAGATGGCCTCGTTCATGTCTCCTACCATTGGTCAGCGTTCGGCGAATCACCCCTCCGTCGTGGACTACTTCGGCTGGCCGCTGGTGCGGAATCACTTGCTCACGAATGGAATCACCAATTGCTCCGGCCGCTCCGCCATTGCATTTGCTGAGAGTTTCCGTTTCGATTGGCCTTGGGAAGCAAGAGATGTGTACAAGATCAACCGATCCACAGGGGTGTTTTCCTTCTCAGAAGAGTTCACGAAGGCTTTTGATGATATCACTTCGTTCCAGCTACTTGCGAACCAGCTCATCCCATTTGAGATTCACACTCCGCCAAAGACAACAGCTCAGACTGACTTTGCGCAAGGGGATGATCATAGCTCAGTGGACGACGAATTTGCATATCAAACTCCAGGCTTTGAAAGTGTGAGCTCCCATGGTCAAGGGATGCCGCAGCAGCATGTGGACACAAGTGCAGAGGATTGGATGAACACTTTGGCGGCAATGCATGAGGCCGGTAGGCATGCAATGCACAACGCAATTCCATCGTTTACGATGGCGCATGAGCCCAGCTTGGCGCAGTGGCCGGCAGTCTGAAATGGAACATGACAACGAAAGACGAACGAGACATGAGTATGAGCAGAGGTCGCGAAGCAGTTCTGACTGTATTCTGCGCAGCTTACGGCGAATGCTGCGGAGCCACAGTGCAAGTTAGTGCTGGCATCGCTTTGCACAACGTTCTGCCGGATGCTCAGCTCCGATGCAGCGACAGTCTCAGCCCCCGAACGGTGGCCCAGAGCAAGGTCGGCAAGCCACGAAGATCAGTGATCACTGATCGCTGCACGCAGCTGGATGGCTCTACGTTAGAGCGAATCAGGTCTGGGCTTATGGCGGATTCGAGATGTGTATATTGCATTGACGACACTGCACATGCTACTCAACCCTACTTGGCGAACATATTGGAAGCACCTTCGAAAGGACGCTCTGACGCATCATACATAAACGAGAGGCGCCAGAAGTGTCGGCTTGACTCCCAGAGCCACGTGCTGTTCTTATTCCCGAGCTGAGCTGCCTACCTCCCGCCGCCCTGCCACAGGACTAATCGCACAAATCATGAACCGATGCAATGCGACGCAAGGCGCGCTACATCTCCCACACGCGCCGTCGTTCTCAATCTTGGGTAGACATGCGCATTAGTGCAGGATCCAATCCAGACCCTCCCCACCTCTTCAGCTCACCCCGCACCAAGCAGTCGCTAAGAGCAGCCACAACACTTCCATCTCGAGTCGAAAGCCGAGGGTGCAGCAGAGCAAAGCTTCTAGCTGCTGTGATCAGCTTTGCTAGATCGCTGGAGCTGAAGCGGGACTCAAATGAACTTCATGAAACCCTATGATCCCCATGACACGTTGCCTATTGCCTATTGCCTATAGACACGACGAATCCTATATGACATTTTTATTTCATCAAGGTCCTTCTGTTTCTAAATCTGACAACTAGAATTCCCCAATCCAGTAATTTGGTACTCCGCAACCAATCAATCATTGAGCAATCTTTCTCGACAAAATGGGAGACACGCAACCATTGGAGGAGATTCCCAAGACCTGCATAGCAGGCGTTGTTGTATGTTCAGATTTATCTTCTCTGCATCTGGCAGGAGCGATTGACTTTGTGTGAACTATGGCTCTTCGAGCCTCCCTTCTGCTCAACTGTCAAACATGGTCTCAGACTTTTGCGAAGCGGGAACAAGACTTCCCCTCTCATTCAAGCCCTCAATCTCGCCTTAATCTCTCAATTCCAATGACTAACTTAATTGCCTTCTGTACAGGTCAACGAAGGCCCCAACTTCCACATCGAAGTCGTAAAAGACGCTCCCGTCCCCACCCCCGGCCCCAACCAACTTCTCCTCCGCCTCAATGTCACCGGTCTCTGCGCCTCCGACATTCACTTCTGCAGCAATGATCTCGACTTCGGAATCGGAATGAAAGATTTCAACGTCAGATCTCCTGGTCATGAAGGTGCTGGAGTCGTCGTGGCGATTGGAGCTGGAGTGGAGAATTGGAAGGTTGGAGATCGTGCGGGTATGAGGCCTATGTGGGATACCTGTCATCAGTGTGATCAGTGTTTTGGCAAGGAGGAACAGTATTGTCCGAAGGTTGTGCATTGTGGGTTGATGGTTAGTGGGAGTTATCAGCAGTGAGTAGTTTTCTTTTTCTTTTGTTTTGATGAGGGGGTGTGGGTGGGTGTGCTGACTTGTTTTGTGTTAGGTATGTTCTTACGCCTGCGAACTACACCAGTCGTATCCCGGATGGAGTGCCAGATGAGATTGCCGGGCCAATTATGTGCAGTGCTAGCACTATGCATTGTGCTTTGAGAGAAGGTGGCTTCAAGAGTGCAGACTGGGTCGTTTTCCCTGGAGGTGGTGGTGGCGTTGGTATTCAGGGTGTGCAGTTGGCGAAGTGAGTACTCTCTACCTCTCGATTCAATAGCTGGACTTGAAGTCGGTGGGACAGTCTTGCTGACACAGTTTGTATCAGGGCAATGGGCATGCGTCCAATCGTCATCGATAGCGGCGATGCCAAAAAGGAACTCGCACAACGTTGTGGAGCAGAGATCTTCCTCGACTTCAAGGAGGAGAAAGACCTTCCTGCCAAGGTCAAGGAAGTCACAGGTGGAGTTGGTGCTCACGGTGTGATTGTCACTGCGTGGCAATCCTACAAAGGTGAGTCCTCGATCCCCTTCCCTCCTCACAGCACACTTTCTCTGACACGTTTCGCAGACTCCCTCTCCTACCTCGGCAACCGCGTTGGCGGCAAAGTCGTCTGCATTGGTCTCCCACCCGCAGAAGCACAAGTCATCATCGGCACCTCTCCAACACAGTTCATCATGTTCAAGCAATCTGTCACGGGAGCTGTGGTGGGTACGATGCAAGATACGTCGATGGCATTGGAGTATGCACAACGTGGACTGCTGAAGCCTATTTGTGAGGTTAGGGGAATCAGCAGATGGGCGGAGAGTGTGGAGCAGTTGAGGAAGGGACAGGTCGCTGGTAGAATTGTGATTGCTTTTGATAAGGAGTAAGGCGATATCAGCGTGAGAGCTTGAACAGGTCAAGAGAAGGGTGGTTGTGGCAGAGCGAGAAGTAGGGTTTCAGTCAGATCAAATCTAGTGTTTCGTTGTTCCAGAAATTGAGCCCAGGGGCGACTTTTGCGGTGTTCTCGTGATTTATTCCAACAACGAACCACAATTGCGGCGAGGGTTCGACCAAATGTCTGTGCCCGTGGACAACAAATGCAAACGAACCAGCTCCGCCAAGTCATTGGGGATGATAGAAGCAAAGTAGGCATCAATCAGAAGTGTCAAATATGAGTGTCAATCCATCATGCATACGCTAGAACAAGCTGTAATGATAACCACACCTGCAACATACAAACGAAATCCACATCTCCGTCTCATCTGTCGAATAAACGAAGCGACACAAAAAAGCCGCTCAAAAGAAACAAATCGTCCGGATTTCACAACTCTCCCTCGTAATAGCATCCGGCTTCGTTGTCGGATCATCAAAAGCCGTATGCCCCACAAACTGCGCCTTCCCCGTATCCGAATCATAAGTCTTCAACAAAATACACTTCTCCTTCTCCATCATAGGGAAATAATACCACTTATGCGCCTCATTATACCTCATCACATAATTCTCCCCGGTACGATCCTTGTACCGCAAATACAATTTAAAGAAATCTTCTTGCGGCGCAGACTTGACATCACACATAGCAAGAGGATTCTCTTCCACGCGCGTGAGAGGTTTCCAGACATTGATGAATGCCACGCGACGGGTGAGGAGAGAAGAAGCTTCTTCAGGAAGGAGCTGTTTCACGCGCAAAGGAGCGGACTCGGCGGTATAATCGCAATGTACGAGGCGAACGGGAGCGCGCTGCGAAGTATTTTTTTGGTCGGTGAGGGGTTTTTCATTGTTCTTTTTTGTGCGGATTGTGTGGTCGAAGACTAGTACTCTTTTGGCGCCCAACTCCTTTTTCAAAAATTCTACCACTTCTGGGTAGAAGTCTTTGGCGACTGTTTCGCTGTCTTCCCATGAACCGTTGTAGGCTGGGGTGAAGTCTTTGAGGCTGAAACCGTTGACGTCTACGTCCCAGTCTTGACCCCAACCGGAGTGCACGGTCATGGTTTGGAGGTCGTCGCCCGGTGCGTGGATGTCTACTGACTTGGGGTCTTCGTAGAAGTAGATTTCGGTAAGCTTATCTTCGATGCTGACATCTTTGGTGTAATTGAACTCGGCACGTACCTCTCCCTTCTTCTTGTTGGGAAGGAGGGCATCGTCGACAGCGGCTTGGGTCTGTTGCCACGCGGGGATCTTTTCAACGTCGCTGATCCAGCGTTTCAAGTTGGGGTGTTGATCGAGAGGAAGGTTTTGGGCCTCGTGAAGATGTACGGCTGAGGCGATGGAGATGTCGACGATGCTGGGCTTGTCCCCTGGAAGGATCCATTTACCTGTCTCACCGAGGCGGGTGTTGAGGATGCCGGCGGCTTTGTGCCACTTGGGGGCCTCATTGTCGATGACGGACTGGTCGGGCTGAGCACCCATGAGTGGCTTCACCACATACTCCACCAGATAGACATAGTTGGTGGCAAACCAGACAGAAGATTCCCAAAGGAGCCAGCGGTTGGCGTCTGCGCGCAGCTTGAGGTCTTTGGGATAAGCAGAGTCGTCCTTGCCCAAATCTGCGGCGTACATGAGAATTGCGTTGGATTCGGTCAAGACCAGGTCTCCATCTTTCGCAGAAGGGACAGTTTGCATGGGGTTGATCTTGGTGTAGCTGTCGCTTTTCTGTTCGCCCTTGAAGAAACTAATAAAGTTGTAATTGTAGGGTATCTCCATCATGTCCAGTCCAGCAAGCACTTTTCTGCTATTGACCGTGCAAGGGTCGAGGTATACTTCGAGCTTCGACATGATTATCGTCTGTCGTTGGTGTCAGTGGGAAAGGTCGTGTAGGTGGTGGGTGGCGAATCAGGCGTGCAGAGCTGTGACAACTGTATATATCTACTATTGAGTTTCATCATGGTGCAGACGCTGGCCGCGATGCCTTACCCCGCCTTGTCGTCGAGAAAACCCCACGATGATCGGCTTGGTCGAGGTCTGCACCGTTCCGTGTCGCCGGGCGAAAACCTTACTGTCATTGGGTGGCATGACCATGTCTTGACTTCCAAAAAGGAGGTAGCCGAAGCTTGAATGTCGCGGAAATGCACCGTCGACTCCATTGTTCCAGATCGAGGCTGGAGCTGTCCAGCTGCTGCACGCAACAGAAGCAATGCGATCTGCTGCGCATGTACCGGAGACGTGTCTGCCCACGCCGCAGTAGGCATGCCGGAACGAGCCCCACAGTGCTCACGTCTGCACTGGAGGAGGACTTGACACATGGTATGCATTCCAAGTGCACGAATATACACGTCTTCGGCCTAGAAGCGATGGATGTTCTTCTTCTCCATGCCCAACACGGCCAGCACGCCACCCTTTGCAGTCAAGGCGGTTTCCATTGTTGGTGGTCCACACAAGAAGACCTTGGTGCCCTTCACGTCACCCAAGTTCTCTGTCCTCGCGAGTGCTTCTTCCAGCGCACTTTTGTTCACGTATCCCTTCTTGTACTTCTTCTCATCACCTAAGCTGGGAGAGTCTGGTTTGCCCTCTGGTCCAGATACGCAGTATGTCACCTTCAGTCTGTCAGGGTATTGTTTCTCTAGTTGTTCCAGCTCATCCTTGAGCACAATGTCACGCGTGCCATTGACGCCCCACAAAAGCTGGATGCGCGTTCTATCGTTGGCGTCTCCGAGGATGCCCTGAGCGAGACTGTAAATTGGTGTGATGCCTGCTCCTCCTGCCACAAAAATTAAGTCTCGAGGCTTGTCGGATGGTGTATAGCTATATCCTGGAATCGGCCCTCGTATCTGTAATGTTTCTCCCGGAGCGAGGGAGTGCATATGTGTAGAAGCGCGGCCATTCGGGTATCGTTTTACTATGAATTGCACTTCGCCTCGTGTTTCGGATTCGGACACTGGAGTATATGGCCGTAGAACGGGAAACCAGGCTCCCGCGGGCGTGTGTTGCGTCAGAACAGCAGCTGGCAAGAGACGTCAGATGTGCTGCCTAGCAAAGCAAGGAATAGCACTTACCACCCGCTGGAACGCCGCTCACTTCATTCTTTCCGCCTGGCAGCTTGAAGGTGATGCGTTTCGTGTCGTGGTTGATCTGTTCGGAGCGGGCGACGGTCAAGGTTTGGCTGAAGAGCATCGTCTTGGGGAAGGCGAGCGTCGAGGAGGGAGGGCTGCTGGACGAGTCGAGTAGTATCAGCCGTCGTGTGGTGTAGTATGCTGTGCCCGCCGCACCCAAGACTGCTGCTCCAGCGGCGTAGGGCAGAGCTCGCGAGGATCGGGAGAAGATGGAGGCCATGTTTGTGCTGTGCTGTGCTGTCAATGGGAGTAGAGAGCTGGTCAGAAGCAACAGTAGAGGAGAGAGAGGGCAGTAGAGGGAGCGAGGGACTGGGAGGTTGGGTGTTGTGTATATAGCAACCCGGACTATATCGAGGATGCCGTGTACCGAAGGCTGAAGAGGCCCCGTCGTGATCCTTCCACGATGCCTGGGACGACATCGACCGACGGACGCGGAGGTCCACGCAAATGAGCGTGCATCGCGCTACACATTATTGATCGGGCGCGTGTGAATGAGCAGCCGGCCGTAACGTTTCTGTTTGGGTGAGGAGGGAGGAGGAAGTTGTCCGCGCAGGCCACCGCCGGGACTCCGGAAAGCCCGATGGCGGCTCCAGCCTGGTCACGACCGCCTTCTCTCTTCACCCACGCCTCTACCACTACTAATCATCAACACCGGCATCGATACGCACCTTCAGCGTGCTTCGGTGCGGCCAGCACGTGAGGGCCTAGTCCCCATGGTGCCGTTCAAGCCGCTCTTCATCTCGAACGAGGGGCATTGTAGTCTACTCATCGACCCCGCGTACACGTTCCGCTGACAGCGAAGATTGAGTACACTTGACGGGAAGACCATCTCGAATTGCCGCACCGTCATCAGTCACAATGACTGAAGTCTGGGAAGAGTATCGTGACCGCATCGCAGGCGGCTGGCAGATCGTGGAAGTTGAGCAACGCGACTCCTCTACCGGATCAGTCGTTTCGAAGCCCGAACTGACTGGAAAAGTGTACATTTCACCCCAAGGATGGCTATCTGCACTCATCGCAGACTCTGTCGCCATAAATCCGCTACCTTCAGGCCAGCAGTTCAGATCGGCATCTGATGCTGAAGTGGCCCGTGTCGCTCGAGGTTTCCAAGCCTATTGCGGCTACATGAAGCTATTCAAGGATGACCAAGGACAGCTGTACTGGCAGACCAAGTCTGAAATCGCCTCTGATCTTAATCAATTGGGAGGCCTCCAAGAAAGGCTCGTTTTCTTGTCCACGGAAAATGGCAAAGAGTACATGACACTGATACCCAAGGTGCAGCGAGTCGCAGCGGTGAGAGTGTAGCACAAGGCTATCGTGCTTCGTCAATGCAACTGACATGTTTTGACAGGACGGAAGAAAAGTGCAAGCCGTTTTCAAGTGGGAGCGATTCGAGCAAGCAGCTAGAGCAAGCGTCTGATGAACCAGCGTTTGTAGATCAACAAATGAGATGCTGGACGCAGCACGTACATCCCTCCACTCAACATCATCTTGCTACGCCTGGCGGCGGTGTGTCCGATTTCTCTCACCTGCCCGTGGCCGGTCAGTAGCAATGTCCCAGGTCCCAAAAGGTCGGACAGCCAAACGGTTATGGTTCAGATACGAGCGACACGAGCATCGACGCCTAACATACGTCTTCGAGGCCAACAGTATAGTAAGCACTCCGGAAAATTTCGACTAGTCACTCATGTCTAGTGTGACCTCACCTCAGATTGCGACTCTCGAAGACAATGGTCTGTCCGCTTAGCCTTCGCGGAACAACCCCACTTCAGCGTTCCGCATTTGGGCAAAGACGCGGCAAAGCAAAACTCCCACTCCCAATGCATTTCGATCAATAAGAGAACGCTTTTGCGAAGCGCGGCTTCCGAGGCATCTGACCTGCATTGATGTCTGCACGCGCACCCAGATCATGTGTGCTGCGTTATCTGTAGCTTTGGAAGAGCGCGGCCTCCGGGTAACTATGCTAGCGAGGCTTTCTACCGGCGCACCTAGATCGCATAGCCGAGATGCGTTGACAGCTTCTACAGCTCCATTCGAGCTCCCCACATTCTGAACGCCTTGGACGCCTTTGCTGACTACTAGCTCCTGACCCTGCAGCACACGCATAGCAGCACCGAATACTTGGCCCGCTCCTGCAAGCCGCCGTCGAAGGCTGTTCAGGGCTGAAAACAATGGGAAGAGGTATAAAGATCCCCAGCATTCCCACCAACGCTAGCTTACGAGTGCTATCTAAACTGCTGTGTCGTGATATCCGAGTCGGACTCTTGTTTGTTCTCACAGTTTCAAGCTCGATCGAACATCGTCATCCTACCTCGGTCTTCCAGTACTTCCTTCGTCGAAAACATCATCCACATAAGCACGTCTCTGCTATCCTACACCTCCTCCAAGCAACACAATAGCAATCATGCCGGGTGAATACTCCAAGTCCTGGCTGCAATGGGAAGAGGCCTCCGGTGGCCGCGCCATCCTCCATGGCAGTCCAGCAGAAATCAAGGGCATGTATGATGCTCTTGTTCAAGCCCTGCTGCCTTTGCTGCCAGCTCCCTCCGAGAATGTTGCAGTCCAAGAGGGAGATGTCGACGGTATCAAATACAGAGTCTACACACCAAAGAGCTCTAAGGGGGGCCTGCCAATTGGTGTCAAGTAAGTGATCAGCGAGGTGAACCTCTGAGCGCCTGGCGCGGAGGTAATCTGCGATGGGAAAGTGACTGACGCTGTGTAGTACCCATGGAGGAGGATTCATGACCGGCGATTTGAACTCGGATGCTTTGCTTTGCATGGTAAGCTAGCCATGAAGTAGGACATCGTGCCTATGCTGATCAGAGCCTGCTCTAGGCCATTTCCGAATACACGAACACTGCCATCGTCGATGTCGATTACCGTCTCACTCCCGACTTCAAATGGCCAGTGCAGCTGGAAGACTCCTTGAAGGTCTACAAATGGGTAAGTCCTGCCACATCCCCTCTTACTGGAGCATAACAGATCACTGACACGACGAAATCCAGGCTCACGACAACGCCTCTTCCTTTGGTGGAGACAATAGCAAGATGTTTACCATGGGCGGCTCCGCCGGTGGCGCCCTTGCCCTTCAGATCGCCAACCAGATCGTAAAGGACTCGAAATATAAGTCGTCGCTCAAGGGAGTTGCTGCTCAAGTCCCTTGCACCACGCACTGGGACAACGTTCCAGAGAAGTACAAGTCGAAGTACAACTCTTACACCGAGAACGCCAAGGGCACACCCATCATTGACAAGGAGAGCATGGAGACATTTTATACGTAAGTCTACATCATTCCCCTCCCTATAACTCAACAAGGAAGAACATGCTGCTGACTTTTCACCAGTCATGTCAACGCCGACCCCAAAGACCCCGATACCTTCACCATTCTGGCTACCGACAACCACGCCAACTACCCGCCGGTGTACTTCACTGCATGTGAATTCGACCCTCTTCGCGATGATGCGTACATCATGAAAGATGCATTGGATGCTGCGGGAGTCAAGACAAAGTTGGACTATTATGAGGGTATGCCACATTACTTTTGGATTTTCCCACCTGTGCCAGAGAGCCAGACTTATATGCAGAATCTCGTGGCGGGTGTGGAGTGGTTGAAGGGACAGATGTGAACGGCCAGGAAGGGATCTGCTAAAGTCGGCGCTTCGATGTGGTTGTGCTGACATCGCTTCTTGATGTGGGGTTTAGCTCGTTCAGCTCCGTTCAGATTTCAGGGCAAATGCAACTTGCGACTCCATCCCCCTTCCCTTCCCAACCTTGGGCCGCGAGTGCCCATTTACCATATGTGCCTCAAAGTGCAAGTGGGCGCAGCCACCTGCGAGGCTCTAAGCTAGGCCTGATCGGGAACAGACAGTTCCAGCCACCATTCGATGTGGCACATTGGAAGTGGCGATGAACGCAAAGGAAACCTCTTGACACCTACATAGCACGAATATCACGACAGCCCCTTCTGTTGTGCCTGTCCTCCTACTACACCATTGGCTTGAGCTAATCTCCGACCCAGGCGGTTTAGGGCTACACACGAGCTCTCGCCGCCTTGACTAACTCCTTGCGAAGCGGAGAACGAAACAAGCTGTCTGCACCATGGATTCTTATCATCTTGAGCTTGAGCTCGAGGTACCAGTGCCCGCTAAGAGATTGCCAGGCCCAGGACTTCGAGGATTCGAGACAGCACCATGTGGAACTTGTGCCAACTTGGACCGAGAGCACATCAAGTTCCTCGATGGCCTCCACCCCGGCCTCAGTGTGGTGCGACATCAAAAACACAACACAGTAACTATCCGGTCGACCATGCAAGAGCTCGCTGAGGATGCGAAGAGCGACTGTCCTTCGTGTGAGCTCCTGCTGGCCTCTTGTTTGCAGCTCGGCAAAGGCCAATTTGACGTGGAGTCAGAAGTCGACATCGAACTCACATTTAAAGAGGGCATTGCCCTGGTAATGACGGTATATATCTCGGACACCAACCCACTTACTTTAGAGCTGTTCACCACTACAGGTCTGCTGTGATCCCCAGTATAATATCGTGTTCGTGCTTGAAGCTGATGTTTCACATGACAGATAGCTCTTGCCCTTGGGCGATGATAGGTAGCACCCTTGAACACCCAGTCAATGATGGTTTCCCATACACAGGAGGCACTGCTTGTGTCGTCCCCATCGATGCGACTTCAAATGGCTGTATGGACACGATTAGATCTTGGCTCCAACGATGCGACAATACACATCCCTTTTGCCGGATTGATAAAAGTGTCCCCACGGAAGGGAATGTGGAGCCATCTTATCCTCGCCTTTTGATCCGCCTCGGCAATACTGCAGAAGATCTCTGTATCCAGCAGAGCGACCCGGGTCACAAGAGATACGGCGCATTGAGCTATTGCTGGGGCCGCTCTGAGAGCCTCAAGCTGCTACGTGAGAATTACAATCGCCTGAACAAGCGCCTCCCATGGTCAGATCTCGCGAAGACGCACCAGGATGCCATTCATGTCTCGCGTGAGTTAGGCTTGGAGTATCTGTGGATCGACGCGCTGTGCATCATACAGGACGAGCCCGAACAGCAAGCAGCGGAGATCACGAACATGGCCACGATCTATGCTAACGCTTATGTGACAATCGCAGCCTCGAGCAGCGCCGGCGGAGAATCCGGCTTTCTACGAGCACGTGAGCCCACGCTCACTGTGGCAGTCACGTTGAAGGACGGAAATCGCTTCGACGTCTTTGCGCGAGAAGTCGTGTCCCACGCAACTTTCGACTACGGATGGGATGCTATGACGCCTGAGATTGCACAGGGTTACCAGGAATGGCTGAACGCCGAGACCACGACTAGATTTCCACTATTCGGGCGGGGATGGGCCTGGCAGGAACGCTTACTGAGCCCCCGAATCTTGCACTTTACGGACACGGAGGTGATTTGGGAGTGTCTTGACTCGATCAGCTGTGAGTGTGGTACACTGGAGACCTTCGTAGGGAACCGTGTCCTCGCACAGCGGCGATACGTACTAGATGTGCCACGAGACATTGACATGCAGCCTGAGCAGCTGGCACGCGGCCGAGCACTAGCTGAAAGATACGACATGCTGAAACTCCCCACGGTGGACCCCGAGAGCTCTTTTCCCGGTTTCTTCAACAATGGACTCAAAGCTATGCATATGAACGACTACTCCTTCATGTTCGCCTGCATGGGTCGGCCACCCGATGAATACTTCGAGCAACGAGATTCTGACCATTATGATCGCTGGAGAGATGTCATTAGTCAATTCTCGAGAAGGAAATTGACCTTCGAACAAGACGTCTTCGCAGCCGTGTCCGGTCTGGCTTCCATGTGGCATGACAAGAGGCAAAGTGAAGGACGCTACCTCGCTGGGCTGTGGGAAGCCGATCTGTTGAGGGGCCTCCTCTGGGTGTGCGCCGATAACTCTAAAGGCATGGAAGTTTTGCGTCCGACACGCTATCTCGCGCCCAGTTGGAGCTGGGCAAGCGTTCGCCGACCTGTGGACTGGCTTCCGTCAGTGCGCGAGAGGAAAGCATACCATGCGTCCATCCTCGATGTTGTTTGTGTGACCACGACAGGTGACACCTTTGGCAAGGTCTCCAATGGAAGTTTTATCGACGTTGCCGGCCATGCCTTGAAAGCTACCATCACGAGCTGCAGAGACAAATCCGCCACTGCGTTTGTGTTCATCGATGACCAAAACCATGCCTTCGCAACTGATTGTCATCCAGAGGTCCGGGCGCTAATTGGCGAAGAGGTCCTCTGTCTACTTTGGGCTACAGACAACGTCGATGTCAGAACAGGCCAGGGTTTGGATCGGTGTCTGGTTCTGAAGGCTTGTGATACGACTTCGAACACTTTCACGCGCATAGGCATCACGTCAAGTCTTCCTAGAGGGTCCCACCTGTTTACGTCGACTGAAAAGGTCAATATCAGGATCGTCTAATCTGCGTATTCTGGTACACTCTTTTCATAAGCGCAGTAACAATGCCGTCACCAGTTCTACAAGAACGGACGTACAAGGCCTCATTGAAACCAACCGTGACCGATACCACCAAAACGCCAGACACATTCCGCGTAAAATCATAACACCAGATCAATCGCCCACATCTGTTCAGCCAACAACACTGCCCCTCCCCTGCGCAGGCAAATAAGCGTACGACGAGGCATTCGTCCACACTGAATCCTTCCTCTTCCTCTCCTCTACATCCGCAATACATACTTCGTTATGTTGTCTCCAAGGCGGCATAGCGCCGTTGAGCTTTGGAGCCATTGTCGTGGTTTTAGGATGAGAAGCGTGGTCCGCAGATGCGCAAGAAGTTGAGGATGTGGACGAAGCTGAGGTGAAGTCCGTGCACATTGCAATCACCAATTCCATCAACTTCAAGGAGTCCACGTAGCCTCTGCGGAGGTGCATATCAGTGTACAAGCGGGAGAGAAGCGTGTCGAACAACGTCGACACTGCAGGAGGAGGCGGAGGACGGCCGAAAACATCTTTTTGCTGCTGCCCATTGGCAACATTGGGGTTGGCGGCGGCAGCGTGAGCTGACTCTGGTGTTTTGGCCACAGAATTATCTGGCGACGCAGAAGACGCATGCGAAGAATCAACCTGATCATCGTTGTCTTCGGCGATCTCGCCCTCTTCGGATAGGGTCGACGATGAAACGGAATATGTCCTTCGCGAAAAGAGTGTCGACGTGCTGCTGTCGCTCAGTGTATGTGAGTGTGACAGAGAGGGCGTCGTTGGGGATCCCGCTGTAGAAGATGGAGAAGAGGAGTACGCGGAAGGGGTGTAGTAGCCGCAATGAGACTCTGCCCAGTCGTGAGTGGCTGTCATTGCAGAAGTGTAGCCCATTGGGACAGCAGTCGTGGCGGCTGAGGAGGCGGGGGAAGCGTAGCTTTCCTCCTGCTCTTGCTGCTGCTCTTGTTGCAGTCTGTGCGCTTCTTCACTCATCGATGCGGCTTTCTCCCAGATGTCCACAACAATGTCGTAAACTTCTCTCGGCACCAACACGTTGGCAAAGTTTGATGGTATTTTTGTATTATCGCTCCCCGCAGGTAGACTTCCGATCACTGCTCCGACACTTTCGTGCACGCCATTCAGGATCAGTAATTCTTCCCAATGGTTCTTGACGTCGAGGTCTCTTGCTCGGTCGCGACGATGGAGTTCTTGCACAATCAGATTTGCATCGTAGATTGTGTTCTCTGGTGGGATGGCATCAAGATCGATGATGTGAACCATAATCTCCGTACAGCCCTTCTTCTGGAGGTATCGAGCCCATCGTAGAGCTCGGGTCCAAGATCTCCAGATGCTCACAAATGGTCCTGCGAGGCGAGATTTCCAGAGAAGATGGTGATGTGCCAATGAGAGGGTAGGTGGCGTACGGGCAGTTTCCTCATCGTACAGACGAGGGTATAAGCCATTCGTGTATTTGGTTCCTGTCCCGCAGGCTGAGTGGTCGACACGAAATCCGATCCGGCCTCCAGTGCCGGATGGTTTGCTGCTGAGAAAACCTGGGCCCGCAGGTTGCGATGGCAGATTGTAGATGCAGGACGGGGGTATCGGGGAGTCATTCACGGCCTGTTGCGTATAAGCTGAAAAAGCTGAGTAGGCCATAGTTCAAGTGAAGGCAATGTTGGAGGTGTGGAGCGGTCCGGCCGGTGTCTGTGTGGATGTGCATGGGCGTGACAGAGGCCGATGCATGATATACTATATGAATGATTGAGTTCTTTGCGAGACAGTGCCATCAGACGCTGGGCGGGAACTCGGCTGGTCGATTGTGTGAGATGTCTGTCGATGATCTCGATAGGACAAGGGAATGTGGTTGTATTCCGCCACCCTTCTACGCTCCTGTTTAGGATCTCAGCTTGAGCAAGTGTGATCGGTGCACAAAGCGCAGTCTGCGTGAGATGATCGATGAGCTCTGGAACTCTACGGGTGTCTAGGGCCACTGTGACAGTTCGTCAGCTTTGCATGACCTGTGTGCCATTATTGTCAGACTTTGGTGGGTTTCACGTTTGACTTCAAGGAAGGACCCCTCCGTGGTTTCGTGATTGCACATCGGTGACGCAAGTCCGGTTCTCTGCGGTGATGAAAGGACATTACCCTTGAGACACATTGATCGAGCATCGCACACAGACAGAGCTTCGGACTGAAAGCTAGAATGTCATGAGTATTGCCGCGCTGAAACTCTCTTTGAGAATTGCAGCGTAGCTTTGCCGTGCTCGTCACTGCCGTACTCACGCACAGCCGTCAGTGTTCCGCGCACTGCCATCGAGCCTCGAACAGCGTTCGGAAGTCTTACGATATGCGCAAAAGTCATCATTTTCGAATTATTGAGATGCCAGTGTGTCCCTCAATTCATGAGCTGTAGCTATTAAGCATTCATTTTGCCGCTAGAGCATTATCGCCAAATCCCTCGCTCTGAGCCTAGTGTCAAAGTCCAAAGAAGTACTGATGGCCTTCATATCGAGAGGCAGAAAGAATGAAGCGCTCGGACTTCTCATCGGCTTAGCAAAGGTCTCGGGTTTCGCGTGCTGTACTTCCAGGGCAGGTAGGACGCTTACCTTGCGCCTAGTCCGTTGGGGAATCTTCGAAGGCCTGTCCTTTCGAGCGGTTTCAGACGTAAGTCTAGGGTCGCCATCCGTGATACGAGGTGCAGGCCCACGGGGCGGCTGGTCGCTTCGGGAGTGTATGGATCTACTCTCCGTGACAACCGGTATACAGCTCGCCGGAGCATTGTGGGGTAAGAGTGATGGCGGGATGGACTCCTCAAGCGGCCAGTTGGGCTTGCCGTGCCAAACGTCCCAGGCTGGCTGATCATAATGCTTGCATCCAATTTCGCCCGAATAGCCGTCGAGGTCAAGTGGCCAATTGTTGCTCCAACTAGTGGCCTCTTGATGATGTCCGTGCGCAAGCACATGTTCGCCAGTGTCTTCTACAACCATCACCTCAATGGAAGACCGGTTGGTCCCGGCATTGTTGTCGACCAGGCTTCGATGTGCAGGATGCGTCTTCCACGGATCATGATATTTCTCCCCAGCAACTGCTGCATCGGGGCTGCAGTCAATAACACTTGAGTCGCGCGAGAGCTGTTCGTGACCTGCAGATACAGACTCAGACTTGGCCGTCCGGTTGCCATGGAAACATCCATTCATGGTTGCCTTGTTAGCATGCTGTCTTTCATGCGAGATTGTAGCATCCAACGTTGTTAAGACTTCCGCCAGAGCCTGGTCCTGAGTCTCTGGCTTCTCGACGTGTTGAACATGAGTTTTGCGAACGCCCAAGCCAGAATGTTCATCTGAGCCAGACTGCGACGGCAGAGGGATTTCTTCAACGTGCGTTTCGAGCTCTACATCTCCCTCCAACTCCGCGAATTGACTCGCCTGCGGAGGTTCTGGAGATGGGTAGCAAGTCAAATGGCTTAGTTCTGCCGCCACGTCGAGTAAAGGATCAGATCCTAGTGGGAACTCCGGTAACGGCTTGAATGCTGTAATATGAGGTGAACACGCACTTTCGACCGGTGTGCCGTGATCCGAATGCTTTAGACTAGAGCAGCTCGCTGGGCTGGAGCTTCTCAGAACTTCGAGTGGGACATCTTCAGGCTCCCATTGTCGAGTGACAACAATGGAGAATTTGCGTTCGGCCTGAACTCGTCTCAGGTACACTTCCTGAGGTATAAGTCCACCTCGCTGAGCCGGCGGCGGAGCATCGGTGAGCTCAAGACGAGCGAGCAGTCCTCGCTCCGCAAAATATCCCTCATTCCACTCCCGGATGATCGATGCCAGACTTGCCGGTGCCGTAGAAATGAGCCCCTCTTTCACCTTGTCCTCTAATATTTGCTGGCTCTTGTTGCGCGCGACGAGGTAGTTGTCGGGTGTAGCGACCGCAGCCGCTGTGCTGACAGCCCACACCTTCGCACGCTCTGCCGGAGACAATTTCATGCTGTCTACAATCTGGCTTGTGAACTTCTCCCACATGATGCGATGGATTCTCAAGTCAAAGAGGCCAGGATGATAGGGAAACCCGGAGGTCAGCAGCGCGCCTTTGGTATGCACGCGCAGCGAGCGCGTCGTGGACGGATGAGCACCAATCGAGGAGCCGTTTGTGCTCAAGCTGCTCCTATTTGAATACAGTCCTGGCCCTCCCGTCCCATCAAAGCAGAGCGGGCTTTGGCTATCATTCCTGCTGCCGTGCAAGAGGGAGCTGCAGCGCGGAGAAGCATATCGAAAGCTCTTTCGGTACGAATGTCGCGGGTTATGGTCTTTCTGCAGCTTTCGCGGACTGGAAGCTGCGCCGGTTACGGTGACAGGTTGTAGCATCTTGTCTCTGGAGTCAGTATGGAGTGGTTAGCTCTTCCAAAGGAAGATGGAGCAAGAGGTGTGCATGAAGGCATAACTTGAAGCATTTGTCGCAGGCATTCTGGATCGCGCTGTTGTGTATCGAACATCGCAGTACCAAGCCAGACAGCTCGATGGGCATCGTATCCATCGAAAGCATCGCGCCGATGTGAGTGTACTGTCGCTGGGGATGAAACGCCACTGGAGGGTGGTGTGTGTTTCGCGTCAAAGCATCACGATCTGCTTGGCGGTGACGTTTTGGGCCCAAGGGTGTGGAACGCGTCGCGCCTGAGATTTGACTGCACTTCCTTCCTCCTCTCCCTGCTTGTCTTCACCTGCTTGGACTAAGCGATATCGGCAAGGCGGTGCCAGTGGTCACTTTCTGCCAGATGGAGGCTGACCTCTTCGTCTTCTGCACAACGATCTTGCGCCATCTTGAACAAGGTTCTCACCCTTGTCGAAGTGTATATGCCCCTTTCCTACGCTCACGTCTTCTCTCTCCTTCTCGTTCATGCACTTGACGTCTGGTCATCTCGACCTTGGTCCCACAGACATTGTGACAAGCTCGGAGAGATATGCGGTGCTTCAGCAGACGAAACGTGCGCGGCAGAGGCTGGGGCAAGAAAGGCTACCGCCAGGACGGCGAGCTATTTTTCCAGCTCAAGCGATCGTACGCTGCTTACTCCAGACAGCAAACCATCAACAAGTATAACTCAATCACCGATCTACTTCGTCAAATGGAACGTGAGTGATTTTGACCAACAATATGTCGACCGGAAATTTACCTTGACCTAGAGACTGTGCGCGGTGAAGATCCTGGTTGGCTGCCAGAAGACCTTCACTACGAGTTCCACTTCAGGCGGCAGCCCATCGAGCCGTCGGACGACATGGTGAGAACATTACTAGATGGAGGCGAAACTGTGTATGCCAAGGTGAGTTGTGCTGGGAGAGGGGATGCGGAGCGTTTTAACATTGTAGGTTTTCGATGCGGACGGATACGAATATGACTGGGATGGCCGCTCGCAGTGGCATGGCAAGCCAAAGAACAACCCAACGCCTCGAATGTTGGTGCGTGACGACGATGGTCACCTATATTGGATACAAGCAAGGCAGTAGCTGCGCGAGAGACATTGCCGCCCAAGTTCTGCTGCTGTAGCTCTGGGTTTCTCGTCTGCTCCTCCAGGCCAAAAAGTTCTTGCACTTCCTCTGAGTACTTCTTCTGGAGTTCTACGCTATCATTGATTTGATGGCATGCGCTGGGGAACCTTCATCGATGCAAGCCGACTTACCCGATTGGGCAGTTCACCGACTGACCGCTCGACGGACCGCCTGCAACTAATGTGAGGCGTCGAAACCTTCAAGGTATGATGAGCTCTCATGAGTCATTGCCCAGGACCAGTCCCACACTGCGTCCTTTGTGAATACTACCACCACCGTGCAGAGAGTGCCCGTCGATTTGCCAAGAATTCCAATGGCCACCGGAAATATCGCCATAGTCCGCCCTGGTCCACAGTTGAAAGGCAGAGACACCATAACATCCATCTTTTCAGCAGCTCAAATCGGGACATCACGATATCTTCCGAACTTGGTCAAGACTATCAACGAGGCGTTCAGGCAGGCACACGCCTCGAAGCCTGAGCTTGGTATGAAGACTCAAGGAGAGAGACTTGCCTCGACAGAAGAGTTTCTTGCCAATTTGAGCAGCGACCCAGAGTCTTTCATTCTCATCATCAGCTATCCCGATAGCGATAACGTCATTGCCACCGCGAGCTATCGGAGGTATCATGGTCCGTTGAAAAACAGGCCTGTGGATCGTAACACTCCCTGGTTCCGCACTCTTGATGTCTCTCCCGACACCGAAGAATACGAGTTAAAGCTCATGGCTTCAGCGCTGGATTTCCAAGGCTATGGTCTGGCAGCATATATGATGAAAACCGGCGAAAATGAAATCGTTCATAGGTTTCATCAGAAGCATATGGTTGCTCAAGGGAATGGAACAACTGTGCCTGCCAGGTTGAAACTGGTTATCTGCACTCCGCTGGAGTTGACTGCACAATTTTATTCCCGGCGTGGATTTATAATGGACTATCAAGTCTGGAGAGGCGAAGGCTACAACTTTCACATTGCATTCATGCACAGAATCATCGAACATAATTCAACTTAGCTTCTCGGCTTTCTAACTACCCCTCTGGTCTGATCTCGGCGCCCCCGTATCGTTACTGAAGATACTGCTCCAATCGGAATTCATGACAACCGCTGCTAGCACAGCATGCCGCAACTGAATATGGACTTCTAACATGTCTTCTGAGACCTTATTGTTTTATGATCAACGATCTCTAATTTGTGTACGCACAATTGACTATGTCGGAAGAACTCTTCACAGCATGGGCGAAGGTGATATCTCCTTAACACTTTCGCACTCCTTCTCGCGACTACCAATCAAATGAGTGTCGGAGACGACCACTCCTTGCTTTCAAGGCATTTTCGGCGCGTCGGTCCATTGATGGACCTGTTGAGACTCTTGGAACGCACTGTGAATGCAACAATGGCTCAGTCCGTGGCTCAAGCAGTTCTCGTTCAAGCAAACGGGAGAACCTGCTCTCGGTAAGGCATTCATGACTACCCGGGAAAACCAGGGCCCCTGGTCGTCGGTCACTTTCTCGGATGCCAACCACGTCGATACATCTTCACCTGTAGCCCGACCTGCAGCGCCTTGAAAAGCTTGTTGCCCAAAGAAACCCAGGTGATACCAGCCAAGCAAGATGCCAGTACATAGGGCTGTTGAGTGAGTATCTGCTCAATGATATTTTTGTCAATAATAACGAGACGAGACACCAGTATCGTGCCGATTTACTTCTGGTGAACTTGTAGGCTTCGACGCCCATCGGTGACCTGGTTGTTGCTCCCTGCACTACCATTCACTTCTAGCGAAACGGTGGTGGCAACACGACAAACAAGTGAGTTGCGTGGCCTCGCAGGAGCAAAACCCTTCAGAACCCGATTGAGGCCACTTGCACGAATTGGGTGCCACCTCCGCCAAGCACTGCATCTGCCGAAAGGCGCTCGGATGAGAGACCACCGTTTGCCGAGGGTCTCATTTCGTCTACACCAGACATGAGATCAACTCCCCGTCTGCAGCACCTTGAAGAAAGTCCCGTGGGGTCTACCGACATACCCTAAGTCGATGAGACTAGGCCGCAAACGTCGGCGCAAGTGGTGCTAGCATGGGTTCACTCCACATACGCGGAGGAATCCCCACAAAAGCCACGACGTCCTTCCGACTAGGTGGCTAGCGTATGCAACTTTTCATGCTGTCATAGGCATCGCTTCGTGGAAGATGGTATCTCCACCGGGAGTAATAAGTAACGTGCCGCAAGTACTGCTTGCGTGGTCCACTTGTGAGTTGTCCAATTTCCTCGAAAACTATCAGCAACAATGGCCAAGAAACACAGAAGTCTGGCATCCGGGCTGGCGCTCACATCTCTGGCAGGTGCGCAGCAGGTCCTCAATGATCCGAAATCGGCTTGCTCGAACTTCGCTTCTACGTTCACGTATCCAAACGTAACGATCAATTTTTCCGAGCATGTTGCTGCTGGAACAAACCTCACTTTTGATCAATCAACACCCGAGCTGCAATCATGCGGAAGAGCATCTCAAGTCGTCCCAGTCGATCTTTGCAGAGTGGCATTCTACGTTGCGACCAGCAACCGATCTGGCATAACGGCTGAAGCTTGGCTGCCTTCGAATTGGACAGGCAGATATATGTCCACTGGCAATGGAGGCTTGAATGGCTGCATTTCATATGAAGACATAGCCTACGGCACGGAATTTGGCTTTGCAGCTGTTGGCAACAACAATGGCCACAACGGCACAGGTGGCACTTCATTCTATCAAAACGCCGATGTGGTGCAGGATTTTGCATGGAGATCAATTTACACCGAGACCAAAGTCGGCAAAGAGCTTACCAAAGCATTCTACGGCGAAGATCTCTCCAAGAGCTACTATCTTGGCTGCTCGACAGGAGGGCGACAGGGTTTCAAAATGGCTCAAGACCATCCTGATCTCTTTGATGGCATTCTTGCTGGAGCGCCTGCCCTTGCATTCAACAACCTCTCCTCCTGGTCTGGCCATTTTCACCCGATCATTGGCTCGAACACTTCAGAAACATACCTGACTCCAGCAAAATGGAATCTGGTGCATGCGGACATCCTGAAGCAGTGCGACTCGCTCGACGGAGCCGAAGATGGTGTCATCGAAGATCCCAGTCTATGTCACTATAAGCCGGTTGCATTGCAGTGCGCCTCCAACGCCACAAACACGACCAATTGTCTCACTGCTCCACAGGTCAAGACGGTTACAGGCGTCTTCGCACCATACTATGGCGAGAATGGTGACTTGATCTATCCGCGCATGCAACCGGGCTCAGAGTCCGTCGCATCGCGTCTTTACTACAATGGCCAGCCATTCCCCTACACGACCGACTGGTATCGTTACGCCATCTTGCAGGATCCCAACTGGGACCCTAGCATTCTCAACGCATCTCTTGCCGCCTATGCAGCTTCACTGAACCCTTTTAACATCGAAACTTGGTCTGGGGATCTGAGCGCTTTCCAGAAGCGAGGCGGTAAACTTCTCACTTACCATGGCTTGATGGATGGTATTATTTCAAGTGCGAATTCTCCACGATACTATGAGCATGTGGCCACTACAATGGGCCTCTCTCCCTCAGAGCTGGACTCTTTCTATCGCTTCTTCCGCATCTCAGGACTAGGGCATTGCTCAGGCGGAGACGGTGCTTGGCACATCGGACAGGAAACTGAAGGCGAGTCTGGAGCGGAGAGAAATGTGCTGCAGAGGATCATCGATTGGGTTGAGAAGGGGGATGCTCCAGTGACTGTCACCGGTGTTCGATACGTCAATGACACGAAGAGTGAGGGCATTGACTACGAGAGAAAGCATTGCAAGTATCCATTGAGGAACAAGTATGTTGGGCCGGGTAGCTGGAAGGAGGCGGATGCTTGGACGTGTGTTGAGTAAGCCGATGTTCAGACCCGAGCTTAGCGATGAAATCAATCTACTTCAAACAATCTGTACATTCCGCCTTTGATCTAGGATGTAGTGGTGCTCGATGCTTCCAACTGTGCTCCAGGGCTCATCTCGATGTCCTCATTCGCCTCAATCCAGGAAACTCGAAGTCGACCAGCCGACTCACGATCCAGCATAAAATCCCACTGAGGTGTGAAACCAGTCTTTGCAGCTACCTCGTGTCCTCGCAAAAGATTCCTGTATAGCTTGGAGAAAGGTCCAAGAACGACATACACCTCTCCATTATGTCGCAACATTGCCGCCGAGCGTCTCTCTGGTGTAAGCCACTCAGCAACAGTGAACTGGAAGAAAAAGATGCCTTCTGTTGGTGCTGCTGGCTTGTATGTCACGAGTGCGCACAGCGATGCTCGATCCTTGCTGATAGTGCGGGATCGTACGGAGAAGATGAATTGTAGCGCATCGAATGTTAATCGTGATATGTCGACCAGGCGAGTTTTCCATGCGCGCTGAACACACCACTTTTGGCACCGGTCCTGTCTCTCGAAGACGGTCTGGAAGATGTCCCAGGAGCAGCCGAATCCAAGATCTGAGAAGATGGCGCCGGACCTGGAGCTCACTTCATCCGACGTGAGCGATGTTGTTGGTACGTAGTACACGTCTTGATCTCCGTTATTGATGCACAGCAGTTGTTGTTGGTACAGACTTGCATCATTCCCCAGAGAGAGCAGTACTGCAACTTCTAAGTCAACAACTTCTGTGTCAGTTGTCGGGTGTTTAATCTGCAGAGGGTCGATGTAGGCGAAGTCCATGATCTGCAAGTTCCCAAAGGCAGCACACTCTGCGAACACGCTTGACAGTGCGTCAACCACGACTTCAATACATTTTGCTGTCTGTTCTTGTCGTGGGACCCGTATATATGGGCAGACGATTGTACGATAATCATCGTGCAGGAGATTGAAGAGCTGCAATGAGTTGCCGATGTAGAGGTAGAAAATTAGAGTGAGATTCTCGAAGTGAAAAGCAGACTTGCATCCCTTGGGCTTGAACATCGGGCTTCTCCCGCATGTCTCCAGAACGTTTGAGGGATTGTCTTGAAGCCAATGCGTGCCGAGTAAACGTTGATGAGGGGAGTCTAGAATGTTCATGGTTGTATTTAGCAGTCTCGGTCTCAGAATCAAGCTCACATGTAGAAGTATGGCGAGCTGTTTGCTTAGTAGGCAAGCGTTTCTATGTCTACACTGAATACGCAAAGCTTACATTTCAGTCAATAGCTTCCTTCAACAATCGCGGAGCATATAGTCAACGCCATCACAGGACACATAATAAGCGTGGTGACGATCGGCATTCTCAATGAATGCACAAGAGTCCTATGCCTATGCCCGAGCACACACCTCAGGCACATCACAGATCACCTCGAAGCCCTGTAGCAAACAACATGTCAGCTCATCGAGATCCTTCGCTCATCGAAGTGGAAACGCAACAATCACTCACCAGATCCTTGCCAGGAGTCTTGCTGCAATCACCCTCGATCGGAGCAAACCTGTACAAAGCTTCAAGCGTCGTATTGGGCGAGCGATTGAAGATGATCGGAGCATTGGGCTCCTCATCCTTGAGCAGATTCACGATCTCTGTGAACTCCACAGTAACGTCTTGACGATTCGAGCCGCGTGCGCCAAAGCCAACACCGGTGACCTCCCAATTGGTTCCCTTCATGCGGTCTCGGAGCGTCTTAAGAGGTGTTTCGGGGCCGCGAAGGACAGCTGAGATGTTTGTTAGATGTGACGACTATCAAATTCGTAATCTAGTAATCGATACTCCTGAGATTGTAGCCAGCTTTGCGAATGTTCTCGGCATCAAGTCTGAGTGCGGCTTCTACTCTGGCTGGGTCGAAGCCTTGAGCGATCACCAGTGGGTGATAGGGCGGGAAGCCGCTGCTTGCCGTTAGTGACGACGCATGCTTCCGGAGCATAGAAAGACTGACGTGAAGAAGACATCGGTCTTGCCGCAACGGTTCTTGCTGGTTCTTGGTTCGAGGGCAGCTGCTGCAGCTACGCTCAAGTAGCAGAATGAGCAGAAGAGTGCACTGAAGTTGACCATGTTGCGGACTGAGAAGCAATGAGCTCTAGATGGTGGATTGAAGTGCCTCGCTCACATGCTGCAAGAGCTGACATCTAGTCTTTGTAGGTGTGTTCGGTACCGGACGTCTTCCTCGTTGCCCGCCAAGTATGCATGCAAGGAGTGCCATGCCATATCGTCGAAACTTTGTTCTTGACCACGATCCAGTACTGTGCACAAGCTCTCAGCCCTACTGAACAAGCGATCCTATAAGCCCTCACAGTCAATGCATCGTCAGTTTCGGGCCGGTTTGCTGTGAGTGCATAAGGATTTGTTCAGAGCATGAGCATATGCCCGGCATAGGGAAATTGTGTATCGGTCTCGACGCCCTGGGGCAATCAAAGACTCCGGATCATCCGTCTCACCGACCGCTCGCCATGTTTGGCTTGCTTTGTGTATGTCGACTCGTGCGTTTGCAGCAGCTCGGAACCACAACTTCTTTTGAAGCCACGAAGTCTAAGTAGCGAGAGGGGTCCTCGCGTGGCAGACTCGTGGCTGGCTGTGCCAAGGAGCTCCAGGCGTGAAGCTCGCCAATGCCATCGCTAATGTGGCGTTGAACAGTCATCATTGGTGCATATGCCTGAAGTGGACATACTGGTCGCTGCAAGCGGGACACTCTCGGCCTCCATGCATCGCCATGCGTTGACGTGGCAATGGATCACGAATCCATTAGTTGTATCTTGGATCACGCGACAAGCTTGCTTCAGAAGTTTCGTACTGCACGTAGGATTGCCATAATGATAGGAGGTCGCTGCTGGTACCAGCTAAGAGTCGCAAGTAGTTCGTCAGGTCTCGGCTTGCTACTTGCGTGTTAAGCTTGTGGAATTGATGAAGGACCAATTTGTTCTGGTGACCCCGTCACAATCGTCTATTCGTGATCTCGTCTATTATCTATATCTCATGTCAGCATCATTGTTGATATCTCGCTGCGTGATCTAAAACGGCACGTCCATGTCCTCAACGCTCTCCTCTTGCTTTGCCGATCCATTTGCAGTAGCGGCATTCCCTTCCGCGATCTCCCTGATGAATGCAATTAAGGGCGCGATGCTGGCCTTCTGTGTCGGCAAAAAGTGTCCGCCAGGATGAAATACCACTCTCGACACACCACCATCCGTTCCCTTCCCATCCACACAACTGTCGACCAATTGCATAGCTCGCTCCTCGCTCACAACCGTGTCCACACTCCCGATGAAATGTTGCATCGGCGTGGTAATTTTCGGCTCATAAAACGCCTTGTATATCGGGTGTCGACTCGCTCCAAATCCCGAGTAACTCACTGCGAACTTCAGCTGCGGATGCACCACGCTATCTGCACCTTCCTCTCCCACGAAAGATTTTGGAAAACTCATTCCTCCTTTCGCTTCCAACGCCTCAAAAGCTTCCCTTCTCCCAGGCTCTAATAGGGCAGCCAACATTCCCGCCGCACTTCCTCCTTGTGAAAATCCAATAACTCCATCAAATGGCCCTTCCTCTCGTAATATCCGCGCTATAGCTTCAAGCCCCTCCTCTAACCCATCATACAGATACGGTTCCGAGTCACCTTTGCGTTTCCACCAGCCATAAGCTTCATCTCTAAGATCTTCGGGCTCGGCGACTCCGCCAGGTGTGTCGGTGTATGAGAGCTTCATGGGAGCTGTTGGGTACACGAATTCGAGGCCGCCAGGATAAGATTTGAGATGGCCGGGCTTAGGAGCAGCAGGGAAGGCCTTGTCGAGAGACTTCTTGAGGGCTTTAGTCTTGATCTCGAAGAGGGGTCCGCATTGCGTGAAGCCGTGGAGCATGAGAATGCGGAGACTTTGAGGTTGAGGTGACATGATGTCGTTTGCGATGCAAGAATTCTGGCTTCTTGTCTTAAGCTTTCTGGGATCGATATGGACCGAGTAGTGGCGAGAATAACTTGTTATATGAGAAATTTGCTTGCGAGATCGGAGCACTGTCCGATATGCTGGTAGACAGCCTTTCATGCGTATGCACAGTCTGCCATTGGAATGGAGTGAAGTGGAGTGAAGAATGTGACCTTGGTGAATGCATGAACGATGGAGATGGATTTGTGACACAGAAGTGGCGCTAGTGGAGTGGACCCCTGCCCGGATCGGCCAAGTGAGGCAAGATTCCGCTGCAAGCTGTCCTCCGCGCTGGCATTTCGAGAACACGGACACTGCACCTCCCTTCCACCACCCACCACTCTACAACATCCGCCGCACACCACCACCGCGAACCCCACGCCGACGATACTCTCACCGCCTTCTGTCGAATAACCGTCGCTGTAAACCCCACGCTCACATCACAATGGACCAAGCAAAGGAGCTTCTGGAGATGCCTCGCGAGTTCGTCAAGGACGGCCGCCAATTCATCACGCGATGCAGCAAGCGTACGTGTACATTATGCGTGGACGTCACATGCGAATGCGCGGAACACGGATACTGACAAGTGCATGTAGCCGACAAGCGCGAGTTCCTCCGCATCTCACAAGCAGTCGGGATGGGCTTCTTGATCATGGGCGTGATTGGATATATCGTCAAGTTGAGTAAGTGTCGCGTGGTATTCGTCCAGTCTGCTGAAACGGGAACTGATCGAACACCCTTTAGTCCACATTCCTGTAAACAACATCTTGGTCGGCGGCGCATAGATGAGGAAAAGCATAGTCGGGCGGTACGAACAGAGGAGCTTGGGCACGAGCGGTGATTGGAGTCTCGAGCGCCTACAATGGCGTCGTGGCTCACGCGCATGGACCAGTTGTCGAAATTCAGATTTCAAGGCTATGTCCTGAGGATACCAGCATAGCAAGGCGTTGGGGCGGAAAAAAGAGATACCATGGGCAGGACCGATCTGTCTTGTGCAAGGGAGTGTCCCGCGGATCTTAACAACAGTACGTCCAGCAGGGCGCCGCAAAATGTATATGGTACAGTTGTGTCGCAGGAAGCAATCAAAATTGTCAAGACCCATGTTCGATCTCTCTGCATCCACTCTGACCGAGCTATACTGGTATCAAAGAGAACAGCATAATAATCATTAGGATGCTGGCTCAGCCATATCAAATCACCAACGTTAGAGCGGGCCATTTTTTGAGAGGTTCGGAGAGTTGTCAGAGGTCTCGCTGTACTTCCAAATTCAAATGGTATTGGAAGCAGCAGCCAGTCTGGTCCTTGTAAAGGGCCACTGTGCCTCTCGAGTTGTGCTTGTACATGACAGCATTGTGTGCCTCTCAAGTCGAGGCACGCTAGTCGTCCGACTACCCACTGTCCAGCTGCTCGTGGCGCAACAGCATACAACACCCCAACCCAAGTCCAAGCCGTCTCGATCGATCATCTCTCTGAGAAATCTCTATCCTCGCCATCGCGACCCCCGTTCCACGTTATCGCGCGCTAATGGAACATGGGTGCTCATCTGTGGGTATCTCTGATAGTAAGTCTCCCTATCGTCCCAACTCGGAACTTTGACCTCCTTTCCCTCATACCCAAGAACCAACCTTCTCAAGATCAACTTCCTCAGAAACGCCGCTTCCCACCACACCTTCTCTCCGATTTTTCTGTGAATCTCCTGCTCACTCAGAATTCCCAGGATGCAGTCAGCCATCAGACTCGTCAGCGGCGTATCTCTCCGCAGGTACTCCCACATTTCTTCAGACGTCGTAGCCAGTCTATGCCACTCGTCCATACACTCGACAACCACAGCACCCAAATTTTCGATCTGGAAGATAGCGTCCATGATCGCATTACAATACTCGAAGTCGTGCGTGTTTCGGTCTCCGAAGAACCAAGTCGCCAAATGAGCTTGGAGGGTGAACACGTCGAGTTGCAAAGGAGTTATTGCGCCAGAGATGCCAGACAGTGCAGCTCGGGCTCGAGCCTGTTCTCGAGCATGGGCGGAGAAATCCTTCAAACTGCCAGTGACGAATCCGAGATAGTGGGCAAAGAGTGTAGTGGGGAGCTCAGGCAGTTCGAAGACTCTCTCCTCGGGGCTTTCGTCGAAATAATGGGGAGGGAAATATGAAGTGTGCCTTTCGAGGAGTTCTGCTGCGATTGTGTAGGCGACTTTGGGATCCGAGTCGGTGCCTGTGCCGGTGATGATGGTAATGGGTCTCGACGTGTCGCAGCTATTCAGTGGTCAGCAATGTGGAAATGCTTCAAGGAAGAGACTGCGTACTCGAGGACATAGTGCACCGTTGGCTGTGATGGGTGCGTGCCCGTAGCACTGGCGTCGTTCTGAATGGTGTCCGCATCCATCTGGTTGGTATCTTCCGTCTGGTTGGTATTCTCGTTCATCTGATTGGCAGAAGTCGCGCAAAGGCTTCTTTCGTCTCTCAAATGCTCGGAGGCTCTGGGCTGGGTAGCTGGGCCTAGGGCGGAATTGTGTCGCAGGCAATTGTCTGAGACACCAGTACATTCCACCGGCGACTGTGCTTTCTCGTTGCCTGAGCTGGTATTCTCGTCGACTGGCATCTTGCTTGCTCGCACCGCCAATGGTCAACCCGGCGGAGAATGATCCAGTAGAGACTTGTTCTTCCTATTTCGATCCGTTAGAACAATCCCTAAAAAGTGACTACAATTGCGGCATCACTTTGAGCGTTTATGGCTTGCGCTTGCAAAGTGAATGGGTGAACGCGTGTATTGCAGTTCGTTCACGAGCATAGATGCCTAGGTGGCCCGGCCAATTTGACCGAAAGCTCTGTTTGCTAGAACATTGCCTCGCGAGCTGCAGCGATGCGCCACATGCAGCTCCAACGCTAGCGTTCACTGACCTAACTTGATACCCACCTCTTGCGAACATCGTTGGCGACAATCATCTCGGCGCCAAAAAACATATCCCAGCGGAACAGCCAAGGCTACAAGATGGCATCTGGAGTCATGTATGCTCGAGTGCCGCCACTTGCTCGCCGATGGCCGTTGCTAATATGGTCTCCAGCTCTGATTTCGCCGAAGTCGTGGCTCTTCAGTCCGGAGATGGTATGACACGCATGCTCGTGCATAAGGATATCATCACCAAGAAGTCGCTCCGCCTTCAGCGAGAGCTGGTCAGCCAAGACCTATATCGTCTAGCTGACTGGCCTGCGACCACATACCTCGCCGACTCTCTCGATGCGCTGAAGCTATACGTCACATGGTGCTACACCGGATCTGTCAGCGAGGACGTCACAAGGAGGGATTCTTCTGGCGACTGGCTGATTGCATTTGCGGAATACAAGTGTGGACTGTGGCTCCTTGACGCCCAGTATGCCAACGCAATCATGGACAAGTTGATGGAGCAGGACTTCGATGCTAGGACCTTGATTGACCACTGCTGCGAAATGGTTCAACATGGTCTGGAGCGCTTGAAGATCTGGCAGTGGTACATCCACCGTCTCGCGGCGAAGATATCGAGTGACGATCTGATTCGGAGTGGCAAAGAACAAAAGTACTGTGAGCCTGAGGGCCTCCCACGAGTGCTTCTGGAAGATGTCCTCTTTGAGATGACGAAGTGCCGCGAGCAATCTGAGGTCTCCACTGCTGGACCCATCTCAGCGGATCGCGAGAAGTATCACATGAGCGAGGAGACCGTGGAAGGATTTTGGGAAGCTTGGGTCACGAACGAGGAAGTGTTTTGATGCCGATCCACAGGGGACATTTCATCTTGAACCAGATGCGCTTGCGGGTCGTGACAGAATATCCGCGACTTCGGCCGCTTTGACCAGTTTGATGCACTACGCGCAAGCTGCGTTAAGCAGAGATCGCGAAGACCAACCTGCGAGGCGTCGGTCAGCATCAGATGCACCAGAGCACAGAACACTCACTTTGGCATTCTCAGAGCAGAGTCGTTCACCCCAGCTGCCATGTTTGTACACTATTCGATACATTATGCTTCATGCTATACAGAGTTGCTCCCTCACGAGTCGATCTTGCCCTTCCAGTCCGCAATATGGTCATTGATGACCTTGGCCGCAGCATCAACAGTGAAATTCCTGCCAATAGCCTCCACAAAGTCACCTTCAGGATCTGCAAACACAGAGTCAGTCAGCCACTTGATCCACACCCAAAACAATCATCATCTCACTCACCCATCAAATAAAAGTAAATCGAATGATCCACCAAATAATCCTGCCCAGGCTTCACATCCGGCGGCGTAGAAAAATACACCCTGTACGCCTTACAAACAGCCTTAACCTCATCCCACGTCCCCACCAGCCCCAAAATATCCTCATGAAACTCCTTCAAATACCTCCTCAAAACCTCCGGCGTATCCCTCGCAGGATCGCAAGAAATGAAAACACTCCTCATCTTATCCCCATGCTTCTCTTTCACCCTCTCAATCATCCCCGCCATCTTATCCAATTCCTCAGGACAAATATCCGGACAATGCGTGAAACCAAAGTACACGAGACTATATTTCCCTTTCAAGTTTTCTTCTGTGTATTCGTTGCCGTGATGGTCGATGAGATGGAAAGGTCCACCGACGAGGGGTTTTCCAATGCCTTTGTTGGCTTCGGCGATGCGAGCGCGGGACATGCGGGCTTTTTCGTAGCGAAAGTAGAGGGTTAGACCTCCGCCTGCGACGAGGAAGAGGAGGCCGGCTTGCCAGGAGAAGGGTCCGAGACGGTAGCGCGATTTGGCTTCTTGGACAGTTTTTTGGCGTGCGCGGGGAGTGGATGAGGTGAAGGGACGTGAAGAGATGGTCGTTGTCGGTCGTGAGCGGAGTTCGTGTTTGAGAGTGTTGGCTGTGTTGGTGAAAAGCGTTCTCGGTCGCGATGCTGCGGCGCATTGTCTGCATATGCTCGATTGCGCGGAGCGCATTGAGCTGAGAAGGGGTGCAGCCATGGTGGATGGCGATGTCAATGTTGAAAGTGTGGATGGATTGATCGATGACCAGACGATGTGACCGTGGGTGCCTCAGGCATGCCAAGACTTGATGCTGTACCAACCACAGCCGCAGGTACGACCGTATCGTATGCAAAGAGACAGAAGCAGATCGTAATCATGTTATGGCGATAATTTCTCCCTCAAAGTAGAGATACTGCATGACAAGAATACATGTTTGCTCTAAAGTGTATTGTGTGAGAGCAAGTTCGACATCAGAGAACTTGCACAACATCCTCGCGTTGACCTTTTTCGCAGCGTTGGTCTTTGCGTCCAGGCACCGAGAACAGAGGCAGACATATCATCGTGAGCGGAGATGGTGACTAGCTGGCGACAGTCATTGGTTCACATAATAACATCGAAAGTCCATGGACATCCTTCCTAAAATTCAAGATCGTTAAAGGCCTTCAGCCGGCAGTCCGTCTTGGGACGAGAACGTCAGCACGCCCAGAGGCTTTCGAATACGCATCAGGCCCAATGCGTCTGCCACGAAGCCGAGAGCTTGGGCACAGTGGACTATGACAACATAGATCCTGAGCATAGCAAAAGGCTGCAGCGCCATCCACGCTTGTTGCCTGGAGGCTCTACTCTTGCTGGATGCTGCGACCAGCCAGGTACGCATTGTGTTCGCAAATACACAAAACATCCTTGCGTGGCGGTGGTAATCTCAGCGGAGTGCGAAGGTGTTGCGGAGGTGCCTTTGATGTTGATTACGAGTATTTGGGCGACGGAATGGTATTGACCGGAGCTCAGACGAAGTGGGAGCTGGAGGATAACAACGGGATGCCGTATACGATCGGCAGAGCATTGTTATCGAGTCCGAAGCCGACGGCGAAGGCAACTTGATCATGAGCTCGGCCCGAGTTGTGTTCGGTGAGTAACCATCGGGATGCTCGGTATGGTAGTGAAACCGGCTTCGCACTGTGTGCGTAATTTCGCGTGCGATGATGGAACAACTTCTGGTGGTCATCAGCAGATTTGCGACCTATGCAAGATCACTCTAGCCTTGATGACGACTGGATGCTGGGTCTATCTGGACTTTGTAAGGAATGAGCCAGGAGCATGAAACGGCCGGAACAAGCCGAGTTGCACATGACGCAGCACGTGCTCATACAGTACGAACGTGCAAGGCGATACGATATGGATACCACGTTTGCGATGCCATGGGCGTAGGTAGGCGCTGCCACGTTGTATTTTGTGTTCCGGAGTACAGAATGTCGGGTGGTCAGTCCGCTTCCGCTGTGATATCGCTTGTTCTTGCCATTGGAGCTTCGTCCATTCGTGTTGGACGCCACCAATATGACATCAAGCGAAGCATGTTGATTGAGTCTGCGGATTTGCACGGTCATCTCGACGCAGGCGCGCAGACGCAGAGGTATATTGGTGCATGCATGCAGCGGCTCACGAATCCGCTTCATGCCAAGGCATTGATTCCGCGTGCTCCTGGCTCGACTTTGCGGCGAGTACTGATGCGACCTGCCCGTCTAGGTCAAGTATGTTTCGCCTGAAAGTGAAGCCATCTATTTGCAGCATGATATTTCTGGAAGGCGTGGAAGTGGATGCGGTGGTGTGAAGAAGGCTGTCAAATTGAGGCATGCAGGGCACAAACCTTATGCAGTGACGGAAGTGGAGTCACGGCGGCGAGAGGTTCGTGGCCGGGGCGGAGGAGAATGTGCAGGCGACGGAGATGCTCAGCGCGGTGGCGAGGGGGCGCAGAACCTGGTTCACGGGAGCGCGATGTGTATTGGAGCAGCTGCTGTGCAAAGCGAGCAGGAACAGCGCAGGAGCAGCGAGCAATGGCAAATAATGACGCTTCGGCTGGAAGGCGAGCAGATGCCAAGCCCACTCGTCGTGCTTCGATGTCTGCTGTTCGCTTTCTCTGCCTCCACCACGACGCCTCCAGCACGCAATGGAACGGCACTTCAGGAATGGCTGCATCGACCCCGCGAATTGCAATGGTTCAGGCATGCGCAGGTGCGTCGTGGTGGATGCGCGGATGTCGCGCCGGGGAGGGTGCAAAACAGACTTCCCACGTTTACCGTTAGTTAGCCTCCCATCGTACCGTCGTCATACAGCAGCGTCTGGGCTACATGTTGAACAAGACCCCTCGTCACATATCTATCCCTCGAGCCACCTGCATCTCGTGCATCGCCCATCGCCGCTCCCGTTCTCACTACTCACCACACGCACGCCGAGACTCCTCGTGGAAACAGACATCTTCGCGCAAGACGGAGCGAAAGAGCGCCTCCCTTTCACATGTAACGGCCTTTTCCAGCGCGGCAGGATCCTCCTCGGCTACAATTCAGACAGTCCCTCTGCGGTGCATATATGAAGGCGTAGAGCTTGCATTGGGGCGCAATCAAACCCGCACTCGTTTGAACATCAACTCTCTGCGTGACAGCACCAACACGCATCATGCAATCGCAGCGTCCTTTGGCCGCCGACGCCAGTAGTCTCACGGCCACCGCTGGTAAGGGACCCTTCTCAAATGTCACGTGCACGGTTTCAATGTGGCCATGGCATTGGCACAGATTCCTTCCCAGCCCAGTCCAGCCCAGCCCAGCGTGATGATAATCGCACAAGTCCTGCTTCTCATCAAGCTTACGACGCACAGGTGCCAGCGAACATGACACAGCCATGCAGTCTTCCGGCGCACCTTCCGCTATGCCGCAACGAAAAAAGAAACCAGGACCCAAGCGTGATTCAAAACCTGCTCCCAACGAGAAATTGGAGCGAAACAGACAGGCGCAAAGGTAATGCAGACTGTGCAGCCAGAGATCCATCGTGAACTTATCTCTCTCAGAACACATCGTGAGCGGAAAGAGCAATACACCAAGGAACTCGAACTCGAGGTGATGCGCCTGAAAGAGCTCTTTGTACAAACGACGCGCGAACGAGACGATGCCATTCAATCACGAGATGCCGCCATGCTCGAGAGGGATCGACTTCATGAGGAGAACTTGCGACTACGAGAGCACGTACAACCCGCCGCCGCCACTTCTTCAGCTGGCACAGATTCTGGGTATGAAAGCATGTCCTGGACTTGCGATGCAACCAGGACAAATAGCTTCTCCGACGCCTCTGGCTTTCCTAGTATGACTGCTAATGCGCCGCTCCAGGAGGTAGCGGACCGAGCTCCTCTGGCCAGCACGCACCGACTCAGCATCTGGGACACCGAAGAAACCCGGGGATTCGCGTCTGATGGCCCAATGCTGGACATTCCGACCAGCCAGACCATAATGGCGTGTCAGCGCTCCTCGAGTTCGACAGGACCCATAACCGTGAAGTTGGCCCAAGAGCTGCCGGCGGTGGAGCTCGATTATGATGAGCTTGGTCTGGACTTCATTCTGACGTACGTCACTGCCTTCCTGGTGCACGGAACCCTACTAACAACATTCATAGCCTCGAAAGACCATGTATGGGGCATATACATTACTTGCACGTGCGAGCGCACAATTATCAGGCTTCTGCGGATGGCGGAATGGCCGGGCAGCCCATGGAAGTGCCCGATGATGGAGAGAACCAGCACATATCCGGTCACGCCATGATGGCCACGGCGCCACTCTACACGGACATCATCGAACGTCCAGGCTCGCGATATCCATGCCAAATGCCGCAATTAAAGAGGAAAGACTTGGTGAATCTACTCAATCTGAGTGCCGCGCTAGAAATATCAGAACCGGAAATACCTCCTGTCCGCGCATGGATTAAGTTGATGCAAGATTCAAGGACAAGAGGCTTCGGTGCGCACGATTTTGAGGTGCTCAAGGCTTCATTGTTAAATAAGATACATTGCTACAGGTATGTCAGGCCAGCGACGCGCTTGAACAAAACGCTAACATCAATCCCAGATTCGGCGCTGTCATCGACGAACACGACATTGACGATGCGCTTACGCAGGTTTGTCAGGTCAAGGAAGCAGCTGCTGTAGCTGCAGCTTCTCCACGAGCGAACCCGCGAAAACTCGAGCCATGAGCTGCTCCTTAGGCTGAGACAATATTCCGCATGTCGTCCGCTCGCGGATCACATGGCTCTGAATGTCATTTGCAGCATTGACAGAAAGATTCTAGAGGAATAAATTGACAAGTGATGCGCAGCATGTATGTCAAAAGCACATCGTACACACACACTGGTTGTATCCTTCCATGGTCATGATACAGGTAGGAATCGGACCTTCGAACGTCATATGTATTATTGTACATGCAAGCTGGGTCTCATGCCTTGCTTTGTTCTCATTATTACAGTACTCATGAGAACTTAGAAAGGCAGGAGCTGTCCCACGTGGAAAGCTGCTCGAACGCACTTTGGTCTACAGGCAGCTGGATTGACGGTTTGAATTCCATCACATCTCGCTTGCGGATTGAGCACACCGTGAGTGTGCCTCCATTGCTTGCAAGGCACCGATCCAGCCGCACAGCTGAAAAGACAACTTGTTGCCTCACGCGCGATTCCTGAATTTCCGATTCAGGCCTCCCAGCTGTTCAGCCGTACAATCTGCAAGATCCTCCTGCACCCGAAGTTCGAATCCTTCAGCGCATATCAAGGGCACGAGGGCTGAACGATCCTCTTCGGAGCCGCTGTTTCTATCACAAAGTGTATATTTTGCTGTCCTCCATGCTGCACATTAGCCTCATCGTTTACTTCCGAAAAGACACATTCGAAATCAACTGCAATGATCATGGCCGAGTCCTCGACGCTGACGAAGAACATGAACGCACAAAAGAAGCCAACACAAGTTCTTCTGTGGTCACAAGGTCGGACAGCCTGCCATCTGCTTGAGAGAATGCTCTTCTCCAAACAACCGAATGCCAAAATGCTCTGGCACCCCTTTCTGCAAGGTCGGAGAACACAAGTTCCGCTGTTCCCAGAAGACTCCATCGCCAGGGGAATCCCGGAGGAGACGAGGGGAGAATACCATGAGGCGGTTCACGCCGGAATCAAAGAGTGGGAGAAAGCGCTCGAGGAGGCAGAGAAAGAGGTGAAACCCATCCCACCCCATTACGCCCAAGATTCAACTCCAACCCCACTAGCACAAAAGCAATCACAGCACAAAACCCTCCTCTTCCACGAACACCCCCAATTCGCCCTCGACCCACAACAAGCCATATCCTACATCAACTCCAAAGAACCAACCCTCACCTCCGGCTTCTACCCCAACAAACCCAACCCTCATCCCCTCTCACCTCCTCCTCCACCCCCAAACCCTCCCAATCCTCACCTTCCGCCACCCAGCCTACATTATCCCCTCAGCCTTCAAATTCCTCGTCTACAACACCTCCAACTCAATCCACTCCTCTTCCTCCCCAAATCAAGCCGCCGAAAAATCCTACATGGGAATTTCTCTCGTGACAAGTCTCCACTGGCAGCGCAAACTCTACGAATTCTACAAATTTCACAATATCGATCCACTAGTAGTAGAATCTTCATCGTATCAAAGTTCTCCGACTTTTGTCAGGAAGGTCTGTAAATTGGCGGGTTTGGATCCTGAAGCGGCGGTGTTTGAATGGGATAAGATGGAGGAGGAGGACCAGGAGAAATTGGATCCGCAGGTGAGGTATTTGATGAAGACGTTGAATGATTCGACGGGGTTGAGGGTGGAGTTGGCGAAGAGGGGAATGGGAGAGGGAGAAGATGGAGAGGTGGATTTGGAGGTGTTGGAAGGGGAGTGGAAGAGGGAGTTTGGGGAGGAGGCGGCGGGGTTTATTAGGAGGGAAGTAGAGGCTGGACTGGAGGATTATGCGTTTTTGAGGGAGAGGAGGGTGAGGGAGGATTAGGGAAAGGAGGGCAGTGAGAGGCTTTGGGAAAGTGGAATCTTTGTGAAGTCGTCATTGTCATGTCCTCATTTTCGGTAATGTCGGTTCTCGAGAAATAGCGATGGCGCTGCGCCAACAGAGTTCCCTCTTTCATTCCTCTAGAGGCTGATCTTCGAAGAATACCGCACATCTCACCTCCAAACTATGCCTATCCGGTCCATAGTCGCTTTCCGCTTCAAAGCTTGAATGAAACAACCGATTCGCAACTCCTTTCTTACTATCACAAATCTTCAACAACAGCGCCTCGTTCGGCTTCATCTCAGACGCATAATACCACTTATGCTGGTCTGGCGTCTCCGGAGCAGCACATTGTAGAGCTTCCGAAGTGACCGTCTCGGGGCCATGAGCATATGGATCTCGTTCCCCGTTCTCGAGTATTGCACCTGGTTTATTGCAATTTCCATCGCTGACAAGGACGCTATCCCTTCTATTCGGGAACTGAATTGTGATGGTGCGAATTTCGTCTTCACGAATGCTGGCATAGTCGGCAAAGCAGAGTGCATCTCGCGTGGCAGGATAGTCAAAGGGCCTCCAGACATTGATATAGGCCCAACGACAGTGGTCGAGCGTTTCGGAGTCCTCGGGGAATACCTGTTTAATGCGCTCGCACGAGCCGTTGTAGGATTCGTCTATGAACGTGGGCGTCAGTGAGCTGCATCGCGAGCTTTGCTTGCTGCGCCATATATCGACATACCGCAGTGCACAAATCTTGCATTGCTGGGGCCCACTGAGCGAGCGTCGTCTGGGAGGTCTTTCTCGGCATCGTATGCGTCTTTCCACGACAATCGACGGACCACGTGACCAAAAGGTTTGACCAGGGTAGCACCAGTGACCTTTTTGATCAATTCCGCGCATTCGTCGTAGTAGAGGGTCTGGATGCGCTGTTCATCGTCGAAAGTCTTCTCTGCGGTGTCGCTTTTCACTAGCTGGAAGCCATGTTGATCGAGAGTGAAGTTGTCTTCTTGACCACGAACGTCATTGATTTGCACTTGGACCTGTTTGTACTTGCGACGTTTTTCGCCAGCAGTGCCAGCCCTGTACAGCTTGTCGCCACCATTCTCGGGTTCCAGAAAGTAGTTGAGTGTGGCAGTAACAAATCCAGAAGGGGTCGCAGCCATGTTGGAGGATCTAGACGTTAGTAGCTATTGCAGCTCGTCGGACGATGTGAGCTGCCAATTATACTTCAATCATCCTAGACACAATGTCGGCGTCGGCGCCTTGAGCGGCGCGATCAGCGGATCTCTGCATACAAGGTCAGGTCAGATCACGCGTGACCAAACACAGCTCGCTGCTCTGGGTGACCGAAGACCGAACAAGAAGTGTTGTTTCTTGGACTGCAACCAATGATGAAGACTTCTGTATCGATATATTCGGCTGTCGCGGCAACTCTACACTCCCAGCTGTTGTAAACAGTATGATCGGCCCATGCAGCTGACGTGAAGAGATGTGGGAGCGCGAACTCTGATGGCATAGTGCTGCCTGTGGAGAGAGAGGGAGCGGAAGTCGCAGCAGTGATCTGTTCCTCTCCGGGTTGCTTTCTAGAAGTTACAAGTTGGCAGGAAGAATGCGCTAACAGGTGATGAAGAGGCCGGATGGTCGGAAGTCCGGACAGGGTGTTCGAGCTGTGAGCACCGACAAGCAGAAGCCGAACTCAGAAGAGCTGAGAACCTCTGAGAGGAGAGCGAGCGACAAGGAAGCTGACGCGTTTGTCGAGCTTGGAAAGTAAGAAGTGCTGTGTGAGGTTCCGAAAGCTAAAGTGTACTTTGGAAAAGCTTAGGAGGTACCTTGCTTACCTCCCATAATATGCTTGTCATCACACGTCTGCGCTGCATAGCTCGATTGGCCATACCTTCTACACGATAACGACTACTCAGCGAGTGAGGCATTGTTTCAGATGAACGAGCGCCAGCTTGGGTTGACTGCAGTCGACATCCATCCGGGATCGAAGGTGACTGAGTTCAGCATGTGGCCGAGGTCATGTCCAGGCGCCAGCTGGGAAGCCTACTAACGACAAGGTTGAACATGGTCCGCTCTCGGCTTGCTGGTCTCGAGGATATGCCTTGCTACATTGCGCAAGCGTGCCGTGATGGGTGTGTCCTACAAAGCAATTCGCACATCAAGAACACTCGACGGCATTCGAGGGCGCTGACCTGTACCGGAAAGCTTACGACGATGCCATGTGACGTGTGCGAATCCTGTTGAACACCATGTGCCCGGCGGGAAATGGTGAGAATTGTCTTGTGGCTGATCGCAGAGGTTCTCTCAGATTCTGACTTCCGGACCACACTTTCGAAGGGATTCACAGAAGACCAAATTGCCGAGGACGGGACATGAATAGCTAGAGGAGCTTGCGTTAGGGAACTGGTAATTAGTGAATAACATCTTTGAATAGATCACCGGCGGTTTCCAGTGGGTAGCACTCATAACGCCGAGCTTCCATGAGTTGAGGCATACGGCGCATCGCTACTCTGACGGCATGCCAAAGATAGCAGTAACGCCGCCAGGACAATCGGTGCTGACTGCGCGGCGTTGCGCAGGCGCGTTCACAAGGGCGTGTAACGTCAAGGTCCAATATGCAGCGACCAGAGGACGACCGCTATTTCCTGGTATTGTGGGTGCAACGGGTCCCGAACCTCTGCGGAGTAAATGCAATAAAGTCTCGCCATAGCATGGTGTGAAGTTGCAAAAGCCGATGGAGACAATTCAGCAACAACGTGCCGTTGATGAGCAGGTAGAGATATTGGGCGTAGTCCAGAAGGCTTCCATGCAGTGGCCAAGATGACGGGTTGAACAGTTTGGTCGCGCCGTTGATCCATATTTGTTTAGCTGTCGGTAAATCGCTGGTGTGCCGCTTGCGTGCGTTGTCCTCATCTCGAGGATAGATTGCCATCACGATCAGCTCGTGTTTGTCATTATAATCGATGCAGTGAAGAGCAATATTCGTCCCGCGGAGGCAATATCGGCGACGTGCCTACTAGAGCAGGAGGAAGAGGCAAGGAGGGCTTCATTAATGCGGTGACCAGTCGCGGTCAGGTTCCGGAAATCCGGCACGTGTGCTGAGGTTGTTTCAAGCTCGCGCTGCATGTGAACGACGGACGGACGGGCAGAGAACGGGCTCTCAACGTCGGGGGAAGGCACGATTCAAGGGGAGCTGGAGCGAGATGAGGTGATCCTGCGGCTATTGCCAGCGTGAGATGATGTCGATATTCATGAGGCGGATGAGCAATACGAAGGAGAGAGCCGGTGAGGCTCTGCGAGAAGCATCTGAAAGTTCGAGACTGACCTTGGTTGAGGTCGGCTAATGGCAAAATCGTGGTGGGCTGCGGGAAGACGGGACTCCTTGGCCGAGCACTCGCTGCCACGCTTCATTGGCCAGCGATCGGGACGGCATCGCGTACCTGCGCTAGAGGGCGCGTACCTTGCAGTGTGCAGCAGCAGCGGCGGAGTCAGACGCTTCTCGTGCTGCAGCCGAATGTCGCAAGTGAAGAATAGGAGGCCGGCGTTTGTTGAGGGGATCGCCGCAAGCAAACACAGCAGCAGCGCCTTCCAGTGTTCCAGACACCGCGCCCACCGCTGCCACCGCTGCGACGCTGATGGGGAAGAGCGTCGCGCGACACCAGTTCATTCGTCGGCAAACCACACGCCACCGCCATCACAGCATTTGGGTGGCAGCCAATAGAGTTTGGTGAAGCCTCTCGTTATCAAACGCGCGTCATGCCCAGCGCGAGAGTTTATGTATGGATTGGGACGTCTCCTGGCTAATCACCAGGATGCGCGGTGGCCCGCCCACGCGCTGACTCTGACTTGGCTGGACTAGGGTGCGCTGAAACCGCCACGCCACACGTTATTGGAGGCCAATAGAGACAAAGGCCAACCAAGCAACGGCGGTCTGCGATGGCGCTCGTATTGACCATCTGCCATGTGGAGCTTTGGCATCGCAAGCTCGCCGTTCGGAGATCACTCTGGATCGTGGGGATAATCCATTCGGGATAAGGAGACGAGCGCGGCGGCGCCTACGCGAGCTGTTTGTGTCGCGCTGCGACATGGCGGTGCGTAGCTGTCAACAATAGCAACACCAGTATGCACAGCACAGCACACGTCCTGGAGTGCATTCACGGGGTCGCGCCGCGGTAGCGCTCACCCACATGCGCGCGAGTGGAACGGCCAGGCCGGCGTTTTCAGTGGCCAAGATCGGTGTAATAACGGCTTCGAGGGTTGAGGCGGACCACTACGACACCACGACCGGTCTAGCGCCGTCGACTTCAGCTTCCGAGTTGGGCGGACAGGATGAACATCCAATTTGCGCATCCCTGAAACACGGGCACCACACGCGCTGTCAAAGAATCGATCGCTTGCGAGCGCTAGCCCAACGCGCCCCAGCCCAGGCCATTATATACCTCGACACCCATTCTCTTCCTCTTGCTCTCCTCATCACGCTCTTTCACGCCTGCCAATTCAGTTGTACATCACATCCAACTACCCACACTCTTTAACAAGAACAAACAACTACTTCAAAATGCGTGCCGCTATCGTCGCTGCCCTGGCTGGCTCTGCCATCGCCTCTTACGTGAGTGCTGTCGTGTCGATGAACATCAACGAACCGTCGCTGACGATCAATTCAGGCTCCTCCAGCCTACGACGCTCCTCCAAGCTACGGCGCTGAGACCACCTCCTCCGTCCCAGCTGCTTACCCAACTGAGACCAAGCCAGCTGGCTACGCTCCTCCTCCGGTCTACGAGTCCAAGTCCGAGACTCACCCAGCCGCCTACCCAACTGAGACCAAGCCAGCTGG